TTTTGTTAATTTTATACTACATGCCTTCGATATGTTTTATTGCCTATAATTATTTCTACGATAAAATTCGCTCGATAAGTAAAACATGTACAGGGTGAATCGAATAGTTAGTACAGGGTGGCACAAAATATAGGTATAAATAAAATTCACAAATTGGTCAAGTACAGGGTGAAACGATTAGCTAGAGTTTAATTACTTTTTAGTATACCGGGTGGCACAAATAAGCACAAATCGATTGGGAAGTTTGATCAGTTGTTAATACAGGGTGGCACAAAGAAAAATCGGGCGGGATGCGGTCCTGCGGCTGGTAATCGGGATTTTTCGTGTTGTTTTTTTTTTTTTTTTTCTCTCTTCTCTGGTAAACATAATTTCTGTTTATTTTCGCCGCATCGTCGCCGGGCGACAAACGCGTTTTTCTATTTTCGAAAAACCCATTTCGATTTCGGGCCAGTGTCGAAGCGTCCGCCCGGCCGGTCGCTTAACGTTCGTCTAATAATTTCGCTTTTTATTTTGCTCCCTGTATATACGAAAATGTGTCGATTTTCGGGAATTTTCCGGTCGAAAGGAAACCGCCGGGTTTTCCGGCGTGCGGTTAATTAAAATCGCGACGTTGCCGTTGGATTTCCTTTGTGATTTCGTGCGGAATTTTTAATTAAAATATGCTAAGATTTTCCGAGAATTCGTGAGAAATCATGTGAATGAGTTTGGCAAGTGTACAGTGCACCTGCTCGGGAAAATCTCGGAAAATCAAAATCCGAATTTTGGAATTGCGAGACTTGGAATTTTGTGCAAATCTACAGGGTGATTCAAATTCAAACTAACGTTTAGTTCCCTAAATGAACCAGCTTGTATTCTCGAGGATATTATACAAAGTGCGCTCGATAAATAAATAAATAAATAAATAAATAAATAAAATGGCGGCCGCTCAGCATAAGAAGAAACACAGGGATGATTTCGCGGCGTTCGAACACAGGGTGTTGAGGAGAAGACGGGGTTGGACGGTGGTGATTGGACCGGAACTTCATAGAGGGTAATACTGGTCGCTTTCGGTTAAAGTTTTTAGCGATTATCTCGAAAAGTAGCCGTGATGGAAATATCGTGTTTGTTTCATTTTGTTGATATAATGATTTGCTACAAGTTTTGAAGTATGGGAAATTTTCGAAAATCGCGTGGTTTTTGAGATATTTCGAGTTTTTGTATGGGGTGTCTCGAAAGTATCGACTTTGACACATTTTGATGGAAAATCTTAATTATCTCGAAAACCAATCGAGATAAAAACATCGTGTTCAGCTCATTTTGTGGAAAAAACGTTCTTCTACAATTTTTGAAGAGCGGGAAATTTCCGAAAATCGCGTGATTTTTGAGATATTTCGAGTTTTTGTATGGGGTGTCTCGAAAGTATCGACTTTGACACATTTCGATGGAAAATCTTAATTATCTCGAAAACCAATCGAGATAAAAACATCGTGTTCAGCTCATTTTGTGGAAAAAACGTTCTTCTACAATTTTTGAAGAGCGGGAAATTTTCGATAAACGCGTGGTTTTTGAGATATTTCGAGTTATTTATGAATTGTATCGATTTTAGTGCAACTCGATACAAAAACTCGATTATCTCGAAAACTAATAGAGATAAATACAACCGGTTGGATTTATTTTGTAGACAAAATGATTCTCTACGATTTTCGAAGAATCGAAAATGTTCGAAAATCGCTTCATTTTCGAAATATTCGACAAATAAAAAAAATTGACATTAAATACTTCACATCTACACCACCCTATATAATTACTCTACTATATAATAAAACCAATCGAAATAAAAAACATACTAAAATAATTTAATTCAACATCGATATTTCGATATATATTTAAATTTTTTTTGCACAAATCAATTTTCCGTATATACGCTCGCATATTTAATTGCATTAATAAAGCCTCGCATTAATTTCAATTATTATTAATTTATTTGCATCGCATTCGATCCGTTCGGTTCGCATTCAACCATCGACAATGCACTCGGAACACACCGGAATGCCAGGCGACGTTGCCACATCTACAATTTCATCCAATTTTCCACGACAAAATCTCGAACAAGCCTGCTTGATAGTCGAACGTGTGTGTGTTTTATAAGTTAAATAAAATAGAATAAAAATAAACGTTCGTGTACGTCGCGTAAATATGCTAATATTTAACGTGTAACGTGACACTAAATAGATAAAACGGGACGGTTTTGTTTGATTAAATCATCGCCTATATGAAAGATTCCCCCCTTTACGAAGTTTGTTTGTCTCGCGTTTAAGGGCGAATATACTTCGCTAATTACCCGCCTAATTGGCCGCTAATTGGCTCGATTTTTGACCTGCAACAACCATCGCAATTAAATACTAAAAGCTTTTTTTAATAAATCAATTAATAAATCGATAAATCGTTCGTAGCCATGATAGGAATCGTAGCCTAACATGATTCGCATTCCGAATAAGCTCAGCTATTAATTTATTTAAACACAATTGCGAAAAATTCAACGCAATTTCATATATTAACATATTTTTTGCCTATTTTTTTCAATCGTCTTTCTTGTTTCAGGTAAGTCCTATTCACCTCAAATTTATCTCGAGCAATAAACGGGTAAGTTCATCCACAAAACAATTCGAATAATTATCGACCGGTACTCGTATAATAACCCGTAAACTTATCGACCTCCACCGGTATATCATATGATAATCGAGTAATGCAATTTTTTAAATAATCGATGGCGCCCTCTGACGGGCGTCGCTCGAAAACGGCGCCGGCGTCGCGACGGCCTCCATATTGGAGACACTCCAAATGGAGTTTGCTTTTAAATCGATTAGCGAGAGTTCCATCGTTTCCTGGTAGATGGAGGAGCGTGTGCGAGAACGTGGGATTGTACGGGGTGTCCCAAAAAAAATAATAACGATAGTCGAAAACTTGTTGAATTTTTTCTGTTTGTCGTGCGAAAGTCCTGTTTTGTCGTGAACAATTTGCGTCACTCCGGTATCTTTTTACATGTGACTTATCCGTTAAGTGTAAATATTTTTAACGTTTGTTCAATTATAACGAAGGTAAATATTTGCTGGTGTTCTCTTTTTTCGTGCACTTACTTTCCTAATTAGCGTTCGAATTTTATGTATACAGGGTGAACGAATAAATCGACCCTTATTTCGAGCCGCCCTGTATTTTTACTTGCCCTATTTTAAATTGTAAATGCGAAACATGCAAAAATATGCGCGAGGCTCGAGAGAATATGAATTTTACTGCAATACTAATTTAAAAAAAAAAACTCGTTTCTTTTTATTTTTTTTTCCAAGTAGATACTCGATATTTATTTCCCAAATTATGCAATTTACATTAAGTGAATGTGTATTTAGGGTATACATTTTTCTATTACGAAATCTAGTCGGTCGGGTTAATGAAAACTTCGGTCAACATACAGGGTGGTTCACCGAAATTTCCGCTTCTAATTAAACGCGTTATAAGTACCACCCTGTATAAATTCACATTCCCCGGGGGTTTATAGTTAAATTAGAATTCCCTCACACACGCACACACAATGCTTTAAAACCAGTGGAATTTATTTAGCGAGAAAATCGAATAAGCAATTAGTTTTCCCGTCCCATTCCGATTCAATTAAACATACCAGTTTCGAAGCGCCACCCTGTATATTACGCGAGTTTTGATTAAGCCTGACTAGATTTTATAATAGAAAAATTAACACCCTAAATACACTCGCCTACGCAAAATTTATACCTCCTATTCCAGTCGAAATAGAAATCTTACTATACAGCGTGTCCCGCGTCGAACTATTAGTCGAAATATTGTTATGCGAATTCGGCGTAAATGGGTTATGGGAAAATCTAATTTTCCGACGAAAGGGGGCCGCGAAGTGGAAAGCGATTTCCCGGCATTCGATTCGGGGAAAGCGGAGAAATCCTTCGAACTGGCATCGATAATAGGAACTAGTCGGGTTTGAGCGGAGTTGCCTCTTACTTTCTTGGCTATCGGCCAGGCCGGATACTCGTCGAATTTCCCTCGTAAATTCGGTTTTTGGACGTTTCGATATGGCGATTTTATTGGCGAGCGTTAATTGAGATGGAAACGAAGTGTTTGTTGAAAATGAAATGGCTAATATCTCGAAAATTAATCGAGGTAAAAACATCGTGTTTGGTTCGTTTTGTGGAAAAAACGGTTTTCTACAATTTTTGAAGAGCGGGAAATTTCCGAAAATCGCGTGGTTTTTGGGATATTTTGTGTTTTTGTATGGGGTGTCTCGAAAGTACTGACTTTTACACATTTCGATGGAAAATCCTGATTATTTCGAAAACTAATCGATATAAAAACATCGCGTTTGGTTCATTTTGTGGAAAAAACGTTTTTCTACAATTTTTGAAGAGCGGGTAATTTCCGAAAATGGCGTGGTTTTTGAGATATTTCGAGTTTTTGTAGAGGGGGTCTCGAAAGTATTGATTTTGACTTATTTCGACGGAAAATCTTAATTATCTCAAAAACCAATCGAGATAAAAACATCGTGTTTGGTTCATTTTGTGGAAAAAACGTTTTTCTACAATTTTTCAAGAGCGGGAAATTTCCAAAAATCGCGTGTTTTTTGAGATATTTCGAGTTTTTGTACGGGTTGTCTCAAAAGTATCGATTTTCACACGTTTCGATGAAAAATCCTAATTATCTCGAAAACCAATCGAGACAAAACCACCCTTTTCGTCTCATATCACAGAAAAAACATTCCCCTACAACATTCCGAGCACAAAATTCCTCCCAAAATCCCACAACCCTTCCAAAAAACAACCCAAACCCAACCACCCGATAAATCCACAAATCTCCCATCGCCTCTTACAAATCCCCATCGAATACCGCGACACCCTGTATATATATAACACACATTCGTACACACAGGTAACTTATTCGATCGCGCGTTTTCGTCGACCGCTCGTCCGAATCCGTGCAGCTTACCCGGAATCGGAGAGATTTTCATTTCGAAGCGGTGCATCGTAGTGTGCGCGGCGCGTTTCCACGGCGCTCTCGATTTTCGAGAGAGAGTAGGCCGAGTGTGTGTGTGTGTAAAAAAGGGAAAAAAAAGAAGAAATCGCGCTAAAACCGGATACGTGAATCCCCCGCGAATTGTGCCGGCGTTAATCGATTGACTAAAAAGGTGATTTTTTTCTTCTTTTTCGACCGATTAGTGTCGGGGTTAGGTGTATATTTTGAACGCGCCTCGTATATTCGCGGGTTTTTTTTGTTGTTTTAATTGAGTGTCAGTTCGCGTCGAGTTGTGCTACCCTGTATATTAGTATTTAATTAATTAAAAGTGTAAAATTAAGGGCGATTCGAATTACATTAATTACCCAAAAAAAAAATAGTCCCCTAACAAATTTTTTTTGTCGTGTAATTGTTGAAGCAAAGTGGCCAATTAAACGTGGAAAAATAATTACGCAATTAATTATATGCATATAGGAATATGGCCTTTTAGAAAAAAAAATATATATACGGGCGAATGAATATTTAATTAGAGCTTCTATTTTGTACCAACATGCTCGTCGCCAATTGATAAACGAAAACGCAGAAAAATAGATTGTTAAATCGCCAGTTAACACGGCATATTTTACGAGGGGCGTGCGAAAAGTTTCCCTCATTTATTTCGTAATAACGAGAAACAATCGAGTAGGCACGTGAAGGATTTCTGGTTGTTTGCCAAGAATTTATTTTTACCGTACGTCTGTCAATTGTTTTTCGTACAATTGGAGTATTTTTTTTAGTGTAGGAATTGATTTTTTTTTGAAATCCACAATTTGAAGTAAATGCGTTTTATGTAATGATGTATGTTTGTGTAATGATAATGGCGATTTTCGAGTTTACCGAAGGGAAATCGATGAAATGAAATATGTAATATAGTTTTGTGTATTTGACATTTAAATTCTATACATCGGGTTTGTTATGAAATGTCCATTTATCGCCCGACCCTCGTAACTCTATTTTTAGTATTTCAAATTGTATAAATAATAAAGAAAAAAAAATCTTTTTTTCGTATATACGCAATACGTCGGGGACGTACTTACGAGGGCGAATCGATAAGTAGAACTTTTCGACGCCCGTCAAAAACCGACTTTCCAACTTTCTTAATATCTCGAAACTTTCTGATAAACTCGTCTCGATTAAAAGTTTAAAAGGGATTGTTTCGATATTTCCGAACGCAAACGATGGGGGAGCCTCAAACAACTTCAACAACTTTTAATTCCGCAAATTTTCCCATAACAACAACAACAATTCCCCGAAAAACGGGGGTTCAAATTGAAATTTGCCAATTATCGAATTTAAGAGGCGCGCTCTCTCTACGAGGGGCCATCGATTAGTACTTCCTGCGTTCGTATTACGTGGGATTAATTCGGCTTAAATGGCACTTTACGTTCAATTTGCCGGCCCACTCGAGTGTTTCTAATTATATTGCGAAATTCCGAGCCGTTTTGATACGAGATTATTCGATATTTCTTGTATGTTATTTCTCGAACCACCCCGGTAGGTACGTTTCGATCGACCCCGGTAGGTGAAATTGCGTTTTAAATAGTGCACGCGTTCGAATTAATCCGAGTGAATAGGTGAAATGAAGTCGTTTATTTCATTGGTTTCGATAACTGACGGTTAATTAACCGGGGAAAACTAATTTAGAGGAGATTATTATTAATCGGACGATTCAAATCAAATTTCCATTCGTTACGGCCTGACAAAGAGTCCGTTTTTGTTGCGTAACGGTATAGAACGGGCGAAATTGAGTATTTGTACGGGGTGGACCAAAAATGTTTGCTGTTCGCTATCAAATATACACCCTGTATACATAGTGACATTTACTGAAATTGCTTCAAACGATTTTTTTTTTGCACTAAAAAGTGTTTATAGCCTCGCATTTTTTGGAGCCTTGTAAAATTGGATATAATAGAGCTAGAAACGTGAAATTTTCAACAAACGTAGCTTAATATCTTATCTTAAAATTCACTAAGTAGAAAAATCCTCGCTCACCCCTAAGGGGTCGAACAACCCCTTTGAATGATGCACAAAAAAGTTATGTTTTTGTTTGTAGCATCGCATTTTTTGGAGCCTTGTAAAATTGGATATAATAGAGCTAGAAACGTGAAATTTTCAACAAACATAACCTCATATCTTGTCTTATAGCCCACGAAATAACAGCATCCCTCCTCAACTACAAGGGTTGGAACAACCCCTTTGAAAAAGGGCGATGTACAAAATGAAACATTCCGCGGTGCCTTATTCAAAGGGGTTGTTCGGCCCTTTAGGGTTGAGTTAGGGTGATGCTACTTGGAGTACTTTAAGACGAGACATAAGGGTATGTTTGTTGAAAATTTGAAGTTAGTAGCTTGTCTACAGCCAATTTTACAGAGCGATGAAAAAGCGAGTCTATAATTTCTATAACGGGAGAGCGGGCGAAATTGAGTATTTGTATGGGGTGGACCAAAAAAGTTTGCTGTTCGATATGAAATATACACCCTGTATACATAATGACATTGCTGAATTGCTTTTTTTTCGTTAAATTGTGGCACATTTGGCACGGACATTATTATAAAAATCGTTAAATATTTGCTAAATGAATTGTTATATACAATACAAAATTGGCCCCTATCCTAATTACTGGTTTATATTTAAATGAGCTCAAAAACGCGTTCGCCAAATTTTTATTTCCTCGCCGAATTCCATTCTCAACAATTATCATCTATACAGGACGACCCGAAAAAATTCCCCTCAATCGAATTTTGCGTCCATCCTGTATAAAAACCAATTGACATACACGAGCGCTCTAAAAACTCTCTATATAAAAGCGTTTGGGGAGCTCTTTCCTTTGGAGTTTGAGGCCTTTGAAATTCGATTGAGGGGTTTTTAAAAAGGAGCAAATCTCCATCTTGTCTCCTTTATTTTACCGTTTATTATCTTTGGCGCGTCGCCTGCTATAAATAAACGAACGGATAATTCACGCCCGGTGGAAATTCGGGAAAATTGTAAATTAAATTCTTTCGTGTCGATTTCCTACACGGTGGTCTTAAAAAAAATTATGCGTTTTGTCATTTTTGTATGAGACAACCTGTATATGTGCTGGAGTTTTCGAGCGTTGTTTACATTGTATTCAGGTAGTTGGAATTCTGGAAAATTCGAATCAAATCGTTTGGAAAATCGACCAGTTCAAATACAGACGGTGAAAAATTAATATATTTCCATGATGTGTATCTATTAGATTTTTGATTATACCATTCAATTTCTATTCGGGTGGATTATTAAATTTTATATACATGTATCTATGTCTTATGAACTGTGCACATATAATGCACATGCAATATCAATTTTTCTTCTTCTACTCCTCCGCATTTTCATTATATTATCCATCGCTTGGTTTATTCCTTTTTTTTTCTTTTGCCTTCTGGTAATTTCTAAAGAGAGTTTTTGCGATTTATATTCCGATAAAGCACGTATATTTCCCGACTCGTAATTTTTCCTCTCGAGATGCACTTTTTTAGGTAAGAGTTATTAGAAAATGCAACAGGCATAAAAATATTTAGCATCCTCTCTTTTAAACATTTTCCGCTCTGAATACTAATAACTGAAAACTTCCACGCGAATTTAATGCATTTCGAATCACCCTCGTATCATCAATTTGAAATTTTTCATCGTAAAAATCTTCCGCTCGATTTTAATCGATTACCCCGAACCGATCTAATTAAACCATCAGCTCCTATATAACACATACACACAGCGGGTAAACTGTAAACATTCATAGTACAAGACCAGATGTGCTTTCGACGCTAATTGCATGTATCAATCAATTTTCAATCATACAATTCTCTCGACTTTACTTCCATCCTAAAGCGACAGGGAGTTCGGTAAACAAACTCGATTAATCGATTTCTAAATTCAACACTCGAACTAACGGTCTACTGTTAAAAATCATCCACCCTGTATATTCGCAACCGTTTTATCCGGCAGATATAAATCCGGCGAATGTGGTTTTTTATCTGATGAGGTTAAGCGAACGATAAACGAGTGGTGTCTACGAGCCGACGAAACGGGGCGAATATTCAAATCGGGCCGGTGAAATTATCTGACCTACGCACGCCATTTTACCTTTTAGCATACATCGGGGGTATGTTATATATATAGGGATGCTAGACGTTGACATGTCGCAGGAATTATGGGAGTTTGATTGTAATCTAGGGGGGTATTTCGGCGACAGGAACGGCCGGTTCGCGGTCACGGCCATCTTGTTGTTGTACCAGGACGGGGGGAATTTTTCGTAGGCGCCTCGTATGTACTCGCGAATTGGCTACTTCGAACTTTGGAGCTTTGTAGAATTGGCTGTTGTGAAGGTAGACGCGTGAAATTTTCAACGAACGTAGCTTGATGTGTTATCTTAAAGATGACCAAGTAGAAAAATTCTTGCTAAACTCTAAGGGGTCGAACAACCCCTTTGAATGGTGCACCAAAAAGTTAGGTTTTTCGTTTATAGCATCGCATTTTTTGGAGTCTTGTAAAATTGGATATAATAGAGCTAGAAATGTGAAATTTTCAACAAACATAGCTTAATATCTTATCTTAAAGTTCACTAAGTAGAAAAATCCTCACTCACCCCTAAGGGGTCGAACAACCCCTTTGAATGATGCGCCAAAAAGTTAGGTTTTTCGTTTATAGCATCGCATTTTTTGGAGTCTTGTAAAATTGGATATAATAGAGCTAGAAACGTGAAATTTTCAACAAACATAGCCTCATGTCTTGTCTTATAGCCCACGAAGTAACAGCATCCCTACTCATCTCCTAGGGGTGGAACAACCCCTTTGAAAGAGGCGATGTACGAAATGAAACTTTTCGCGGTGCCTTATTCGAAGGGGTAGTTCGACCCTTAGGAGTGGAATGGGGATGATGCTACTTTGGGGATGTCAAGACAAGATATGAGGCTATGTCTACTGAAAATTTCACATTTTTAGCGAGACTATATTTAATTTTACAACGCTTCAAAGAAGCAAGATGATGAACTAAAACGATACGTTTAATGGCGCCTTATTCAAAGGGGTTATTCGGCCCTTTAGGGTTGAGTTAGGGTGATGCTATTTGGTGTACTTTAAGACAAGACATATGGGTATGTTTGTTGAAAATTTGAAGTTGGTAGCTTGTCTACAGCCAATTTTACAGAGCGATGTCTATAATTTCGACGAGCAGTGTATTTAACACCCTTACATTTACATCCCTTACAATGAGACCTGCGAAGGAATTATGCAAATAAAACTTGTAGCTTGTTATAAAAGGCGAATTCGTCGCGTTTTAAATTTTTTTTTTCGCATCGGAAAAATCCCCTCGTACGTTTTAATTTCCATCAAGCCATTTCCCAGATGAAACGGTTTTTGTACATATTTATTCGCGCTCTGTACTTTGGAAACTCCGACCGGGGGATTTTCCTGGAGTTTCCGGCTCGCTAATAGCGCAACTTTCCCATCGCCTTAAATAAAAATGGCTTTTCGCCATGCATTATGAAAATTCGTCTTTCTCGCAATTAAAAACTTCTCTCCGATACGGCCGCAAAGTTGCCTCTGCGAAGAAAATATACGAAAGGAAAATATTGGTTTTTTAATTTTTAATATCTAAATTGGCTTGTATACACTCCGACTTGGATTTATCCTAATCGATTAATCTAGTGAGTATCCGCGATTCTTTTTTTTTTGTTTGTTTTGATGTGCCAAGGTTACTTGATAATTGCGGGAAGATAAATTATTTTAATTACGCCCGATCGGGCGTTATTGTGGACGTAAGACGATGTCTAAAAAAACGATTTATTTAGATTCTAATGCGTTGTTTTGATTGAAAATTTGCGTCGAATCGATGTGGAAAAGAATTTCCTCCGTGTGGAAAAATTAGGGGTGACAAATATGGGGAGTGGATGCAGTTTTGTGGTTATAAACATAAAGAAAACGTAATTATTACATTAATTTTTTTATTTATCTAATTAGTAACGTTTATTTATAAATATCTACTAAAAATACCACCCTAATTTCATTTCATCCAAGCAACAGGTAAACGAAGTAAAAAATTATCGCGATTTCCCCCCTATTTCCCGAACGTTTCTCGCATTTAACAATAATCTAATCTCCTAATCAAAAAAACAAATTATTCGAATCACAATTTAGTTCCATCTCTTTCAATCGAGGAATCGATGCATTCCTTGTCGCCACGGCAACCGAGTTTTTCCAGCATTCTTATTGGCCGGCGAATTACCGGTCGCCTTGGTAACCAAACTAAAGTGAATTCGAAGCGACCAATTAGAAACGACTGCAGTTTGTTGGAAAAATATTTTTACTATACAGGACGTCCTTTGTTTGAATGAATGAGAAAAAAAAATTGAAAAATGCGCATTTTTCGCATTCTGCTTGGTTCAATTAGATTCGTTATTTTTAATTGGAAATACAACTGTTGGGAGAAATGTTGTATAGAGGTGGGAACGTTACAAAATAACGGTTCCGCGTAGGGATTTTAAGATGACGTTGTTGATAGGGAAAGGCGAATTTTCCCGGCCAATTTTCCCCGTTAATTCGACGCGGAGGAAAAACAGCCGGCAGGTTTGTTTGCGATCATCACGTTTCGCAAATTAATTACCGCACGCACACATTTACAATATTTCCGCATTGTTTGTTTTAGCGCCGAAAATAAACTCCGCGCTCCGACATAATTAATTCGGAAAATTCGCTTTTAAAAATATATATCATATCGGCCGTGGAATTTTCATTTTTTTTTTTTGTCTCGATGGGAAATATTTTAGTTTCGTTTTCCGCGCGCTCGGGAAATTCTATTTTAAAGGCCAGTTTATTTTTTTGTACGGGGAATTTTCTTATACACAATTGCTTTTCCAATCCAAAGATTTAGAAACAATTCGAATCGCCCAAATACTAACTCAAAAACTATCAACAACTCATTTATAGTTCACCAACACCAGGCGCAATTTACGCATACACCTCTCCCACACAAAGCGCCAAAAAAAACTATACAGCTTGTCCCATCAAAATGCCTCGCCAAATTTCGCGATAACCATCACCGATTAACCACCCGAAAATGGAGGAAGAAGACGACGACATGTCCACCCTCTCCAAAGCCCCTTCAACCATCACTCTAACCCCCCAAAACGTCCACCAACTCGTCGACCCGGTCCCCGCCAAATTCCCCCAATGCCACATCGTCACCCACCAAGCCAGCGGCGATTCCAACGAATCCGAATCCGATTCGCTCTCCGCCAAAGCTTCCCCGCGCTACTCTTTACTCTCCAAATCGCCGCACTCCAGCTCATCGCAGGAGGACTACGAACCGGAGGCCTCCAAATACAAGAACCAGTATCTATCGGCCTCCATGCACAGCACCATCACCACCAAGAGCATGGAGAGCCTGCGCGCCTCCCCCAAGGGGTTCCTCTCGTCCAGCGAACGCGACGTGAGGAAGGTGTTTTTGGAGACTGCTGAAACTAAGTCCTTGGAGTGCATAGAGCGCGAGATGAAGCTGAAGAGGCACGCCGTCAGCGGGGAGGCTTCCTTAGAAACCACCGGCAGGGAGGATTCTTTCAGCGCCGAACGCAAGAGGGTGCTGTGGTCGGGGAAGATGAGGATACCGCAGCATTTGAGTCTACCGCCTCCCGCCGGGTATTTGAGCTTGAGTCCGGGAGGCGATAGACGATTGACGATTCTGTCGCCCCATTCGCCGCATAAGATGCCCGATTATTTCGCCGGCGGTACGTTGAAGAGCAGGAGGAAAAAGGCGGGGGTGTTGCCCAAGTTGTTGTTGCCCCGGAGCGATTCGGAGATCAGCGAGGTGTTCTCCGAACAACAGAGTTTGGAGTAAGTAACGTTTCGTGGCGTTTTGTATTCTTAATTTCAACCACTACTTGGGGGTACGATACTCGTAGGGAAGGATGGGGATGATCAGGGAAGAGTAGGAAAGGATAGAGAAGAGTAGGGAAGATTAGGGAAGGATAGAGAAGAGTAGGAAAGGCTAGGGAAGCGTAGGAGAGGCTAGGGAAGAGTAGGGAAGATTAGGGAAGAGTAGGAAAAGCTAGGGAAGAGTAGGAAAGGCTAGGGAAGCGTAGGAAAGGCTAGGGAAGAGTAGGAAAGGCTAGGGAAGAGTAGGAGAGGCTAGGGAAGCGTAGGAGAGGCTAGGGAAGAGTAGGGAAGATTAGGGAAGGATAGGGAAGATTGGGGAAGGCTAGGGAAGCGTAGGAAAGGCTAGGGAAGAGTAGGAAAGGCTAGGGAAGAGTAGGAGAGGCTAGGGAAGCGTAGGAGAGGCTAGGGAAGAGTAGGAAAGGCTAGGGAAGCGTAGGGAAGATTAGGGAAGAGTAGGAATGGCTAGGGATGAGTAGGGAAGATTAGGAAAGAGTAGGAAAAGCTAGGGAAGAGTAGGAAAGGCTAGGGAAGAATAGGAAAGGCTAGGGAAGAGTAGGAAAGATTAAGAAAGGGTAAGGAAGTTTAGGGAAGATTAGGGAAGTGTGGGGAAGAGTGGAGAAGTGTTAAAGGGTAAAAGCAAATCTTGTAGTAAGCAGTGGCGTTTGGTATGCCTAATTTAGCTCCCCGATTCGGGTGTTTAGGGGGTGTAAATGTGTAAATTTAGCGTGATATATGGAGGGATGCTTAAAAGTCGGATTATCGATTGGAGAATTAACTCCTCATCGGGGGGTTTTGTGCACAATCAAATACACCGGATGTTTCGGGGGGGAGTGAGGGTGTGAGAAACGAGAACGTTGAGCGTCCCGACGCCCTTTGTAGACGCTCCCCCGTTTTGACCTCAACACACGCCGGTTATTATGTAGTCGGAGGACGTGATTATACCTAGACCGCATTCGAATTTAGTTTTAGTTTTAGTCGTCGCCATTTTCTAATTCTATTTGGCCAAACGGGAAATTAACATTTCATTTACGCTATTTAATTATCGTTTAATTATCACCATTCACGTCTACTGGGATGATTGAAGTATTTTACTTATACTTAATCGACTAATTAAAGTATTATAACCAAAGTAATGGAAGTATTTACTCTAGAAATAAGGGGAGTAAAATATGTATAGGGATACTCTGAATGATTAAAGTATTTTACTTACTTATACTCAACTAATTAAAGTATAAAAACCAAAGTGATTGAAGTGTTTTACTTATACTCAACTAATTAAAGTATTAAATCAAATGTTTGAAGTTTTTACTGGACGAGAAAATTAAATTTATACCATCAATATAATGAATTATCTAATCGACGGTTTATTCGTATCATTAAAATAACGAAGCGATTAAATATGTCGATGAAATACTCGAAGTTTAGTGAATGTTTTATGGATAAACACTTGAAATTTTACTACGCTGTTTGTTTATCGAGCTGTTAAATTTCCCCGTATTAAAAACGCACCTTTAATCGTTAATTCGGAAAAATCGAAAACGGATCGTTAATAATCGTTTGATCAGATGATAATCTGATCGATTTAACCGACCGTTTAACCGTTTAACGGACCGTTAAGTATATCCGCATCGGTCGCGGAAAATCGCCTCCAACACCACCTGTCCGAATTTCCCTCGACGAGCGAAATTTCCCTCGACGTCGTCGAAAATTAATTGATTTTCCGGCCGTCGAGTAAAAACGGGGGCGCTTCGATCGGAGCTTATGTAGGTAAAACGAGTTTTACATTTTTCACGTTACACGTTTCCCTTTTCCCCGTAAACAATTCGATTTTCGCTCGGGAAAGCTTTCCAGCGCGCCGCGAATTAAAGGTGGGATTTTCCAGCGCCGGAACGGTTATTTGCGTTTTTTCCGACGGTATTTTCCATCTCTACTCGCCGCGAAGCGTAGGGATTAGATGGGGGGGAGTGGGGTCGGGGTATATAAGGGTGAAGTCGGCGCGTGCGCACTCGGAAAACCCAGTCATGGCCGCCTCGATGTGGCACGCGCTCGCCTCTCGATCGTTTAGAGAGTTTTCCGGCTATCCGGAATGAATTTTTGATGTCGTCGGAAGACGCCGCTTGAGGCCGACCGGTCGGGCGGAAAATTCGCGAGGAAATCGTCGAGGAAAATTCGGAAAATTCGGAAAATTCGCGCGCGTTTTTCCTAACTCGCCGGCGATGCGTGCGTGCGTGTTTGTTGTCGGGAAAGCGCCGGGGAAATCGGGTGAAAAATCGCGCGTCGCAATCGATGAGAGCCGCGTTCGGATTTTCCCTGGCTTTGAATGTTGGAAATTTTCCGATTTCGAAAACGAATCGTCGTTTGGGCGCGATTTTCCGGTGTTTGATATGGTCGATTCGCCTTAGATAGGTCAGTTTTCCATCAAGGATTGTTTAGTGGATTTAGTGTAGCGAATAAAAAAATGAATATATAGGTATAGTGCTTTCGATATTTTGTATATCGTGACGTCATCGCTAAATATCTGTGATTTTACTATACATTTATCATTCATAATGCCCTGTAAAAAATTTATACATATAGTGCATTCAATATTTCATTCCGTGACGTCATCGCTAACTATTTGTGAATATGTTATACACTTAAATTTAAATTTATGCTATCTAATGTTGATACTATTCCATATTATATCCTACCCCTTGGTACATTCTATATTTAGCCCCTATTTGAATCGATATTGTACGATTTTGACTACCCCCCTTTACGAAATCTAAATCTGTCACTAATAACTTCCGATTTAATCAGACTAAAATTTCCCAATAAGAAGAATAATATGTATTAATTCATTATGTATCTACAGTAGGCTCATTTGGACAAAACGATGACGTTACGGTGTAAGTTTTTAGGTTAGATTTTTGCGTCACTATATATTATTTAGAAATAGCAAGTGGTGACGTCACGACTTGCTTAAAGCGATCTAATCGTAGGTACCCAAACGATGATTTCGATATCGAAATTAATGTGTTACAGTGAAATAAATAAATTAATAAAAGTGCGAAAAATGGTGTCGGTTTTAATCGATAAATAAGACGAAAACCGGACTGAAAAAAGACTAAACATGTGAGAGAGCCCCCTCCAGATTGTCATCGTTTTTTGTTTTTTCGAAAAATGTGACCAAAAACAAACAAAAAAAAAACAAAAAATCGAGAATGGCCGAGTAGTTTTGTTCGGGATCGATTCGACAACGACAGCCTGTTTTGCTTCTATAAAGATAATAAAAAAAGTAGAGAGAAATTGAGAAAAGAAAATAAACAGAGCGTTTCGTCGTTTCGAGATCTCCCCCATCAGTATTATAGACACGCATATGTAGTGACGTTTCGGTGCGGGAAAAGGAGCGCCGATTTATATCAATCTCTCTTTTATTCTCTCAGGTTTTTTTTTCTTTTTAATTATACTCTGCTCATAGTCCATTCGCTGAACTTATAAGCGAGTTTTTACGGTGAATTTTTACCTGTTTCTTAGATAAATATAAGAAATGCAACAAGCGCAAGTTCTGCGAATGGACTATTAGAGAGTATTCGAGTTATTTGTTGCGATTAGAAAAAAAAAATGTAATTGGGCAAATTCGAACTGAAAATGAGACGACTTTTGTGCTTATAGTAAATAGTACCAATCTTATTTAATTAAACTCTTAGAAATTGCTGAGTAATTAAAGTTAGGTACTCAAAATCTCAAAATATACAAAAATTATTGTTATTAAAAATATTCTTCATGTACAAAAATTACTCGGTAAATGATGCAAAAATTACTTAGTAAAATGTGCAAATATTACTCGGTAAAAATGCAAAATTTACTCAGTGAAAGATGTTAAAATTATTCAGTAAAAGATGTAAAAAATACGCAATAAAGATGCAAAAATTATTCAGTAAAAAATGCAAAAAATATTCAGTAAAAGATGCTAAAATTATTCAGTTAAAGATGCTAAAATTATTCAGTAAAAAATGCAAAAATTATTCAGTAAAAGATGCTAAAATTACTTAGTAAAAGATGTAAAAAATACGCAGTAAAAGATGCTAAAATTACTCAGTAAAAAATGCAAAAAATATTCAGTAAAAGATGCTAAAATTACTCAGTAAAAAATGCAAAAATTACTCAGTTAAAGATGCTAAAATTACTCAGTAAAAAATGCAAAAATTATTCAGTAAAAGATGCTAAAATTCATACTTCATACAACATAATGCACATTAGTCATCTCACTTCTACCCTTACCAATAACTCGGCGCTTCTTTTTCTAAAAAAAAAAACCAACCAAACAGCTTTTTAGTTACCAAAAAAAAAACAAAAAAAAAACCGAACAGACGCACAGCACACTCGATTAAATAAATAAAACAAAAAAACGAAAACGCCAAGAAAAAATGGCCGTATAATGCTGACATTATTGTTTCTGTTATGGTCACTGATACGCGGTTTGAAGAAATCGAACCGTCCCGGATCGCGAACCCGTCGCACCCTCGCCAACAGCGAAAGCGGCGCCCAAACGCCCGAACGATCCGGAACCCGTCCCGCGCCCAGTCCGGAACCGGAACCGGAACCGGAACCGGAACCGGAAATCGTTAGCGAAATGTCGTCCCGAAGGATATCGTCGTCCGATAATTACCGGTCTAGGTACATCTATATACAGGGTGTCGATTCGCTATACTATATAACGAGATTTATTAGTATATACAGGGTGTGGTTTTTTTCGTCTCTGTTCTTTTTTGTTAATGGGACATGCTGTATAAGGGAGTTTTTGCCAGTTTTATACTCGGTTCGCTATCAGGATGTAGAAATTCTTGTTAGAAAGCATCTAATTTTGATTACTATTTGAATCACCCTCGTATATTACCTACCAATAAATTATTAGATACAAGTAGTTGTTTATTATTAATCAAATTTTCTGCAAGAGGGCGAACGGAGTATAATTCTACATGCGATAATAATTTCCTACCTAAATATTTTCTGAGCTTAAATTTTGGGGATACTATAGAGTTTATAATAGAGTAGACACCCTGTAGATATATGGATAATTGTTCGTTGCGAAAACGAGTGCTAAATAAAAGGTTATTAATTATTAGTATTACACTATATACAGGGTGTATCTAAATACTCTATAAATAATTGCTTTGGTTATTGAATTAACCTTTTAATTAGTTTTACCGCTCGTTTTGGTTATAATTTTTTACACTGCAATGTTTTTTTATTTTTTTTTGGGCGAATTCGTTAGAATACGGATATTGTATATATGGAAAATTCTATAATAATTTTACTATTACACATATGTGGAGTTGTTGGGGTAAATGAGGATCGAGTCGTGCGTTAATTAAACTTTATTAAACTCCGCGAAACTTCCCCGCTGTTCGCTCGAACTTTCGCAAATTAAATTTTAATTGGGCCGTTTCAAAGCGAAATATTTTTTTTTAGTATTTTTTTCTCATATTTTTCCGTAGTATATTCGTAATCTAACGGGTTCCATCGCATTGCACGAGCCTTTTAATAGTTATCACACACAGAGATGATGTCGTTTTTCCCGGCTTTTCCAGTAGAATATAATACGATTTTTCATTCATTCAATGACATTTTTTTTCTATCATATAAAAATGATGAACGGTTGTAAATTGGGTGCAAAAGGAAATTTTAGAGTTGCTCTGTTCTGTACTGTTCCTACTCTGCTCCTACTTCTTCTCCTACTTTGCTTCTACTCTGCTATTACTCTACTCTGTTCTTACTCTACTCTACTTTATTCCTACTCTGTTCCTACTTTGCTGCTCCTACTCTGATGCTCTACTTTACTCCTACTCTGTTCTACTTTACTCCTACTCTGTTCCTACTCTTTTCCTACTCTTCTCCAACTCTGCTCCTACTTTTCTCCTACTCTGCTTCTACTCTACTTTACTCCTACTCTGTTCCTACTCGGCTTTTACTCTGCTCTTACTCTACTTTGCTCTTACTCCACTCTACATTACTCCTACTCTGCTTCTTCTCTTCCGCACTCTTCTTCTACTCTGCTCTCGCCCTGATTTTACTACTTTACTCCTACTCTGCTTTTACTTTACTCCTACTCTGTTCCTATTCTTCTGCTCCTACTCTGCTCCCACCCTGATGCTTCAACTCTGCTCCTACTCTGTTCTACTTGACTCCTACTCTGCTTCTACTTTATTTCACTCCTACTCTGTCCCTACTCTTTTCCTACTCCTACTTCTATACTCCTACTCTGTACCCACTCTACTCTTCTCCTACTCTGCTTCTACTCTACTTTACTCCTACTCTGTACCTACTCTACTCTTCTCTTCTCCTACTCTGCTCTCACCCTGATCTTACTACTTTACTCCTACTCTGCTTCTGCTCCACATTACTCCCACTCTGTTCCTACTCGGCTTCTACTCTGCTCTTACTCTACTTTACTCCTACTCTATTTAACTAAGTGAGACTAACTCGGAGCGTATTATATTCTACTTATACAAAACCCACAACTCTTTATTCACGTAGAAACCTCACTTTGGCAAAAAACCAAAAGTAGATAATAGAGAGTTTACAACCCTCCAAAACAAACTCTCTACTATTTACCACCACCACCCCACATCTCCCCTCCAAAAAAAAAAAAAACCCCAAAACTCCATCCGACATTGTACCACAACCCCAAACCTTCATCAGGTACTCGCCGTTCTCGCGCGACTCATCGCTGGACGTCGGCAACGAAAGCCGCCCGTCGGTGACCAGCATCTCGTCGTTCTCCATGTCGACGGCGTCGGCGTCGGCGTCGTCGCGCGTCGTCGGCCAACGTTCGATCGATTCGCGCACGTCGATCACCAGCCTGTGGTCGACGGACGCGTCGCGACGCGACTCGGACGCCATACCCGAACACGATCCGGCCGACGGCGACGCCTCCGACGGTTCGCGAAGGTGTTCGGAGGCGACGGCGAAGCGACGCCGATCGTCGGCGGCGAGGTCGTCGCAGGCGCGACGCGCCGGCAGGAGGTACCCGTTGAACGCCGATCGGAGGAGGACCACCGGAAGGTTGGTAATCGTCGATTGCAGATGGGTGCACCAGGTGGTTTGGTTTTTTTGGTTTAGTTTGGAAGTGTAAGGTTCGGTTTGATGGTTAAAAAAGCTTGGGAAGCATCTTCGGAAGGTGCACCAGGTGGTTGTATGATTATTTTGGAAGTATTAGGTTCGGTTTGAAGGGTTTTTGATGGTTAAAAGTGTTTGGGATTTAGTGGGAAGCATCTTTAGAAGGTGCACCAGGTGGTTTTATGATTATTTTGTAAGTATTAGGTTCGGTTTGAAGGGTTTATGATGGTTAAAAGAGTTTGGGATTTGTTGTGAAGCATCTTTAGAAGGTGCACCAGGTGGTTGTATGATTCTTTTGGAAGTATTAGGTTCGGTTTGAAGGGTTTTTGATGGTTAAAAGTGTTTGGGATTTGGTGGGAAGCATCTTTAGAAGGTGCATCAGGTGGTTGTTTATTTTGGAAGTATAAAATTTGGTTTTAACGTTTTTGAGAATTAAAAAATCTTTGGGATTTGGTGGGAAGCATCTTTAGAAAGTGCACCAGGTGGTTGTATGATTATTTTGGAAGTATAAAGTTCGGTTTGAAGAGTTTTTGATGGTTAAAAAAAATTTGGGATTTGGTGGGAAGCATCTTTAGAAGGTGCACCAGGTTAATTACTTACTAAAGCACCAGGAAATGTGGTGTTGTTCGTTATTCTATTTGAATGGTTTTTCGAGTACGATAACACTTAATAAATAATGCAAATCACTACAAAAAAAAATATACTTTTTTTAACATTTCTTTGTTTAAATTAAGCGCATTTTAACCAAACAACCGAACGTAATTAACAATTATCAACTAGCATAAACTCATATCTAATTTTTTTATTAATTCGAATACATAAATACGTATAGGAAAAAAAAATATATGGCCGGTTTGCGGGATTTCCTCGAGCGGAACCGCTCCGTTTCCGTTCGCCAACAATTTTTCCCGTTCGAACGAAATTTCAACGTTAAACGAATCCACAGTACGAAATTCGAAGCGTTATTATCGCGTACTCGCGGTTTTTATCTTATCGAATCGAACGATCAGCGCCCTAAAATATTATCTAATTATTTTTTCGAATGTAATAGTTATCAGTAGTGAAGGATATTCGCCTTTGGAAAGTACCTCTTGATTGTACTTTATTTTGTTAATTGATAATGGATAGATCGATTTTAAACGAAATCGAATAGATTTTTTACTAAGGGAAAATGCGGAATCCGATGAGGATATCGGTCAGTATAAAAATCCCGAGGAGACATTCGGATTTTCCCAGGCACCGGCCGATTCTGAGGTATATTTTTACATTTTTACATTTATACATCCTTCCGGAAATCGATTGTGTATGTATCTAAGCGTGCCGTGGTATAAATCTGTTTGACAGTAAATTGTATATTAGTGATTAAATATCCAAGTGAGCTGTGATTTTTGACATGAAGTTTGTTTATATGACAGATAGAAATTAATTGTTTGTTGCGTTAGGAAAAATTGTGTATTAAAGGTCCTTCGAATCGGATAATTAGATGTAATTAGGCGCGTTCAATTAGGTAATAACGATATAATTAAGGTAATTTATGTTGATTTATTTTTCTCATGCCAATTTCATTGTTATGACGATAAATTAACTCCCCCATTCGTATCTGTATAATATTATTTTCTTTGATCTTTGCGGAGGTAAAAAAAAATATATATAAATTTGTGTATATCTCGAATATTTTCTTTTTTTACCTTTATATGAAAATTTCTGATTGACGTTTTCCTTTTTTGCGGACGTATTTTTTAATTCGACGATTCGAAACGCGGTATAAGGGAAATCTTTTCTCCCTACCTTTATACAAACTTCAAAGCCCCGGCTTTTTCTTTGTATTTGTATTTTCCACTCTCAATCGACGTTTATTTCAACTTATTATACATACAACCTTTCCCCTTCGAATTTTTAGTATACAGGGTGTTAATTAATTGAATGCCTATACTTCAGAATGTGAATATTTGGGTGATTTTTAGAAGAAAACTTTATATTAAGGTATGTCCTAAACCTCCTAGTTTTCGAGCATCTTAATCTTCGATTTTAATCTTAATCTTCGAGCATCAAAAAGTGCATCTTAGTAATTAAAAAGTGTATAAAAAATGTAGTAATATGAAAATTTTAACACCCTATAGCTCAAAAACTAAGAGATTAAGAACATATATCGATAAAAACTTTTCTTCTTTTAAAATCATCCAAATATTCACATCCTGAAGTACCTATCGGCATTCAATTGATTAAACGCCCTGTATATAAGAGTATTTTCGCTTTGTAAAAGACCGGCCCCCCGTATAATTCGCAATTTAATTTCGTCTACGACGAATTTCCTCGAGAAAATCTCGTTAATTCTTCGTTAAAGGTGGATTGTTTCGCGTCAAAGGAAAACTTTTCTCGCCCTCGCTTTTCCAATATACCGAGCGCAAGAATTTAAACTCTTGTACTCAGAAATAATCGATTATAGTCGCGGAAAACGATCAGTAGAAGATTATTAATCGAATCTAAATTAATGGAAGATTAATAGATAAAATAGATGGATTTTCTCGTTGCAGTTTCGATGTGGAAAACGGCGCCAGTCCCGGCCGGAGCCCCCTCGACGGGGCCGCCTCCCCCTCGGCCGGTTTGGTCCTCCAGAATCTCCCCCAAAGGCGCGAGAGTTTCCTCTATCGATCGGACAGCGACTTCGAGATGTCCCCCAAATCGATGTCGAGGAATTCGTCGATCGCCAGCGAAAGGTATTTTTTTATTTTATTTATTTATTATATTTTTTCTATCATCTATCGCTTTGTTATTGGCAATTTAATAAACGTTTAGGGTGAATAATTCGTATCGAAACGTCGAGAGTGTTTAATTATGTCATTATTGTCGAAATTGACGTTTGCCAACTTGATTTGTAATCTCGACGTTTCTGTTTGCATTTCGGGGATTTACACAGTGACAGATTTAAAATCGTTTGTGCTGCATAACCGCATCAGTTGAGGCCGCTTTAAAAAATTTATGGGATATTTTACTGTATCGAATAATTGCTCATTAATTTACTTACTTAATTAGTTTACTAATCATGTCGCTTTCGTTTCGCAATCATCATCATCATCATCGATCGTTTTGTCGCGCGTTATTTTTCGTCCGCCCTGTATACTTACGAGTGGTTTTTCAGGTTCAGGGAGACCGAGAACATATTGGAAAGATCGTATGTATCCAAATTTTTTTGTGGTTTTTTAATATTTTTTTCCATCCTTTACGAAATAGAATTTTTCGCAGTGTACGCACGAGGTGGCTTAACTTTGGGACAATCTGTATATCGTTAGGCCGCCTTGGCGTTTTGCATGAGTTTCCGTTTTTTGGTAGATTTTTATTTTTTTCGAATTTTTGAAGCGCTACGATTTTTTTTGTTTCGTGCGTTTAATTGGACCCGAAATTATCGACTGTACCTTGTATATACGTTTTTTTAGATAACATACAGGGTGTTCAATGTACATAAACGATGTTGATGTAGCTTTTTATGTTTGTTTGTAAATGTGTTTAATGGTAATCGAATAACCTAATAAAAAAAATTGTATGTTACGAGTTATTGTTAGATATTTTTTTTGTTTGGGAATTTTAATGGGATTTATTTTTTGGTGTTTTTTTTTTTTTAGCCACGGAGAAGATCTCATAGTGACGCCTTTCGCACAAATTCTTGCCAGTTTACGAAGCGTACGCAACAATTTTCAATGTCTCACCAATGTGCCCGTTAACAAGTAAGTAATTACTTTTTTTTTATAATAAAAAAATCGAATTTTCTTCAATATTTCAAATTTGCTGCATAACTTAATGAGTACAAGGCGCGGAAATTTGTGGCCTTTTTCTCGTGTACAAATCAGCCAGTTTAATGCGTGGGAAACCCACGAAATATAAAAATAGAAATCTACGCTAGAAAATAGTTGTTACTATATTTACTAGGTAGATGGCGCTTGTAATATTTTTTTTATAAAAGACCCACTTGATTGTAGAGATAATAAAAAAATAATTAATTACCTACTCCTGTATGTTTACTACCGGCTGTTCCAATTAAAAACCGAGTAATAGAATTCTTATCAATTTTGACTCATGTTACTCGAAATGGGAAGTTTATCGTTCGAATGATAATTATTTCAAAGCCATTCAGTCTAGTAGGCAATGTTTTTTTTTTTATACGAGGGTTGTTCCAAATATTTTTTGTTTTTTATTTACGCTTCCTTCGATTTAAAAATGTGAATAGGTAAATTTAGGCGTACTTGAATTGTTTCGCAATAGATGCGAATTTATTGCGAGTTAATATAGAAAAAAAAAACGGAAACAATATTTAATCAACGTCCGCCAAGGCTGACCTGGATTTCTATGCAAACAAATATGTTTGTAACTTTTTCGAAAAAATTTATAAGAAACGCACAAAAACCGATCGAAAATAATAATAATTGGACGTTTAAAAAAAATAAATATATCGAATTTATAGTAGGTAAATAATATTTATTAACGATCATTAACCTTTTAAACAATGAATTTTTCATAGTTAATTATACCCGAAACATTTTCCAGATTTATTTGTTTGCCACCATTTAAATTCTATCTTCGAAATTCTTCGAACGAATGCACCGAAAAAAAAAAAACAATAAAAATCCTCTTTACGCAATAATTTTGGCAACGAATTCGAACAAAATTTCGGCGAATTTCGAATTTCCGAAATTTCCAAAAATTCCATTTATTCAGAGCGTCCCGTTTTCCTTTCCAGATCATCCAGACGATCGTCGGGAGCGGCCTCGGCCGCATCGGCGCAATCCAGAAACTTCAACCCCGGGGGTAAGTTCCATTTGACATTTGACAGAAATTTGACAGTTGACATAAATTAGACATTTGACACATGTCAAAATACGACAAATTTTTCGCCCATTCTCCACCGTTTGATTTTATTTTCGTTACATTTGTATTTTCTTTATTACAACGCACATTTTCGCACGTATTCGAATCTCCCGAAAATCCCCCAATTGACAAACGCAAATATTTTCATTCGATCAAAAAGCGCCATGACACTCGACAAATATTTACTCTCGTTAAATCGTATATACAGGGTGATTCATAATATATCAAAGGAATAATCATGTGTAAACGTTTTTCTAGTATCCCATACGTTTACACAAAAGTCTTAACGCCTCAATTAAAAAATTATTTATTAATTGTATATTACAGATGAAGCTTATATGAAATTAGCGATGGAAACGATGGAGGAATTAGATTGGTGTTTGGATCAATTGGAGACGATTCAAACGCATCGATCCGTTTCCGATATGGCGTCTTTAAAGGTAATTAATTTCGTTATATTATACAGGGTGAGCCGAATAAATTTACAACTCGTTATGAGTCAGTCGATTTCGTTTGACCTTATATACTCGATAAGGAATTTTTTGCGAAAAAAAAAATATAATTAATTGGTTCGTCGTGTGAAGAGTCACATATTCTAATTAGACGGGTGATTCATATCGTTATCGTTTATTCCGGGCTAATTATTCCGGTTTTAAATTGCATTTTAGAAGCGGATAAATCACCCTTAATTGAGTATTTTTAATAGGGGACGTTCTGTATATATTTCCCGATTTGCGTCACGATGCGATAAAGTGAATCTTGCATAACCGATTTCTTCTACACTATATTTCTAATTTAAATAGTTTGTAGTGGAAAAAAATCGCCGATAACGATTCGTTTTTTGTTTTAATAATTATAATATAAACATTTCGTTTCGAGTAAAATGTGCATTTCATTCGGGTTTAAATTTATGTTAAAATTCGATTCCTATTCCACGTAGACTCTCCAGAAATTTTCCATTAAATTTGTTAAAAATAAACAGTGTAAGGTCGGCTTTAGATTCACAGGGAGCGCGTCAATTGCACCTGTCGTTTCTCCCAACTTTTTCGCCGACTTAAAATTCCCGCTAACCTGACACTATTTGGAAATTTCTTCGAAATAAACAGTTTGAGCAAATTTACAAATCCATTATAACGCGACAAAGGATCCAAAACGTCTATTATTAGACCTCGGGCATTTACTAATAATTGTTTCTATAAGTTCTATACGAAAACGAGTCTGAGTCTCCGGGTTTTCCGAAGCTTCATTATTTTGTTCGAACGTTCTAAAGTCTATTACATTTTTTTTTATTTATAAATATACAGTATTATTGTTCCAAATAATACTATACCTACTGTATTTTTTTACGGCTGTTATAATTGTTTTTACAGATATTTTTTTCTTCGTATACATCACAAATTTATACAGAGTGTTTCTGAAATAAATGGGCAAATTTTGGGAGCAAGTAGAGAATCTCAAAATATGAGAAAAACTTAAATGTCATATAGAAATGTCAAGTTTTTGAAAGATTTCATTCCTACTAGATTTTTAAAGATGACAATTGGTTTAATAATTTTGTGTATCAGATTTTTAAAAGACATTTTTCGTGAAAACTGTTCGCTTTACAGAAAATCAACAAGTATACCTTTTTTATGTAGAAAACTTCATTTTTTCTGATTCTTTATACAAATCAATAGAAAACGTTAAAATATATCGTTAAGATGTATTTTTATGCATTATTTTGAATTAATCGTCAGAGGATCTATCTAGCTTTAATTATCTAGGTACAATTTTGTGTTCATAGAACTTATTATGTGCGTACATAGTACTAAAAAGCATACACTTATAACATACTTTACATCCTCATAATTCATATTTAAATTTGATTTATGTTTGATGTAATTAAATTGGTTGCGCGTTATTTTGTTCGTGAATCACAGTACTTTTCATGTCCGGTCGATAATATGTATTCATCAGGTGATGAGAGAGCCTTTTAATGTGGGGAAATTCGTGTTGTGTAAGGTTCAGGTTTCGATTTAATCGGCGATAGATCTCTCCCAATTGGAAGTTAATTGATTGAGGAAGAGTTGCGTTAGTCAGAAAATTCTTAAGGAAAATTTATTTAAGAGACGTTTAAAGAATACAAAGAAGAAGTACATCTCTTAATATTGATATAGTCCTTTCGTTATCAGGAGGTGTACTAATAAAACCTTCTTAAAACTTTCATGATAAATCGTGAATTGTTTGCTTAGGGAAATTACCAGTTATTGGATGTTTATAGAAATGTACCAGTTAGTGGATTTTGATCAAATTCACCAATATTTTATACTCCATTCGCCATCAGGAGATTAAGAATAACCCATTTTTCGATGAAATTTCTCAATCTGTTATACTCCATTCGCCATCAGGAGATACTAACAGAACCTTCTTCTTCAAACAATAAAGCCACACAAATAAATAACTAAAAAATTAGTCACCATTAAGCGAACGGACTATAACGCTTTCCTAATTCCACGGCACACTTAATCCCATTATAATTGTTATATACAAATTGACATTTCGAATAAAACAAATCTAATTCAGACGGGAATATTTACGGGAAAATCGGGGCTATTTATTTTCGGTCGACATAGCGATATTTCTCGCTAGCGAATTTTCGGAACGTATTCTCGGTATAAAACGCGCATGTATTACATTTTTATATAAATCGCGTACGGCGAAATTTATAAATTGGAACGCTCGACTCGCGGACGTTTCAGTTCCACTCTATCGATAGTACTAAACAGTGTTAAAAATTCAAAATCGATTAAATTAAATTAAATCGATCGCGATGTTTTACGCGAACCAATCGGACGGGGTGGCTGGTGGAAGAAGGGCCATTTTGAAAAGGGCCATTTCGTGTTGTGACGGTTTGGATTTGGATAGAATACCGCCAAATTCCGAGCAGCTTTTTAATAATGTGACTTGGTTCAATATCATGGCGAATCTAACTGTTAAAAGGGCCTTTGCCGAATACGAGGTAATATATATTCTATATACAGAGTGTCCCATCCAGGGACATACTGTATATATTTTTTTTAAACAACTGTATAAACGATTTTTATCCGTTTTGATTAGCTAGGAAGTAGAATATTACGAAAATTTAATGCACATTATACTGACACACAAACAAGAATTTTAATAGAAGCGCCATTTAATGCGCGTTTTAGAGCGCTGTTAAAGTTTTATGGGGTTATTTCGATAGCTCCATTTAGCGTTTTTAAAAACTCCCAACGACGCTCTATCTAAATGTAATTTAAAAAGTTATTCGCGCGATTAAATTTCCTCTGTAATAATTTATTTCTGTCGCTTAGCGCGCCGTTTTTAAAAGATTTCTGCTATGGATAAAAGATGCAATAATGGGATTTCTTCGTTGTGAATAATGGGTCAATAAATAATAAATTAAGCGCGAGGAAAGCGTGTAAATGTGTACTTAACAATTAGCGATTCACGTCGTTTTATTTCGGCGAATTCGCTGTAAATTATTTCGGTTTTTTTTTTGCAAAAGTTTGCGCTAAAATGTTTGCAAAAAACATTATTTTTCGCGGTAAAATAAAACAATGGGGTTTGAGAAAAGCGTATTTTCTAATCATCTGTGTATGAATAATTATTTAAACAATGTCGGCGTAGACTATATTTGTTGTATGTCAATTTTCTTTTGTTGGATTTATTTAAATTCCACGAATTTATCGTAATTTGACGTAATTATTAAAGAAATTAATTACACAATCGTTTGCTCGCTGATAAAATTAAAAACAGAAGGAAAAAAATACCGAATATATTTCTCTAAATTAAGTAAATCCGACGAGATTATACAATAACATTGTTCGCATTGAAATATATAAATACTTTTGCACGCGGTTAAACAATGGGATATTATATACATGTTCCAAAAAAAAAACACAAAATATATTAAAATAATTAAATCGATAATTTATTATAATATTATGTTTATTTTTTTTTCTAGTTCAAACGTATGCTGAACAAGGAATTGTCTCACTTTTCGGAATCGAGCAAATCCGGAAATCAAATATCCGAATATATCTGTTCAACTTTCCTCGGTAAGTAAAATATTTCCCTCATAAAACAATAGGGTTCATATAGGCAATAAAAAACATAACAGTTATTTTGTAACAATCACTACTACACCTCTATACCAAAAAAAAAATAGATTAACGCACCTCTATTAAACTTCTGTCATACGTCATTAATGTCAATTCCAGCATTTGATTCACGTACCATCGTACGCATCTTAAAACTCCCCCTTAACGTACACAAACGCCCTACATATTTTACAACATTCTCACGACATATCCATCCCTTCACAGACAAACAACAAGAACTCGACCTACCGTCGTTGCGCGACGAAGTCCCCGACCCGCCGAAACCCGCCCAACGCAAGGACCGATCGCGCCCCGTCCATTCGACCATGTCCCAAATATCGGGCGTCAATCGCAAACCGCTCTGCCACACCAACTCCTTCACCGGCGAAAAGGTGCCCCCGCACGGCATCGACACCCCCTTCGACGAGGACCTCGCCAAAAGCCTCCACTCGATCGACCAATGGGGCATCGACATCTTCCGCATCGGCGATTTGAGCAACGGCCATCCGCTCACCTGCGTCGCCTACACCACCTTCACCGGCCGCGATCTGCTCAAAACCCTCAACATACCGCCCAAGACTTTCGTCACTTACATGATGACTCTAGAAGATCACTACGTGAAAGAAAACCCGTTTCATAACTCCCTGCACGCCGCCGACGTCGCCCAAAGCACTCACGTGTTGCTCAACACGCCCGCCTTGGAGTCTGTATTCACCCCTTTGGAGATCACAGCGGCTCTTTTCGCCGCCTGCGTGCACGACGTCGATCACCCGGGTCTCACCAACCAGTACCTCATCAACTCCAGCAGCGAATTGGCGTTGATGTACAACGACGAAAGCGTGTTGGAAAACCATCATCTCGCCGTCGCTTTTAAGCTTCTATCGAACGACGGTTGCGACATCTTTTGTAACTTGAGCAAGAAACAACGGCAGACGTTGAGGAAGATGGTGATCGATATGGTGTTGAGCACCGATATGTCGAAACACATGACTCTATTGGCGGATTTGAAGACGATGGTGGAGACGAAGAAAGTGGCCGGTTCGGGGGTGTTGTTGCTGGACAACTACACCGATCGAATACAGGTGTTGGAGAATTTGGTGCATTGCGCCGATTTGAGCAATCCCACCAAACCGTTGGCGTTGTACAGGCGTTGGGTGGATTTGTTGATGGAGGAGTTCTTCCAGCAGGGCGATAAAGAACGCGACGCCAAGATGGATATCAGTCCGATGTGCGATCGGTTGTCGGCCACCATCGAAAAGACCCAGGTGGGTTTCATCGATTATATCGTACATCCGTTGTGGGAGACTTGGGCCGATTTGGTGCATCCCGACGCGCAGGATATACTCGATACGTTGGAGGAGAACCGCGATTGGTACGTTCTACGATAACACTGTTGCCGGGTTTCTAGTAATTCGGATTTTTTATGTTTTTTTTGTAGGTATCAGAATGCGATACCGCCGAGTCCGCCGCCGGAGGAGGCGCCCGAATCGGGCAGGCCGGGCATCCGGTTTCAAGTGACGTTGGAGGAGGGCGAAGGTGAGACGGAGGAGGGTGCGATGTGACGGAAGTTAGGCGGTATATGCAGGAAGTTGACGGAAAAGTGGCAACACTGGTGGCGCGTCAGGCAGTGAATTTTGAGGGCGCGCGAGTTAAGGGGAGGCGCTGGCGTCTTCCCCTGTATCTATTTTTTTGTTTCGTTATTATTATTATTATTAATTATTATTAATTGTTGTTAGAACTGTGAGGAACACGAAATGGCCGCCGCCGGGCCGCGCGGGCGCGGAGTTTGTTGTGTTTCATTTCGCAATATACGCTTGACTGAATTTTGAATTTTGGAAATTTTGAGAATTTAAACCCCCCCTTTACCCCCCCTTTACACAGGGCTGAGAATGCAGGCCTGTTTCTTTGTAAAACCGCAGTTCCTGGGAGTGTATTGTCTTTATATATGAGAGTTTCTATTGTATTTTTTTGTTTGTTTTTAATTCGGTGGATGCTCCTTTCGCTTTGGGACTTTCTAAACGGGTTTTATACAGGGCCGTTCGATATCGGAATTGTGCTAGAATGTTTGTCACGAATAGCCCTGTATACTTCGTATGTATTCAATGAAAATTTTTTTGTATAATTTGGCAACATTCGAGGTATTTTTTCACCCTTACATTTTACGGCAGAACAAAATGTAGATATCGTAAAAACCATTCTATCATAGTTAATAGTTTAAATACATATCCTAAGGGTATTTTATTTTTTATTAAAAAGAACTAATTTCGTTGAATATATACGTATAAAAATTTACGTCTTTTACATTAGAAACATTCAGATTAATTCGATAAATGTAATAAGTAATAAAAAAAAACCTCCGTTTCTTATTGTGTAATAACTAAATGTTTTCATTAGTTACTTTGCAATAGTTATTAACAATTAAAAAATACATTACAGAAGAGAAAACTTCCCTAAAAAAATATAATTAATTAGCCGATTAGATTACTCCTTTTAGACGTAAATTTTATTGGATAAGAAGAAACAAAAACCACAAAAAAAAAATCATATCAAAACCAATGGTTGTTGAATAAAAAATAAATTATGTATATCGGAAATATTAGAAATATTCCCGGCAAATGGCGATTTATCGCGAAGCCATTTTTTTAGAGAAATTCGTAATGTAAATAACTCGCTGTTTTTTCCGTCTTTTATGTAGCAATTTCTAAAACCGATTTCTAAACTGTAATAAAACACAAAAAACAAATCTCGATTCCGTCCTAAAGCGAAAATCCACCACAAAAATTAATTCCGAACTGTTCGAAAACTGTTCTGAACCGTTCGAAAATAAAAAACCAAAAAACGGTCCTTTTGGCCTTTTACAAAGCCCTAAATGTGACACGAGCCTTACACTTTTTAGCGAGATACTCTCCCCTTTACTAACAGAACATCCTGTATATAGTTCATATCTTTTACGTGTAATACTCAGCCCCCCTCATTGTATGTAATAGATAAATATAATTATATGTCATGTCAGCTATGTTACATAAAATTAAAAAGCTCTCTCTCTCATTACAAGTCGATGCGCCTTTTTATTTCATCCCAAAAATCCCTCCAAACTACGCCAAAACAAAAACGGACGGATTAGAAACTATTTTAAATAAATAAAATTAACTAACGACTACTCGAAGGTCTTATCGTCGGTGACCTCGAATTGATAAGGCAACAAACGTTTCAGATCCGATACCAGCACATCATCATGTCGGGGCTTCGTCATGTAGACATCCAGTTGGCCGAATTCGCTCATTAGTTGTCTGCAAGCGCCGCAAGGTGGCGTGAACCATTTCTTTTGCATCGCCACGATCGCGATGGCTTTGAATTTTCTCTTCCCTAAAAACCGAGATAAATTGTTTATTAAACTGCTCTAAAATGATACTCGTTGTACCTTCGCTGATGGCTTTAAAGTAAGCGCATCGTTCTGCGCATGTCCCGACTGTGAATGAGCTGTTTTCTACGTTACAACCTGTATAAATCGAGTCGTCCTGGCACAAAAGGGCGGCGCCTACTTTGAAATTGCTGTAGGGTGAGTAGGAGAATTCTCGGGCTTCTGTGGCTTTTAATAGGAGATTTTGGATCTGGCAGTCTAGGTAAAAATAAAATAAAATATACTAATTATTGAATCTAGTAGAGTGTGGAAAACTTACCGAGCTCGTGCGCCTTCTTGACGTCTTCATTGTCCATTTTCCGCGGTGGAATTTCCCATTAGTTTTTTACCAGATAATGCGAAAGTGAGTTGATGGAATTTCGCCGGAGCACTTGCGAATTATCATCGGAAATCTAGTTGGCATGGCTTTATCATTCGTTTATTTATCAATTATTTTTTTTTGTTTGTTTATGATAAAGAGATGAGTTGAATAAGCTGTTTAATGCGGCTAGAAAGTAAACAAAATTCGGATAGAGTTAATTTTGTTATGTAATTGAAGATTTTAGGTTAGTAAATTTATGTAAGTTTTTAACTGTTTAGCAAGTGGTTTTTTTCGATGAATGAAAGAATAAATAAATAAATAAATTAGTTAATTACTAAATTAGATTGATTTAATTAGAATTTGTGTTATTTTTTTCAAAATTAATGTAACAAAATTGGACTATTTACCTGTCACATCTGTCAAACTTGTCGGGGTAAAAATCTCAATTTTTACTTAATTTTGAGATATAATATGAATCGCATCTGATAGAGTGAACCTTCCTGTAGGTCATAAAGGTTCAAATTTATATCCATTTATAACATTTGTAGACAAGTAACGTGACATACCATTCGAGAAGTTTCCAGACCTTGGTTATGTAAGACCGTAATTGACATTTGACAGCTATTGAAGATCTTCTTTTATTAACGCAAAACTTTTGTCGAGTTTATTGAAAAAAAAAAAACGAAAAACTTTTCTCGAGTTTATTAAAAAAAAACGCAAAACATTTCTCGAGTTTATTGAAAAAAAAAACGCAAAACTTTTGTCGAATTTATTGAAGAAAAAACGCAAAACTTTTATCGAATTTATTGAAAAAAAAACGCAAAACTTTTCTCGATTTTATTGAAAAAAAAAAACGCAAAACTTTTCTCGAATTTATTGAAAAAAAAACGCAAAACTTTTCTCGATTTTATTGAAAAAAAAACGCAAAACTTTTCTCGAATTTATTGAAAAAAAAACGCAAAACTTTTCTCGATTTTATTGAAAAAAAAACGCAAAACTTTTCTCGATTTTATTGAAAAAAAAACGCAAAACTTTTCTCGATTTTATTGAAAAAAAAACGCAAAACTTTTCTCGATTTTATTGAAAAAAAAAACGCAAAACTTTTCTCGATTTTATTGAAAAAAAAACGCAAAACTTTTCTCGATTTTATTGAAAAAAAAACGCAAAACTTTTCTCGATTTTATTGAAAAAAAAACGCAAAACTTTTCTCGATTTTATTGAAAAAAAAACGCAAAACTTTTGTCGAATTTATTGAAAAAAAAAACGCAAAACTTTTCTCGATTTTATTGAAAAAAAAAACGCAAAACTTTTCTCGAATTTATTGAAAAAAAAACGCAAAACTTTTCTCGAATTTATTGAAAAAAAAACGCAAAACTTTTCTCGAATTTATTGAAAAAAAAACGCAAAACTTTTCTCGAGTTTATTGAAAAAAAAACGCAAAACTTTTGTCGAATTTATTGAAAAAAAAAACGCAAAACTTTTCTCGAATTTATTGAAAAAAAAACGCAAAACTTTTCTCGAGTTTATTGAAAAAAAAAACGCAAAACTTTTCTCGAGTTTATTAAAAAAAAAACGCAAAACTTTTGTCGAATTTATTGAAAAAAAAACGCAAAACTTTTGTCGAATTTATTGAAAAAAAAAACGCAAAACTTTTCTCGAATTTATTGAAAAAAAAACGCAAAACTTTTCTCGAGTTTATTGAAAAAAAAACGCAAAACTTTTCTCGAGTTTATTAAAAAAAAAACGCAAAACTTTTGTCGAATTTATTGAAAAAAAAACGCAAAACTTTTGTCGAATTTATTGAAAAAAAAAACGCAAAACTTTTGTCGAATTTATTGAAAAAAAAACGCAAAACTTTTCTCGAGTTTATTGAAAAAAAAACGCAAAACTTTTCTCGAATTTATTGAAAAAAAATACAATACTAATACAATAGATAGGCAACCATCATTACCGAAATTTGATTAAATGGTTGCCTTTGTATGTATTTGACAAGAATCACTAACCTACAAAATTCTTCTTTTATTTTATTCAATAATAAAAGAAGAAACTCAATAGCTGTCAAATGTCAATTACGGTCTTATATAACCAAGGTCTGGAAACTTCTCTCCTGTCAACATAGTTTTTGAACCGTTTGTTCGACACATAAAAGGCCACATTATCAATCGTACCAACTATTAAACTGCACATGTCAAATGTCAGCCATAAGTGTTGTCAAAAATTTGACGTTTACAATTTGCGTGTGTCGGATTGTTACAAATTGTTTCAGTTATGACGCTTTTTCTTTTAAAAAAGAACGTGTTTTATTGTCAATTCGTCTAGAAAATAGAATTATTGTTAATATAAACAACAAGTGATTTAGTAAGTACATGATTTTTATACTGTTACACATTTTATCGTTTGAATTTAGGTGGGTGTTACATGATGTGATTGTTTTCATAAATTGAGATCGAACGAAAATATTTTTTCAATATAAAATTGCCCTAGAACTTTACTATATTGTCTTTATTGCAATAAGTTTTGGGTTGATTCTTTAATATTTAGTACAAGTCTTTCATTCGTGACCCTGAAACGTAAAATTAACTTTCCATCAATTTCCATATTTAGGATTTTGACCTCCTACTGAGGTAAAGAGTTTGTTGGGTCTTTTAAGTTACTATTTACACAAAAAAAAGCTATTAAAATACCCAAAAATCGCCTAAAAATAATTTATATTGATATACAAGTACTAATGATAAAGATTATATAGTAAATCGTATCTATAAGTATTGGAATAGTTGGTTTTTGTGTGTAAATATTTAATTAGGATTTGTTTTATCAACCTGCGGTTAAGTAATATTAGTACGAGGAAATATTAGTCACAAATTACAAGTTTTTAGGTGTGTTATAAAGTTGTAAAATATGTAATTTTTATTTTAAACGGAATTGTAACAATGCAGGGTATTTATTTTAAATTACTCTCGTTTAACTTTGCATGTGGTTTCAGTTTCCAAAATTAGCATTTTTTTCTTATTAGGTGGGAATATCTCTTGGGTTGATGATATTTTAAATTACCACTCGAGTAGTTTTCAGTTTGTTCGGAACAATCTTTGTGTAGAGTACAAGGAATAAGATACAAAAGTATAACTTTTGATTCGTTAGTAATAATTTAAAAATCTCAACAACATTGGACTTGTTTATAAACACAAAATTATTAAATTCTTATTATTTGAACTGTCGGTAGAAATTTTTAACTGATTATAATACGATGAAATAATAACTAAAACATTCGGTTTGTGCATATAATATCGATGATTTCGTTAGACCTAAAATTATGATTAGTGATTAAATTCGTCGAGGAATGTGCAATTTCTATTAGCAAGTCAACAAAAAAAAAACACATAGGTAAATATTTAATTTTGTACTTAAAAGATTAATCTCGAGAGAAAGCGTAGAAACATGCGGTTTTATTTCCAGGAAGAATCCCAACGAGTTCTTTCCATATTTGCGCTCGAAATAAAAAAAAAGTACACAAGAACAAGCATTTCGGCATCCCAAGAATCCGATCTAATTTATCTCTAGCATATTTGCAATTTTTCAAACACTCCAACGAATACTCCTCAGCGGACCAACATTCGTTCGATACATTATAACCGAAAAATTTCCAGGACTTAAAGAAACAAAAAAAACACAAACCATGCCGGCGCCCCCACCACCGCCCCCGATGGCCCCGGCGGCGCCGCCTCCGCCCTCTTTCAACGTCAAACCGTCCAAAAGCAACGGCAACGAACGGAACGCCCTGTTGAAAGACATCCGCTCGGGTGCCAAATTGAAAAAGGCCGTCACGAACGATCGAAGCGCCCCCGTCATCGGTAAGTCGAAATACAACAACAAAAAAAACACGTCGATTTACGAAGAGAACATTCCACATAGGTAATTCGAAACCGTCGAACGGAGCCGCCCACAATCTACCAGTGATACCGATCGGCGGAATGAAAAACGGCACCGGCCCCGCCAGTCCCGTGGGACCGTCGAGGAACGGTAGCGCCCCCGTCACGCCCATGGGCGGCGCCAAGATGTTCACCACGCTCCAGCAGGAACTCAGCAGGAAAATGGCGTCGGTCCACGCCTCGTCGTCCTCTTCTTCGATCAATCCGCAGGAGAGTCGAACGGATGCGAAAACCTTCGATAACATCCAAACGGAATTGAGGAAGCAATTGGCCAATAACGATGCGAGAAATAGAGGCCCGCCGCCGCCTACGCCAATGAGAACGGTGAGTTTTTGATCTAGAAGCAATCGGATTATGTGAAAAAAAATCGGTGTGTTATAAACAGATTTTACCTGACCAGACGTTACAAAAGGAAACGAGCACCACGAACGGTTTCCACGCCAGCCAATTGTCGTTGAATTCGTTTCCGAGCGCGCCCGCCAACGAGAGCATGTTGTACAGAAAGGCGAAGAGCAACGCGAACTTGCACAACATCGAGTCGAACAACGACAACAACAACGGGGCGCCGTGCAGGCCCAACAAACCGGCGATCAATCACGGCAAGCCGAATTTGGCGCCCAAACCTCCGATCCTAAACGGTAATTATTTCTATTGAGATTTGTATTTATAATGAGAAGGCTTTTTTTCAGGTAAACCGAATACGTTGCATTTGAAAACTGGCAAATCTGTGACGCGAACTCACAGCCTGAAGAGTCCCCGTTCACCGTCGCCAGACAGTCCCGGTGCCAATTCCAAGAACAAATTCGGCACCGTCAGGAATATGTTCACCGTGTATAATAATAATAATAATAACAATAACAATGATGGCTCGGCTCCGGTCGCTCGAACGAGACCAATCATCAGTACTCGACCTACTGCACCTCCACCGTCTGTAAGTTTTCTCTTATTTATACAAAAGAAATGTTTCAAAAGTTCCGGGAATTGTGCTCTAATCCAGTGGAATAAAATGTTCATTCCAGTACAGTCACATATGAATAACGATGATTGTCCATCAAACATAAAATCGATAAAATTAAGTTTGAAACCGTTCTATATTTAGCGTAAAAACTATTCACTGAATAAAAAAGTACTAGTAGCTATTACTGCTCGAAAAAAAAATTGTAATTACCTAGAACAATGAAAAACAAAGCATTCTAGCAAAGTTCACAAAAAAAACATCTAATTTTATTTCGGTTATAACTTTGAACTATCAACTTTGTTTCCCTTTATACTGTAACATAACAAAGTGGAGACTATAAGCCTCGTTTCGCCTTGAATACTTTATTTTTTGTTAAATGTAGACTCTTCAAATGCATTGTGTTAGAGCACAATTCCCGGAACTATTGGAAACATCCCTCGTATGAATATATAAAAAAATCGTATGGTTTTATTCCAGATACCGGTGCCCAATCATCCATCGTCTAGTCAATCGCCCACTCCCAAATTCAACAAACCAAACCACGCGCCGCCTCCGCCGCCGCCTAGTCAAGCCCCGCCACCGCCTCCGCCGCACAGCAAGATATCAATGAACAAAACCGCTCCCGTAAGTGTTTCTTTTACCTAGTTTGCAAATGTACTGCTCTACAAAAGTTAAGGATGTTGACAAATATTGAGATTAATGTTGCAGGTTTTTTGATCGACAAATTTAGTATGAATTGTAGAAATAGGGGCAAAAAAATCTACTTAGATATGAGAGAAAACATTTAATTTCGCATATTTGAACATTTGGTGATCAAAAAGTCTGTAACTTTTAAAATAATGGCAAAATTTGCGAACTTCCTTAACTTTTGAAGAGCAGTTTATTACATGCTAATGCTGGTTGGATGTTACAATTGTACAATTAAAAATTCAAACTAACTTCACTACTCTTTACGGGTCTACCCTGTAATTGAACAATTAATTAATAATAATAGCTTTACAAGCTGTTCAAATTTATTCTTCCAAATATCCATAGTTATTTATTGTATTTCGTAAGTAAAGTAGTGAAGTTGTCGAGCTTGGGCGACTATAGGAATAAATTAATGTTGTCGAAACGCTGTTATAAAAAAAATTCGACATTCCTATTGCCGGTATTTATCTTGGAAATTTCAGATATTAAAATGCCGAATTGGTGCCTATCGCTATTAGCGCGATACTAGTTACAAAATTGTTTGCGCGAATTATTTTTTTACAAATACAATTTAGTATCTAGGCGAATTGTGCCGGTGAAATTTGCCGTTATGAATTCGTTCTTATGTCACAAGGTATTGATTGATTGATTGAAGAAAAAAAAATGTAGCAAATATTTAGAGTGAAATGTATATTTGATTTTAATCGATGTGTTTTCTTAGGGCTCAAATCCGCCTTCGCCACCGCCCAGGGGTTCATCGATGAGGCAAAACATGGTAAAGAGTTCGAGCTTAGAGGAGAAATTCAAAAGCAATTTTCACACGCCCGACGAATTCCCGTCGCCTCCGCCATTCAGGAACGTCATCAAATTGTATAACTTCCGTTAAAAAATCTATCCGTACGCTTAAGTTTAATTTTATTTACCAAAAAAAAAAAAACTTGTTTTTTTGATATTAATTTGTTATATAATTAATAAATAGATTTTAAATTCGTCATCGTTTAAAACGGCCGGGCGGTGACTTAGGGCGCGTTCTAAGTAATAATAGTTAATTAATTATTTTTTTTCTTACATTAATTACACCAGTCCGGTGTCGGAACAGGGCATGGTAATAGTAGCGGCTAACAACGGATGGCTTTGTAGCTTTTCATCTTCGTTTATGATGAAAATTCTGATGAGACAGGGCCGGCCCGTTTTCGAGGCGTGCAATTCCCCTTCGTTCGATACTTCTCGAACGCCTATTTTAGTTTTGTACGAAGCTAGCGGTATTAATAGAGGAATCTACGAGATTATTTGCGAATTAAATAAAGCGACGAATGTTTGTTGTGAATTAATGAGGCGTTATTTACCAACACTCTGGTTTTCGAACAAACGTAATTCTCCGGTTTAACGTGAACTATCATGCTGATGCCGTTTATGGATTTGGCGCTCTCCAAATTCTCCAATGTAAATATCAAAGTGAATTTTGTTCCTATACCTAGAATCTATAAAAACAAAAACATTGTATATTACTAATGGAAGTAGAAATGCAATAAAATGTAAATATCTCACCTGCGCTGAAAGTTTTAGTTGACCTTTAAACGTGGCTATTTCGTTTTCGTTGGATTTGTATTGCAAAAGAGACCTGGCGACGTCCAGTCGCAATTTCAGAAGGCTCTTCTGGAAATTTTGATGTATATCTGCAATTAAAAATAATAAGAAATTGGTTATACAAATAGAATTAGTTTGAAAGTACCCAAAGCGGATTCTCGTTCTCTTAGGCTTTGCTCTAAAAATAATTTGCTGCGTTTGGGCAAAGGCAACGGTTTCGTTTGAAACTGCGGCACGTTATCGGTACCGTTCATGTTGAAATCTGCCGTTCTTTTTAATATCCTGAAAATTACTGTTCCGGCTAAAGAATATTAATCGTTAGTAAAGGAATATGCTCATCGAGAGTTCATAGGCGAACGAAGAAAATTGCAAATATTTAAAGTGGAACGATTTATAGTGTGTTCCACAATCTAGCAAATAACGCTATAGAAATGTAGTCGAAAACTTTTACTTTAGCTATATATAAATAGTATGTAGGTAAAGAAAATGTACAATCCATATCCTAAAACAACGAGTACAAACAACTATATTTTTACAATGAAAATGAGAGACGTTTTTAACCTGATACAGGAAAAATATAACCAACGGTATAATTCGTATGGTAGTATTTGAATGCCCATAAACATTCATAAAGCACAGCTTTTTCTCACTTAGTATAATATAAAATATTCATTTCTAACCAACAATAAACAGACCTGTCGATTATACATTCACATTCGCAAATCAATCACATCATCTTTTTTTTTTGATTATTCCGCTATTTTGTACCGACACTACCAATTAATTAACATTAATTACATTTCGTCAAAACAAATTACATTATTCCTCGACCGAACCACTTAGGCCGACCGCTCACGGAGCAACTATTTTGAAACAAAAAATCGCAAACCAGTTCATCTTGCAACTATTTTGCAACCTCGCGCAATCTACACGAGTCGATTCAAATGAAACTAGTTTGCAATTAGTCATAAACCGGTTGTACCCGACCATTTCCCGCGATCGCAGTCAATTTCTTCGTCAAATTCTTGCCAATTTCTGGTGTAATTCATTCGATAAATTACTAAGCAACTAATTGAAACTGTTTTATAATAGTTGTAAACATTGTTGTTAATATTAGTTGTAAACTGGTTGCAGACGAAACTAGATTGCAATATTTCATTTCGAAACAGTTACTCCGTGACCGGCGCGCCAAACTTTCGCAATAGACTAGATTTAACACTACAACTCCTTGGTATAATTACAACCATCACCACCACCCTCCTCGTTCGTTCCATCACCACCAACAACATCCTCCTCCACCACCTCCTCATCATCATCATCACCCCCAATTCCCTGCGCAATCAAAAAATCGATAATCCTATAATCCCTTCCGCCCGATTCGGTGTTCGCTATCCACAACGGCAACCATTTGTTAGCCAACAACCATTGCACCGACACCTTACTGATACGCCCCGCATTATTCACATTCCTCGCCCCGTACAAACTCTCTATAGCGTAGCGATTGCCATCGATCGAACCGCACGAAGACGACAAATGCCGTTCGATGCGACCGATCCCGTGACCGATCACGTCCATTCGACCGTAAGCGTTGCCGATTCTGCAGCAGGAGCTGCAACTCGGCCGCGCCGGCGTCGCGACGTCCGCCGAGCGGGCTCCTCGGAGGTCTTCGATGGTTTCGTAGATGTTCTCGCCGGCGACGGGATCGATGCGGGCTTCGTGACGGATCGTTTCGTAGATGTTCTCTCGGTACAAAGACATAGCCGATGAGTGTTGGGGCGTCGTTTCGTAGCCGACGGCTCCCTCGGCGTTGCTGCATTCGTCCGTGTACTTTTCACCTTGTTTTACGAAGAGGGGGAAATTGTAGGTGTTTATTACGAAATGTATATGCGGGGTGTTGCAAAATGGTTGCGGCAAACTTGTAGGGAATATTGTGGTGAACAATTTTTGCAAAGATAGCCCTAGTTAAAAAATGATGTCAAACAACGAATCCGACATTGCTAAACTAATCGAAATAGAATAAGATAATTTTTTGGAAATATTGCTATAACTTGAACATATAACAACATGGTTATCATAGCAATATTCATAACGAAATCTGTACAGAATCGACCTGAATAGTCTCCTATAACCGTAAGTTTGTGAACAACCTTTTCGGAACACCCTCTCTCTATATAATTAGAGGATATATACCGTGTGTCCAAAGTATCTCTCCGTTCTCTCTCTTTTTCTACCGATTGCAGCGCTCGACCTTGAACGCACGGTATTTATATATATATATATATACAGATTGTACGAATTATTCCGCTGCAAGCATTAGAATTAGAATCTCAATCAATACTATAAGATAGTAAAGAACAGAAACTTGTTTATCGGTTACCGGCCGATATTAGAATTCGTCAATTCGCTTCGTCCACGCTTCGTGCTCTCTTTATTCCTTACATAGCAAAAGTTCAATTAGCCATCTCATTATTCTCGTTGTACGCTTGCAGCGGATCAGTTCGTACAATCTGTATAATTAGAGGATATATACCGTGTGTCCAAAGTCCGCCGATTCATCGTTTTCTCTCTCTCTCTTTCTACCGATTGCAGCGCTCGACCTTGAACGAACGGTATATATACATATAGAAAAATTGAATAAATTTACCCGTATCGACACCGTTACCAGCCCACGCCAATCTTCATATCGACTTATCGACGATGGCGACGCCGGCGTAACTTCGACCGATGCTCATGCAACTCGACAACATCGACCACGTATCGGTTTTGGGATTGTACACCTCGACCGATGACAAATTACTCGAACCGTCGTCGCCGCCTACGACGTACAACAAACCGTTCATGGCGACGACGCCGGCGTTGCGACGGCACAACGTCATATCGCCGACGGGCGACCATTTGCTCATCGACGGATCGTACGCCTCGACCGATTTCCGTACGAGCGGACCGTCGTGACCGCCCACGGCGTACAATACGCCTTCCAATACGCCTGCCACGAAAAAAGAAAAAAAAACGTCGAGTTATTATTATTAAAGACGTTATTATAACTAAGAGACCGCATTATTTACATTTTTTTTGGTGGTAAATCATTACAATAAAGTCTCTTAATTGTAATGGCCCGTATTCAGCGCATCTGTTTCACTTTAGAGTGGCTGTAAAGTCGCGTTTCGAGTCCCTAGTTACTCCACAACAACAATCTAAATCTATCAAGTTAAAAACGCGACTTTAGAGTCACTCTACAGTCAAACAGAGAGCGCCGAATCTGCACCAACGTCTTTGTGTATACCCCGCGTTCAAGTTCGAGCGCTACATTCCGACTCTCTTTCTACCGATTGCAGCGCTCGAATCCGGACGCTCGATATTTACACATTCATCGATCGATCGATTTACCTACGCCCGCTCCGCTCCGCCTACAACACATATCGGGCACCGACGTCCACGTATCGGCCTCCGGCGTGTAACATTCCACGGAGCTCAGGCATTGTCGAGACGCCCCATCGTAGCCCCCGACGGCGTACAATTGCCCGTACAACACCCCCACGCCTACGCTACTCCGTCTCGTCGACATCGAAGCGATCAAACGCCATTTACCTACGAATACAAACTCGTTAAAAATTACATAATTGAATTAGAGGTGAGTTATAATGTACCGGTTTGCGGATCGAACATTTCGGCGCTGTTCAATCCGGTGGAACCGTCGAAACCGCCGACGGCGTATATGCAATTGTTCAATACGGCTACGCCCAACGTGGACCGTCTGGCCTCCATGCTCTCCCAGCTGGTCCACAAATCGGTCGTGGGATCGTAGACGTCCACGGTTTTGACTCTAAGCGAACCGTTGAAACCGCCGACGGCGTAGACTTTGCCGCCCGAAACGGCCAGGCCGGCCCTGCATCGACGCGTCGGCAATTCGGCGATTTGATACCAACGTTCCTCTTTGAAATCGTACGATTCGACGCTCCGGATGGCTTTGGGCGCTTGACCGCCCACCACCAGCAACACTTTAGGTAGACCTGTATCGAGAAAATAACAAAAATTGTTAATAATGCGGTGTCTTAAGTGTTTACTTTGAAGTAAAAGGTTGTAAAACCGCAAAACCTTTTGCTTGAAAGCGACAGCGGGGTCTCCGTCGAAGCAAAACCTTCTCTTCTTTTTAAGCAAAAGGTTATGCTTCTTTTTTATAAATACCAGCCGTATTAATTCGAAAATAATCAATCTCTAGCGAGCCAGTATTGCGATTATATTAGCTAATCTAGTCAACAAACAACTTCCTTATTTGAATTTAAAGATATCGCTAACGAAGAGATTCCAAAGTTCATGCAAAAATTTGTTTACTGTTTACATTCGATAGTAAATTAACTATAAGATAATTCTATTATACTCTAGTAAAACTCACCGACCGGTTGTCGAGGCTTCGTCCGAGGCGTCCGAAACGACGTCTTATTATCCCCTTTGAGCAAATGATATTTCAAAGCCTCGATGATGAAATCCTTGCATTGCAAATCCTTCTTGAGCAACGGTTCCTCTTCCACGCGTTGCACCAAATACTCCTGCGACATGAGCGGCAATCTAACGTACTCCATCAGAGCGGAGAGTCGATCTCTTCTCGACTCTAAATCGTGCTGCACCCAAGCCACAACGCATTCAAACACCTTCTCTTCGGTCGATACGGTCAATCGATCGCTGCTTATCAACTTCGATACCTGCGAGTGGGACAACGCGAGGAACTCCTCGCACTCGACCACCTCGGAGAAATGCAATTCGATGTAGGATTCGGCGTGCGACAGCAACTCCAAGCAACCGTGCAAATCGGCGAAGGCCCTGATGCCCAAACAATTGGTCGGGTGTAGTTGGGCTTGCAGGAAATCGCAGCAGGCGTCGCGAACGTCGGTGAGTTGCAGTAGATTAGCTGCGGGTAATAGTACTTGTACGTTGTCTTCGGTGACGCTCACTTCGGAGGTGTATACGTATTCGATGAGAAGAGATAGGGCCTGTCGGTCGACCTCCTGCAGGACGATCCGGTCCTGGCGGCTCTCTTCGAAGCTCGAAAACATGGCGTAGAAATAGGGCGAACAAGCGGCCAGGACCATTTTGTGGGCGGCTATCTCCGTATCGCCGGCTACTAGGATCACGTCGTAGAGTAATTTCTGTTTTCTCATCACGTTCATCACGTCGAAGGCTTTTTGGGTGTGCAGGTGGTTCCTGTACGGGGGTCGTTCCTTTGTGTGCGGATGGATTTGCGATATGTGCTTTTGGGAACTTTCGTCCAACGAATTTTGGCTGGCCGATCGCAACAACAAACAACTACCCTGCCGTTCCATCGCGTTCACGTTCGGTTCCATATTCGTTCGCAACAAATACTCACAACAAATACTTTTTATTTACCTTTTTTTTCAACATCGAAACGAAACCGTCAAGGTTAAACGAGTCGCAGTCGACTGGTGACAGTGTTGACGTTTGACGTAAATGACGTACGGTCGGCTGATCGAAATTTAGAACTAGAGGTGGGCGAACGATATAAAAAAGTAACTGTTCCGAGATGTGAATATAGCGACAATAACTTTGCAATTTTCTTCATTACTTCTATATACAGGTTGGTCCATTTTTGATCGCAACATAGGTTATATAAAGGTGCGATAAAGACAACTTCCATTAGACACTTACAAAAGAAAAGGAAAGAGTGACTGATTTGTGTGATTGCAACTTTTCACTCTGCCAACTGTCATTTTATCAATCTTTCTTTGTTCCACTCATTTCTACGACCATATTGCAATCGGAAATAGAGCAAGATGTATAAATAAATAAGTTTGTTTAGCAATATGATCGATTCTACGCGTTTATTACCTTTAGTAACGACAACGAGAACGTGTTCTTCTTGTCCCAAGGGACCGAATAGAATAACCGAAGGTGGATCGGGTAAGGGCGTTTGATCAACGACCTTTCGCCCTTGATAGAGTCGAATCGTACCGTTGTCGAGCCCTACGCCGTACAAAGTGACTCGAATGTGTTCGATTTCGACCAAACACAAACAGGTGATGGTTTCCTTCGACGTCAAAGACCACAATTTCTGGCCCTGTACCGGATAAATTACGTTATTATTACGTTTCCTGTAGAAAAGTGTGATAGAACGCACTCGTTTAGTGTAACAGCTCAAAATTCTATCCGTCGTGGCGACGACGATGAAATTATCCTCGGGCGTGATCAGGAAATCGACGATGTTGTGGTTGGTTTGTATGATGGCTTTGCCTTCCAGCCAATTTCTTTTCAAAACGCAAACGTAACCCTCTCGGCAAGCGATCACAATTCTGAAATCCACGTTGAAAACGCCAGAAGTCTTCATCGAATAAGGCGTTAATTTCATCCTTTCGACGTTCGCCTGCGCCAAAAAAAACGAATAAATAACCATTTAGTTAGTACTTATAATCGTTTTAGTACCTGGTGGAGTATGGTAAAAGTCTCGGGGTCTATGATAAATATATTTCCCGCTTCCGTTGCAACGACAGGACAAGATATTTCGTCTTTTCCGCTGGCGTGTTTTCTCAAAACGCTCGCGCATGTTATAGGATGGACTTTACAGATGTCGTTTAATGTTAGGGTTTTGATAATATCCGGAATTCTAGCTTTATTCGATGTTAATATTTCTTGCGACCTGCAATTCACCAGTAGAATCTATCGCTCATCCTGAATTCTCGTTCCTTTTCTAGCACTACTCTTATATCGGTAGTAAAGGAGCGAGAATTCGAGCGATTTTTACCATCATACTTGTTTGATAAGGAACCGAAAGGTAACTCGTTTAATTCCTTCAACAACGCCTCGATTTCTCGATCGGTTGGGGCGTTTTGAACATCGAAGAAGCGCTTCCAAGCTTCGGTTTCTTCTTTAGAAGCAGGCGAAGGCGGCACTTGGAATTTGTAGTAAGGTTTGTTGTTTTTATGTATGAACAAACAACTTCCGCACGCCACAGCGATTGCTAATAATAATAATACGATATAATCGAGTCGATATAAAGGTTAAAAAGCTTTCATACCGGGTATTCTGGGTTCCAATTCGTCGGTGTAGAAAGTTACGAGGGAATTGGGGATGTCAGGTAGAGGGATTTCGATGGACGAAGTGCCTTTGTACACTTTCATTTTGCTGCGATTTCTTTCTAACTTCATATCGGTTATCACCAGGTTGTAGTTCCCATCTCCGTTGACGTCGGATAATACAGCGTTGCCAGGCAACGTTGTCAAATTGACGTTTTGTTCGTAGAAGGCTTCCAGCCATCTGGATATTTTCATTTCTCTGCGGGGAAAAACGATATAATGGGATTTTGAACGTTTGCAGAGAATTGCATGAATAATAAATTTAATTTTCGAGTGAATTAGTAAGATAATTAGACTTACAGGCGGCTCATTTCAACACAAACTCACTGCTTCTACAACTGGTTTGATGTAAACGATTGTTGCCTAGCGACAGTATAAAATCGATTTAAAAATTCAAAATTAAGAGGCAACAAATTTCCCCAAATCTGCGGAATTTGTAACTACAAACTTGGCAACGCTATATTCCCCAAAAAAAAAAAAACCGAAAATTCAACGAAATTTTGATACTAAAACTAACGACTAGTTTATTAACTGTCCGCCAAAAAAACACAAATCAAGTTACTTCTTTCTTCACCTTCTTCTTGACAGGGACGATTCCCTCGTTGGAGAAGGTGAAAAATTTTGGTTTCGGCTTCTCCTTGGGAGCATCTTTCGGAATTTCCACCGTAAACGCCGCGAAAGACGCCGACTCCTGGGGCTCCAAAGGCTTGAAATCCGGGTGATCGCTATTCATGGGAACCACCCCGATGGGGCCGAGAGCTACAGACGAACTCACCGTCGTTTTATCGAGATCTTTATGGGGTTTTTTCAACGGTTTAGTTGGTGGTTTCTTTTCGACGGGTTTCGGGGTTCTCGCCACTCTCGCGGGCTGCTTCAACCTGGAGGCGAAGGCCGCCTTTCGCTGGGGTATCGGAGGCAATTTGTTTTTGATCTCTTGCAAATCGAACTCCTCCTCCGATTTGGATTTGTTGGAATCGCGCGCGGGGAATTTGCTTTTAATCTGCGGTATTTTCGTACGTTTCTCGCGATCCTTCAACGCATACAGTTTAAAATTAAAATACCTCTTTTAGGTGGAACTTACGGGAGGATTAAACGATTTAACGGGGCTTTTGCTAATTTTTTTAGTCGGTTTCTTCTCGTCGGGATTCGACGATTTGTCCTTCATTTGCACCGGCGGTTTTTTGCACTTGGGTATCCTGCAAACGTTCGATTCTCTTTCGTCCTGTTTGGGACTGGTTAAAGAATGCTTGGAGGGTATCGAGTAGGTTTTGGGCGTCGAATCCTGCGAACAATTTTCGTTTGTATCTCGCTCGTTTTGAGGACTCTCCGCGTCGAAATCGTCGCTGTACGATTTGCAGGAATTACCGCCAGTTCTAAAACAGAAGATCCAGAGGATTGTTTAAGGATGCTCCAGGATATCGATAGATACTCCTTTTTTTGCCTATACATCATGAAGTGTACGAGAATCGATGTAGAAAGTACAATCCCTTTCGAGTTGAAACACCCTGTAACCGGCCCTTTACCTAATCGACATCCGGCCATCCGGAGCGCACGGAAAAGTGATATAAATCGACGTACCCGATCGGAAAAACGTCAGTCGAAATTCGAAGTGTCGAAATGGAAGCTCGAGCTTGCGGTTATTGCTTTCCCGGTTGCCCGATCGAGCCCAATTTGGGCTGGATCAACGGATTGGCCTATCCCAAATGGGAGATCAAATACAAATTGCCGTGTCCGCAGGCCTGCATCGATTACACCGTCTATCCGTTGTGTCCCCCCAGCGATCCTTGCGCCCCCAGATAGAGCGAATAACATCCCCTCCAAGGAGGGGCTGATGGATAGGTAAGGATCTATTATACAATATATTCCTTTATATTGTAATGTTTAGTGCGGATTTTGTGTTACAGGCGAACGGTGTTGTTTTCGAGTTTTTAATGCAATGTTTCAGTTGGAATAAACTTTTAAAATACTAACTTCGTTTTCGTTGTTTTTTTGTAAATTACAATCCTGTGTAGGTAGATGCAAAATTGTTTGCTATATAGGCTCAATTGGTGAAGAGAGGATTGCAAGATAAATTAAAACGAAAACGATTACAATATCAACATCGAAGTCAACGTTTATTTTAAAATTAGCAAAATAAAATATTGTTTTTTTTTTTGTATAAAACGGATTTTTCGCGCTTATTACTAAAAATTTTATGCGTTAATTGTCAAAAATATACCAAATATGTACATTTACAAAATTCCTAATCGCTAAGCATATGTTACAATTTTTTAATTTAGAATTTTTTACGCTTCGTCAACCATTTTTCTCAACCCTAATTTTCTGACTAAAACCGTTGCAAAAATAGCCGTTTTAAAAACGAAATAAATCATTTAAAATAGATGATAAAAATTCATTTTAAAGGGACGGATATCTTTTAGTATCATCGTCTCGAGACCTAAGGAATCGTTCGTTAGCAATATCCCGACGGAGTTGTTTGTTTTGTTGGCTGTATTCGAAGGCTTTCTCTTGGAAGAGATCTAATTGCTCTGAAGAGACGCCTCTAAAAAAAACATACAAATAAAACACCCCCGAGTAATTAAATCAAACAACCACACACACACTTATAATTAAATACAAAATAGATTCGCTTACAATCGCTCTTCCAGCTCGTCGATTTTCGCCCGCAATCTCCCGATTTCCCCCTGGAATTCCTCGTTCGACAATCGCTGATCTGCAAGATCTCGCCTAGCTTCGTTCAAAAGCCTCTCCAAACCCTCCTGGCTGTTTTTATCCCCGTCCAGAGCTCTCTTTAGCTCGCCGTTTTCCCTACTAAACAAATCCATTTTCCTCTCCAACTAAAACACCAAACGATAAGCGCAATTAATTACTAAAATGTAGTACAACATACAGCGATCCTTTGCTCATCTTTGCTCCTGATTTCCCTTCGCAAATCGTCCCTTTCGCTGTCCAATTTCACGCACAACTCCTTCAAATGCCTCATCTCTTCAATATATTGCTCGGCGGTCGAGTGGCCTTGTTTCATTCGGATTTCCAGACAGGCTATTTGGCTCGTCAATTCGCTGATCTACAAGCATTATTATCAACAAGCCGCGGTTGTTCGAGCGAAATTAGCACCTGTTGTTCGTAGCTCTTCGCGACGGCTTCGAGATCGTGGATTTTCCGTTCCAGGTCCGAGGCGTGATCGAGGGCGACGTTGAGTTGAACGCGAGTCTGGCTCGCCTCGCTTTCCAGCGTGTGATTGGTGGTTTCCAGGAGGTTGTTCTCCTGCGATAGGCTCTTGAATTGGTCCAATAATTCAGCGCGTTCGAATTCCTGCGATTAGAAGAAATGTATTATGTTGGGAATTGATGGAGTTTTGCGGTTTACTTTGTGCGATATGAGATCCTCGGTTCGTTTAACTTCCGCCACGTATTGTTGTAGTTGCCTTTTGAGATCTTCGACTTGTCTTTTGGTTATTTCGAGTTCTTTTCTGGCGTCTTTGCAGTCGATGGTGAGGCTGGCGATGTCTTCTTGCAAACGTCTGGTGTGTGTGTGTAAAAATTTCGATGAAAAGGCGGGGAAAATTCGAACGCTTTAGTTGGAAATTACCTGTTTTCTTGTACTGCTACATCTTTGCATCGCCTTTCGTTCTCCAAATCCTGCTGGAGGAGATCGATTTCCTGCTTGCTGGATCGCAATTGCGCTTCGAACGAGGAGTGCTCCTCCGACGTGGTTCTGGAATAAATTTTATATTGCAAAAAATACGAGTTATATAACGTTATATAACAAGCTACTTTTACATTTGATATAAACGAGTTTGTGCGCGAGGAATGCCAAGTACGACTGGATGATTTTTTTTATTGTTGTCGCGAGTCGGGCGTTCGAAACAATAAATTCCGTAAAGGATTCTCGAAAATAAATCAGCGTTTAATAGATTTTTAGGGTCGCAGGTCGCCGTGGAAACTTTCACTCGGCGAGAGAAAGAAAGAAAAAACCGCCGCGAGATTTTCTAAGGCGATCGTGCGCTCGTAAAATCCCAAAAAAAATAAAACATTTACGCATAATTATCGAGATTAACCGAAAAAAAAAAAAAACAACGAAAGCGTTGCGTAATTCGAAAAATTTATCGAAATCGAAATTCCCCCCCGTTTTTTCCTTTGCGAAACATCTCGACCCGATTTACTTGGTTCACAAACGGTTGCGTAACTCATCGCGAGAATAATAAACACAAAAAAAAAAAATAACGCGATGAAAGCGACAATGAGAAGGCGCCTCCGTCGAGTTCCCAACACCCGGTATTAAATAATCGAGAGCGCAAGAAAGAGTGACTTAATCGGATGGATTATAAACTGTGCAATTTATTATTTGAAATTGGCTATTTATGCGAAATTGTTGCATTACTAATTTCATTTTGCTCCGTTCGCGAAAAAGTGGGACTTTAAGATGCGTTCGATGTTACATACAGTGTCAAAATTAATGTTAGTAATGTGTAATCCATGGATTAGAAGTTGGTGCTTTTTAAGATGCGTTCGATGGTACATAAACAGAAACTACCATTGACATTAATGACATTTCGTATGACAGAAACTTAATAGAGGTGGGAATCGACTTTTCGGTATAGAGGTGTAGTAACGACCGTTACAAAATAACCGTTATTTTTCACGTATTACTCTACTCGAAATTAATTTATGCTAATTCGTTCGATTTTTATGCGAGGAGGACTACAACGAAACAATAGTAGATAAATGAAATTGAAGTTTCGTCGAAATCGTGCGAGCATTTACAAGCGACACGTCGATCGAATATTAATGTATCGAGAAAAGTGAAGAAATTTCCATCGAGCTTAGTACATTACGAGAATATGCTATTTAAAATCCGCGTTCAAAAAAAATTAATTTTGACACACACACACGTTCGAAAAGAAGAAAATAAAAACACTTTCACCTATTCGTAATTCGTAATTCGTAATTGAGAATGTGAATATCATTTCGGATTTCGATATTCAAATATCGTCGGGTTTTTTTCCAATTTCAAGCAGCGCGCAAACACCGACGGGTAATTAAGAAATTACAACTTTTACCCAAACATTTATCGCACTTTTTCATCTAACATCAGAAATAGAAACTCTCTCGTTATTCCCTAGCTAAATATTGCGCAAAATTCGGCGATATCCGTTCGATAAAACCAAGCGAAATGTCTTTATTTATTAATTCAACTTACTCGCCCTATAACTACAACAACAAAAAAGGGCAAGGAAATAGAATAAACAAATACCATTGCACTGTAACTAGCTCATAACTCCTACAAGAACGCGCGTGGGCAGGCCGAGTACAAGCACAAAAAAACTGTAGAAATAATTCGAGCCGAACCCACGTGTCCTAATGCACCGGGACCAAGTGCATTAAACCGCCGAAGAACCGCCGAAGAACCGCCGAAGAACCGCCGAAGAACCAGACCCACCCTCGCTAAAATCCGCTCGACACCTTCCGGAGCGCCGATCGAGGCGCAGAACGCGCCCAACACCGCCTCTCGGTGGACGTCTTCTCCGCGGATTGTTCGGTTTTTTTTGGTTTTTTTTTTCGAGATTTAAACAGACGATGAGAATTGTGTTTGTTAAAAACGCGCGAAACGGGTGATGAAACAGTTTCGGTGATGATGATTTCGGGTCGCGTCAGGCGGTTGATGTGCGGTTCGTATGCGGTTTTTTCGGTGGGTTTTTGAAGCGGAAATTATGAGAGGAATCGATGGGATTCGGGTAAATATTTCTATTTTTAGTTTTCAACAATTGCGATTCAAATTCATCCAATCGGTCCGTGGTTAAAGCTACTTCTTTTGGCTTTTGTAATGTCTATTTTATTAACTGTTAAAGTAGTAGTATTTATCAAGGAATGAACATTTATTAAAGTTTAAATAAACCAACTAAATAGAGTACTACCTATATTAAAAAATTCCCCAATCATTCCGTAGTTAAACCTACTTCTTTGGCTTTTGTAATATCTATTTTATTAACTATTAAAGAAGTAGTATTTATCAAGGAATGAACAATCATTAAACCTTAAATAAACCAACTAAATAGAGTACTACCTATATTAAATAAATAAACGTTTTATTTTTAAAGAAGAAAAAAAATAATACAAAATTATTACTCTCATAAATCATTTTTGAAACTTCATTGAAGCAAACCTAAAAACATAAAATGTTCATTTCGATTTTAAATCATTATAAAAACTTTCAATTATCAATAAAACCTCGAATAAACCAATCAAAAGTTTTAACACCTATCCGACGATTAATTCCATTCGAAACCGATTGTTATTTTATTGTAATCAATTCAATAAAATAATTCAAAACGCGGAAATGTATGAAAATATATAAAGTGCAAGTTTGCGTAACGTGAAACTCTATTGTTTTACAGATCTAATCCTAATTAACAATAATTGCTACACACTTTATACTAATTCATAAAGAACACTATTGTTTTATAAGCAAACGAAAAATCGGACAAAACTCCCAATCAATTATTAATTACTCGTTAAAAAAAAACCCATCTTAATCTGAATAACAATCAACTTGTCACTGCGATTACAATTCGCCCGTGTTCGAGGAAATTTCTCCGGCTAATTTGCGACAAATCGAATCGTGCATTCTCCCCATTGTCATCATCTATCAATTCAATTCGAACCAATTAAACCAATCATTGTTCCACCGGTAATAAAATTAAAACTATTTTTTTTGTTCAACGGCCGACTTGCGCCCATCTTAAATTAACCGAAATAAAATACACAATGAATAAATAAATAGGCTTTTTTTAAACATCTTCCTCGATCGAATAGAAAGTCAAACTCGAGTAAATTCGTCAGCAATCGTCTCTGTAGTAGTTACGCGATTTCGTTTCGAGCAAACGATTAAATATCTGTGGTAATTTTCGTAAAACGCCCTGTATATACATTACGCAACAGTAATAAACCGCCTTGAACTTCGAACGCTGCATGCGGAATTACGTGCTTGAACTCGAAAGTAAAATTATAGAGAGAAAAAAGAAGTATATAATGCGTAGAGTGTTGCAAACGAGGAGTAATCGAGTGTAGTAGGAAGCTTTTAGAAAGGAAGCTAATGCGTTTTATGGAGCGTTATTTCACCGAAAAATTCACCTTCATTTATAAAATTCACTTCCTAAATGGATTTATCACAACATCAACCTTCTAATGATTTATTGTACGAGGCGCTAAAAATACTTTTTCGTTTCCTCTTCATAAGCATAAAGTGTATATTTCAACAATACACAATTACACAAGGTAACCACATTATACTACAAGGTGTTTCCTAAAAATTAGCCACACTTCTTAGAAGTAAACGACCATCAAACATCCCGCGAATTCGATTAGAAAAAAAAAACTATATACTTCTATACTCTAATTCCAAAATAGTAGGCACTAAATTCTATTGAAAAAATTTAGTCAACCTTCTCATTTAGCCTTCCTAGAAATTTAATTCTAGCTGAATTTAGTGCCAACTATTTTGGAAATAGAGCATAGTATAAATTTGTCGATTCAGGTGCACCTTTTGCTGGAACTTCTCCTGCCATTCCTGCTGTCGTACGCCGCGAAAGGAGCGGTAGTGGCGCCTCCGTGGGCCAATCCCAAACTAAACCCGTGCGCCTCGCACCCCAGAGGTTGGCAGTTACTCTTCTGGCCGCCCGACGGGAAATGTTACAAAATATTCCAGGTACTATCCACTGCATAAACGAGCCTATAATAGTCCGTTCGTCGTCAGGATCTCCTGAGTATAATTTTCATAAGTTAACGTTCGCTTTATTCATTTATAGGTGGGTTATCCTTGCCCCAACGGCATGGAATTGACTCCGTCGTTGAGTAAATCGGGTCAAACGTTATCGGCGGAGTGCCGGTGCGTACCGGGTACCGCCCAATCGGCCTCCGACGGCGCCTGCTATCGATTATTCACCGCTGGACCGTGCCAAATGGGCCAGTACTTCGGCCCCGACACCCAATACAAAAGCGAAAAGTGAGCGTATTAATCTAATCGCCAAACGTTTAAATGTTTCCTCGTCGTTCGCGATTTCAGTTCGAAGCGACAATGGGGCACCTGCAAGCCAATCAAAACCTGCTCGTCGGACGACAGCACCTTGTATTGGCCCAAAGACGGGAAATGCTACGAGAAACACACCAAAGGACCCTGCCCCAAAGGTCAATTACTTACGATCGATAGAAATAGTTCGATACCGACGTGCAAATGCGACGACGAAGAATTGCGAATTTACCGGTACGTTTTCTTATACATATACCGATCGTCCAAGTTCGAGCGCTGCGATCGGTAGAAAGAGAGAACTGTAGCGCTCGATCTTGAACACATTGTATAATGCAAAAATTCAAAATTCCAGCCACTTCGACGGATCGTGCTACCGACATTACACCAAAGGCCCTTGTTTGGAAAAGGGCCAATTGTATCTGCCGGATAAAACCTGCGGATGCCACCCGCTCTTGCCCAACTACCACGAACCGACGCGACAATGCTTCGAACTCGGTACGAATCCACCTATAAAAATCGCTACAAATTCCGTTCGCAACGGCTATTTCATTTACGTACAAATTGTGGTAAAGTCGAAAGTTGAGTAGATTAACGATGCGTGAAAAAATAACCGTTATTTTGTAACACTCGTTACTACACCTCTATACCAACAAACCGATCCCCACCTCTATTAAACCACCGTCGAACGAAACGTCAACGAACGTCAACGAACGTCAACGAACGTTTCCGATCGCGTACCATCGAACGCATCTTAAAACCCACGTTAACAAACCAACATAAACGCTTCGAAATTTCGCAGGTACGCCCGGCCCGTGCGCCCGAGGCCAACACTACGTCATCGACGACTCGAAGCGAGCCGAGTGCGCCTGCAAACCGAGCCACGTCCGCCACCGCAACACCACCGCCTGCTACAGACTCTACACCCGGGGACCCTGCCCCGAGGGGCGTATCCTGCTCGACGCCGACACGTGCGCGCGCCAGCCGTGCGCCCGGGGCTCCTTGTACTTCCCCGACGAGAATCGATGCCATCGGGTGGGCGCGCGCGGCCCGTGCTCGCCCGATCGCGTCGTCGCCTTCGACTTCGAAGCGCGCCCTTCCGTAGACGGTTTGAGCTACAACGGGGTGTGCGCGTGCGCTCTAACCGATTGCGAAGGGGTAGGCGAGTACTGCGATAGGCTCAAGGGATTGGTGAGGTACCGAGGCGAGTGTCACAAGATGTATACGCGCGGGCCGTGCGCGCGCGGCTCGTGGCTCGTGCCGAAGCGAAACGGTAGAGACGAGTTGTTCGTCGATGGTACGAGGGAGCGCGTCGGTACGTGCGAATGTATACCGGGGTACGCGAGAAAGTCGCCGAGCGACGGCGACGCTGCTACGGTGACGTCGTGTTTGTCGCCGGCCGTCGCTTTGGCGGAGTATTTGAACGGGAATCGGACTCGCTTGCAGGTCGATTTGGGTTCGTAGGTTTTGTAGTAATAAAATTGTAGGTTTTTTATTAGTGTACCTCATTTTCCTGTTCAAATCCTTCGTTTCCTTTTCCAATTCCGCCAGGCGTTTCTTTTTCTCGCGAATGTCGTTTTCTAATCGATCGATTCGTTCGGTTTTCTCGTCCACGACGTTCTGTAAACAAATACATATAAACATTTTGTAAAGTACCAAACACACAGGGTGAAGTTATGCTATTTGTACAGGGTGTCTCTTTACTTGACGGATGCAGCTATATCAATACATTTCTGTTTTGTGGAGAATTGGCATACACTAAACTGTTCGTATTGGTCCAAAAGTGTTAGGTCTGGCCATCTCGAAGGCCTGTAAACAGAACCTCTTCTTCCACTAACACAATAATATCTAGTAACACAACAATTGCTTAAAAATTCTTAACTTTTGAACAATAATCTATCCTCCTAAGCTACATCCATCGAATCACCCTGTACATTCTAAACTACAATAGTAATTCCATTGAAATTAAGCGATGAACAATCTCGAATAGTTCTAGTTTTAAGAGCAAATGTGAATTATGTACCAAAAGTTCGTCTTTTTCTCGATCGATTTTGGTCAATTGGCATTTCATGAGATCGACGTCGCCCTGCAATCGGGCGATTTCCCTTTCGTGACACGACATCTCCCTGTGACTATTGCCCATTTTGCTCTGCAACGTTTGCACTTCGCTTTCGGCCCGCAACACCTGCGATTGGGCGTCGCTCAACGCCCGATTAGTTTGATCGTGTAGTATCCTACAACATAAATAACGCATCAAATTCAATTACATTCCTACGGAATAACAACAGTACTTTAATTGCTCGTAATTGATCTTTTGATTGTTGGCCTCCTTCTGTGCGGCTTGTAATTTCTCTCTTAAAATCCTGCATTCGTCTTCGAGATGAGATAGATTCGATCGATTGGTACCTTGGGATATCACCAAATCCCTTCGCTCGTTTTCCAGCTTACCGATGTGCTCTTCCATTTCCTGGAAAGCTTTTTTCATGCGTTCCTCGTTGAACAGCGACGTTTCGCTCAAATTCCGGATTTTGTTCTTCAACGAATCGTTCTCCCTTTCCAAATGTTTCACCTCCTCCTTGTGCACGTCCAATTCCCTGTTGCGTCTCTTACACGTCGTCTAGAAACGTTTGTATGTTAATATAACTCCTAACTATTGCTCTACGAGTACTTACTCTCGTGCAGATTTCATCGAAATCGATCGAACTGTCCCTATTCTGAGCCTCCAATCGCGACGTTAAACAGTATTTTTCGCTTGTCAAAACCTTCAATTCCTCCTGAAGCGTGGCGATGATTTTATCTTTATCTTTAATCCTGCTCAACAATTCGTCGAGTTGCTAGAAATAATACTTATAAAATCGATTATACGATGAAATCTATCGTAAAGTACCTTCGAGGATTTGTCCGATAGCGAGTTGGGAGCGGATTTGGGACGTTCCAACAACCTGTGGTACTCTTTCATGTAGAAATCCTTCTCTTTGCGCAACGACTCGATCTGCTGGGTGGCCTGGAAACCGGTACGCGTACAGCTCGCAACTCACCGAGTAAATCATCGAACGAATTACCTGCTCCTGTCTGTGTTCGATTTCCTTATTCAAAAGATCCGTCATCCATTTGACGCAACCGCCGGCTTCGCAGCAACATTTCGATTGCACCTTGGGATCGTAGGCGGTACCCAACGAGGCGGATTTAGCCCTGTTCGATCTGTCTTTAGACGGTGGCGATTTGTCTCTGTTGACCGGCTCTTTGGTGGCCGAATTGTCTTTATCCGTCGACGATTTCCTGCAGCCTTTTTTGTGCTGGAGTTTCCCGCTGGTGCGCGCTTTGTTCGAATCCGAACCCTGCGAGTTAGGCGTGTTAGATTAGATTTTTAATCGTGTACGAGGGTAAGATGGAAAGTTCTCAGTCGAGTGGGACGCCAATGAATGTTTCTAGGCTTTCGTTCGATGGATTTTTTTGGAGACGAGAACTTTCCTTCATACCCTCGTAGAATCGGCGTTCGTGGGTTACTTTGATAGCGAGCAATTCGCTTTCCAATTCGACGATTTTGCGTTTTTGTTCGCCCGAAGTCCTCAGTAATCGATCGATCTCCATGTTCAAATCTCGCTCTGGAAAACGTACCGTCGAAATAAAATCGATTAATCGGTTAGTAATTTCAATACCTATGATGGTGAAATTGTTTATTCGATCGTTCAATCGTTTCTTTTCGTCGTTTTCCGCATCGAGTAAAGCGCGCAATTTCTTTTTTTCCAATTTAACGGATTCCAATTGCGATACCAGTTCGGTCTTGTCGATGTTTAGCTTGTGAATCTCCAATTCGAGGTTCTGTTTTTGTATGAGCGATTCGTTGATTTTATCTTGCAGTCTACAATGTAAAAAAAATCGTAAAAATCTCTACGATGGTCTTCCCTTTGCTTATACCTTGTAACTTTTTCGACGTTAGATTTTACGGTGTTGTTACAATCGGCTTCGACAGATAGAGCTATTTTATCTATATCTTTCAATTCCTCTTCGAGCGTTTTGTTCCTTTCGGCTAAACGAAGGGCCCTTCGCATCGCCTCGTGCTGCTTCGATAGAGACTCTAAAAACAACGAGATAACCTTAAAAAACACATTTGACAATTCGTGTGACACTTTAAAAGGCGAGTTTTCAGCCCAATTCAAAATTGATGATGTGATGGATGAATTAAAATGAAATTAGATGTTATTTTGGCGATCGGTATAGCCGTATGGGCGTTGAGTTACGATACAGCTTCCATCGAACTCGAATCGAATCTACAAGAACTATGGAAATTAGGAGATGGGGACGATACAGTACTACAAATATCAGATATTATTAAATATTCCCTAGCTAGCGTTTTGTTCGTAAGAGCTTATACGTCTAAATTATTTCTAATAACGTACATTTCGATGTTAGTACCGGCTATATCGGAATATTACCCTCGCTTGTTAATACCTTGGTTGTTCGTAGGTATCCTAAGATCTCTTTTATCCACCGTTATAACGTTAAGCGTAGGATGTTACTTGTGTTTCGTTCGAAAAGGTATCCACGCGATTTGCTTGGATTTCATCATATCCCAATGCATCGATCACGGTCCGAGTATCTACATATGGTTCGCGATTCTGAATTTCTACAACGAATTAAAGCACCCCAAAGCCCACACCACGAAATCCCAAATAATGCAAACGATGGATAATACCTTTACGAATATAATATCGCATTTGAGACCTTTCGTAATCACCACGAGATCTTTAGATACGCTACTGAGCAACAAGGAATCCGGTGTAAAGAAACACGAAGTGCACGAGCAATGCAATTTACTGGATTACGTTAAACGGGTGTTGGAAATCAGCGATGAGGATATACTGGAAATAAAACGGAGCAAAGATGAATCGAAACGCGACTCGTCCGCTGTGGAAAAGGAAGAGGAATTGATGTGTCTCGATTTGAACGATAAATAATTATAAAATTACCTTTCAATTGGTTTTGTATGGCGTTTTTTTCCGTTTTTAAACTCGATATTTCGTCTTCTAGAGAACCGAGTTTGTTGTCGATGTTTTTGTAGCAGCAATCGTTGATTACTGCGCTAGTTGGTCTTCCACCTTCCAGCAAACCGGTCAGTCTTTTGATCTCTTGGTCTCTGTTTTCCAACTAAAATGAGTTTCGAGTTGTGAAATAATACAATGAATTGAGTATGTAGTTACCTGTAATAATAAGAATTCGTTGTTTTTTAAAAGTTGAATTTGCTCGTCTTTTAAATTCTTAATATCGTCGTTGAGTTTCGTTATTCTCGAGTCTGCTGTAGCCATAACTTTTCTATTTATATCACTTTTCGGCTTCGATTCTTGTACTAAAAAAGTTTAATTTAAACGAAAAGAAACGATACAAACGATACACCAAACCTCTCTTAAAAGATCCTTTAGTTTTTTGTACGAAATCTTGCAACTGCAATTTCAATTTTTGTTTTTCTATACCGCAATCGGTCAATTGAGTTTCCAATGACGCTATTTTTGCTCTTAAATCTACAAGGGATAGAAATTTTATTCGAATCAAGTAGTTTGTTTAACGTACCTCTTTGCACTTTTTCATGTTGCTCCTTAAACTGTATAAAAGCTAAATGTAATTCATTGCATTCTTTAATGAGTTTGGCATTATCACACTTGTAGGGCTCCGCTCCGAATTTCAAATTGTCACGTTCCTAAAACAACCGCAAATATTTGAATTTAAAGCCAACTGTCACACGTCAAACGTCAAAAATGCAGTTTTCGATATAAAAAAAACGGCTTCCTTCGATTTGTTTAGCATCGAGAATTCTAACCTCCAAAGCTTGCTGGGATATTTTCATGTATTTCCTGAGACTATCGGTGGTTATCACCAAATCGCCGAGCAGCCTCCTCACCAGCGGCAAACAGTCGGGCGTCAAAGTTTCCCCATAGCCCAAATCGTCGAGCTCCTTGCGAACGTCCGCGAAGGACCTTTCCATCTTTTCCTAGCGAAACTGCACGTTTTCGAAATTAACGCTCCATTCATGACCGCTCGACGAAGTTGCCGTGCGAAAATCTAATTGGGATTTCCATTTGCCATCACGATTCACGATAAAACGACGGTTTTACGTTAAAAATACAATACAAACACAACATAACAGAAACGGTTTCAATTCTTCTTTTTTATATTGACGGTAGTGTATTTGCCAGGTCACGAAACTGGTGTAGCTGGGTGCGACAAAACGCAAAAGGCCATATAATAGAAAAGAAAAAGAAGAAGAAATTGGTGGCCTGTAACTTAAAAGGTTATTAGTTAGTTTTGAATATAAGAATTTCAGCGGTTTATTGAAAATTCGTTATGAATTATGAGCAATATTTTCGAATCGATTTAATCCGTGTGGTATAAACGAGCGTTAAATTGAACTCTGTAAATAAACGATTTTTATTGGTCAATTCCGCCGCCATGTTGTAAAAAAGTTTAGACGTACTTGATTAATTCGTAAATTATCATTTTAATTGTAAACAAATTTAACCTGTGCAAAACGCATAATCATAAAAAAAATCTATATAGGTAATACATTTCTAATTAGTGCACTCATTATTCATTTTGACTACCCGCTCTATCAGAGTGTACATTAATCGCACAAAATCCCACGAAAGGACAAAAAAAAAAAAGGCAAAAAGAGATTTGTATTTATTTTTCTTCTAACAGGATACAACCGGCGCTGATGAAGGACGGTCGCATCGCAAATCGCGAAGGCCCTGAGTGGCCCAGGCAGAGCTGACGCCTCCGCATTTTCCAAGAATCCAGGCCTGATTCGCGTCGATCCCACGCCGGGCATCATCCCTACCGGTACGGGATGTTTGCATGAATAAACCGGAGAATCGCTCTTCATCCCTTTTTTATTTTTTCCCACATTTTGCGCCCTCATCGGGCTTTTGTACGTCGACTGATTGGGTTAAATTGAACGGGAGAGGTCCCTTCGGAGGTGGATTTTATGCTTGATTTAATCAGAAATAATACCTTTAATCAGTCACAAAAAGGTAGAAATGCTGTTAATTGAGCCGGTATGCGTTTGAAATGATCTACTAGAGTCGAAGATTCTCGCTGTATAATCAGCAATGTCGAAATAAACGAAGTTACCGGTATAAATTTAATAATTAGACCGGAGTATTTTTAGCTCGTGCAGAAATTAGATTGCTCTAACGCGATTAGTTTTCCACGAATTCGAGGGGAGCAAAAATAAAATTCGAGTTCTTCGTATATGAACGAATTTCTTCGGGAAAAGGTGGATCGTTTGGATGGAAAAGTAACCGTACAAAATGGATATGTTGGGATAGAAAAGTATAATTAGTTAATGCGGATTATTAAAAGAGGAATTTTACAATTCTTAGGATCAATTTTATTACGCTAATTGCGCGATACAATGGGTCTAGACGACATTAATTCGCATCGCTTAAACATTCTTAAAAGTTCCATAAAACTAAATAGAGATTTTTACAAAAGTGTAGTAGTTTATTCTCCAGTTTTCGTAACATCCTACGCAAACAATTTCAACGAAATAATCTCCCCTATCTACAAAACACTATCGATTATTAGTTATCAATTATCTAATCCTAATAAACGTCACAAACGACGTCACTAGTACCCAATCGCATCGAATTAATTCCTCGAAAACCAGACGCTTTTATTTCCACAATAAATTCAATCCAATATCCTCTAATTCTATCACAATATCGAAAAAAATTCGCCATAAATACAACAAAATAAATTCATATTTATCGCTTGCCCATCGTACAGAAACCGCCAGCCCTAATTTTATGAATGAAAATCCAGCCTGGCGGGAAAGCTCGACTTCCTGGTGACCCACATCTCATCGAAGCGCCCCCGTAACGGGGATCAATAATCGGGGCTCGGGCCCCACCAATGGCAAGCGAGCTTGTTGAATGCCCCACCAATGGGCAGCGTCTGTCGCATGCCCTCCCCACCCCCGGGAAATTCATTCAGAACGTGTGGGTGCCCCCCTCTCACCGCCCCCGCTCGTAGGGGAAGACCACCGGTATATATGGGGCCCCAGGCGAGGGGGTTCGAGCATTTCTACCGCGGACGTCCATCGTTACTGGTGTCGCGAGTGATACTCTAACGAAATATACGAAATATTCCCCCACGAAATGGTAAGTAAAGCGATGGACGAATTAAGAGGCCTTTAATTAAAAGAAGAATTAGATCCTCACCGGTACATTTGTTGCTTCCAGATGATCCTCCGTTTGATCGAATTAACAATCATCCTCGCCCCATCGGTACTCGCCTACTCGCTTCCCGTGTACGGCACCAAACGGTACGGTCGTACCAACCAACAGTACCAGTACCAGTACCAGAACCCTTCGAATTCCTACTCATCCTACCGAATCGTACCGATCGGCTACTACAAGAACCCCTACGCCCCTTCCAACTACCACACCTACCCTCTACCCTACTACTACCCGAAGGTCTACCAACACCCTCTGCCCTATAACTACTACCAAGACCACAACGGGTACTCCTACTACGACTACAGCGACCCCGACGGCGACTACGCCCAGGAACCCGACAACTACGACGAAGCCTCCAACGCGGAGGATGCGAACGGGGCGTTTTTGAACAACCTCATCCTCGCCCAAATGTACAGGGACAACTACGACGACTACGACGAGGCGTTCGCGAAGATCGAAGAGCTCGGCAGACCTCCCGTCGTCGACGAAACGGTCGAGCAGCTGCAGCAGCTGCAGAAGCACCGCGGCAACGCGCACTGGGCGCAGCCTGAAGCCTCCGATGCATCGGCTGTCGACCGACAGCAGCGCAAGAACAAGCAGAGGAAGCCGAAGAAAGTGGGCGAGAAGAAGTCGAAGCGAGCCGAAGAAGGGGAATTGTACTCGGAGAGGAAGCCGGTGAGGAAATTGGTGTCCACTACGCCGAAGCCGACTGATGAGATGAGTGGAGGTCAGAAGGAGCAGTTCGAAGTGAGACCGGCGACGCCGGTGAGACACGCTTTCTCCGATCAGGTGATGGATATGATGGCGAGGAACGAGCAGGAGCACCAGGAGAGGAACCAGCGATCGCCGTCGGTCTACGACACCATCAAGCATCTCTTGGACATGGAGAAGAGCCTGGAGAATGTAAGTAGAAACGATTGGTCTTGGGGGGGTTTTAATTGCGATCCTACCGACTGCGCCAATTTGTGTCCTGCGTATTTATTTCGCTCTCCCGGAGGAGACGCGAAAGGTCAAAGGTCGGTGCGAAAATTGAAATGTACGTGGGCGAGTGTGTGTGTGGCCCTTTACACTTCAGGGATTGCGTCAGTTAAGCGCAAATTTCTGCACAAAGCAAAGGCAACTTTCATTCTTGCTCTCTTGGATTGCTCGAATGCTGACGTCATAGAGAGGATTAAATGAGCGATCCTCGATTGTAAAATGTTTGTTTCAGAATCGAGATAAAGCGGAAATGCGGCCCGCGATGAAGAAGCGAATAATAACGCCGGAGGAAAGTCTGACTAGGCAACTGTCGGTGTTGAAGAAAGCTCAGTAAAATGCTTTGAATTTTTTTTTTTTCGTTATGCGATCTTTTCCCTCTACATTTACGGATGGTATTCGTATATTGTGTTCGGCGGATTTCGAAATGGAGTGGAGTTTTGGGTTTGGTATAAAGACTGATCGAATTTTCAATTTAGTAGTATTTAAAACGGTGAAGAGGATGCAAATTTTGGGTTTCGTCGCGATACGCGTGTAAATAAAAATCCGCTTGACAATGGAATAACTTATCAATTTATCAATGTATGTTATAGTGAATTTTCATCGATTCCTACACACGTTTGTAGTATTGTTGGTTCTTTTTAGTTAACCCATTCGGGAGAAAGTTAATTCTAATCTAAACCAATCTGTCGACTAAAAAGATTCGACAATATTTGACGATAGTACAACAAAAAATATCATTAAACATACTAAAGTATTTTTACATCATATTTTAAGAGATACAACCTACATTTAGAGTATAAACAGGACAAATTATTAACAATTCAACCAATAACAATTATGTTTAATGAAATTTTTTGTTGCAAACTTCTATGCATTTTATTATTAAATATCTGCTTAATATGATAAAACGCTGGTTATTAGATGAATCGGTTAGTAATTTTCTCGCCATATATACAGGGTGTGCAGCCAATTATTCGAATTGCAGATGAATTCTGTGATACAGAGAAACAAAGGACTGTCGCTTCGAGTAGGTAGACAAGAAAACGAATTTCAAGTAGAAAATAGACTTTAAATAATTATTTTTTACCGATTATTAATTTATAGAAGAATCGGGTTCGAATTAGATCGCATGTCGATTCGGGTCGAGCGGTGAAAATAGAATTTTCCGACTATTTTAAGAAATCGAACGATTTAAAAGCCTTTTATAAGGAAAAAAATTGAAGCTAGACAACGTCGCAATTTACGCGACCTAATTTTCGAATCTGTACATTGTTTAATAACAATTAAACGTTGACAAATCCCGGTTTAAATGGTACTTGGTAGTCGAAGCAAAACTACCAATAATTGGATTTGTTCGAAGCGGTGATTTATTTTTCGATTAGATATGCGATGGCTCGAATGCAGAAAAATGTTTCTTTTGTCGAATCGATCTTCTATATTTCGATAATTACCGGTATATAATTCTATTAGAAATTTAAATATATTTATTCGTTTCTCTGACGGCCCAGTTAGGTACATAAAATATGCAAAATTAGTACATTTTGTACAACCCAGGGCTGTGCCTATAACGTGGATTTTAAAGTATCTATAATAAAATTGTTGTGTTTTCATTTTGAATTATTCAATGTTATTAAGTCAATTGTTATAAGACGGATTCAAAAGTCAATATGGTGGATAGCTTTAATTTCAAATTGTTTTTTAGCTAATAAAATTATTGAAATAAGGTAAAATGTATATTAACGCACATTATTCAATTTGTTTTGATGAGATTATATGTATGTTGTTGTGACACCGGAAATTGCCATTTTGTAATTTTGTATTCAACTAATTTTGTTTGATTGATTTTATATTAATTTTAATAATTATTTACGTACAAGTGACAATAAAATAATCGTGCGTTGGTTCGTATAGAAAGGTTACAATTCTAATGATATACCTATAAAAGCTTTAAATGCAAATTTTCTTATGCAAATCGTGTCCTATAATGAGCTCTAAAAATTCCACTATAAATTACAGCGCCAATTTATTTTTGTAGTAAACTAGAATTTAGCCATAGATATAAAAATAGATTATTTTTTTGTATAGCGTTAAGATATATTGAATATGTGTCTCATAATTTGTACATATCCCACAGCCGTATGTAATTCTAAAATTGTAAATATACTACTATATATTTTGATAAAGTAGAATTTATCTATCGTTTATTTACAAGTACGACAAAAATTTACAAATTCAGCGACTATTTCCAATCAGCGCTCGATTTGTAAATTTTCCTCGTTCTGTTCCTCACTTGATTTACTATTATTTTTGTACATTTCCGCTTCTCGTGTGTCGTATAAAAATTATACTCTACTGACTGATGAATAAATGTTCAAATACATACATAAACTCGTTTCATTTTCGAGGAGAAAAACCAAAAAAAAAAAAAACACCCCATCCCCTCGACCTACGCACCAAAAGAAAACTCCCCCCTTTTTCATCCCTCAAACACAAGCAACCCCTCCACTCACACACACACTTGTTCACCTCCATTGACGTCATCCGATTGATTTTTAATTAAACACCGACGCCTGTCGGGCATCGCATATTGTCCTGAACGAACGAGCCAGCTTTATATCGACACAAAAATTGGATTTTTATTGTTTACCAACAAAAACCTGCAAAAAAAAACCAACGCGCAATTAACTTAATATGTATGAAACGTTCATAACAAACCGGTCGTGACGTCACGGCTCGATCGTGACGTCAGGCGCTGTTTCGCCTACTCTGATTTTGCTCCTTTCAGAGGCGATTTTCGCCGGGGAATTCGCGTGGGCGAACGACGGGGGGGTTTCGGAGGGAGGCTCCGGAGGCTCCGGACTGTCGCGGTCGAATTTTCGGTTGAGCGCCAATTGCCCCGGCGCGATTCGCGATGAAATCGCGCCGAATTGATCGAAACTCTTTTCCCCAGCATTACTAAATGTATCTAAATGATGACAGGTGGTTCACAGGAATCGCAAGAAATCGCCATTTCGAGTAACAGCGGATTTCGGGGTGAGTGGATCTCTCCTCACTCGCTCCTTCGCTCGCTCCTTCGGCCCAGATTATTCTATTTTTAGACAGGGATTCTACCGAACCGATGTCCCCGTTTCGCCAGCTGGATTATTGACCCCCCCTACGGCTCCGAAATCGCACGGGAATCCCCCGATATTTCGTCGATTTTTTTCGCTCTCTAAACGAGTTTGTTTGCGACGTATTTTCGCCGCATAAAATCAAGTTTTCTCTATTTTTCCATCGCAATTAAAATTGCGTATTAGAACGTTTATAAAGAGAATATAGAGAAGAAGGCCGCGTCAATTCGAGTAATTCCCCCGGCGTAAACACGACACACAACAGGCCGTCTGAGATTCTGATCGACAGGATTCCATACAGGGTGGAACACTTCGTATTTTGTCTAATACGAAATCGGATATTACACGCTAAAAAAGACCAAAAATGTAGTATTAATTAAAATAGTGTTGACAATTAAAGGGGATAAAATGATCACCCGGTATATAGGCGTCGTTGCCGAGCAATTTTCAGGCCCTATAATAGTCGATACAGCCTTGAAAAGTGGGTCACCAGGATAGGTTGCAAGTTGCAGCCCCCCCCATCGTTCATTCACCTTTAGCTCTCTTTTCGCCCTCTCTTACCGGGGATTTGTACAAAAAACGGAAAACTCGAACGTATTTTCCGAATAATCCAGACCGTCGGGCGCCGCCGGTGCTCGTTTATTTATTTATTTACAGAGAAAATCAATCGGTATAATAACGTTTCTTCAACGTCCTGTACTTCTTCAGCATGTAGAGCGTCTCGATTTCCTTCACGACGAATTCCCCGTGCTTGATCATCTTCTCGATGTTGTCGGGGTCCTTTTCGTCCTTGTTTTTAGAGAAGGATTTGTGCAAACCGCGCCTGAAGTGGTCTCGTCCTTTCGGCCAGTCCTTCGATAAGTTAAGGAACTACAAAAAAAACCGGTGTAAATAATAAATTGGCACTGTGAATTTTTAGAATGGAAACGAGTAGATTTTTTAGTAATTTTCCAGGGTGGAAGAATCGCCCGCGCGCGTTTGTTTTCGTAAAATGGAAATGGAAATTTCCATAATTAATAAACAAGCGGCGTGTGTGCGAGATAATTCATGGGCGAAAGTGTCAAAGGAAAATTCCCCGAGCGAGCGGCATTGAAAACGATGAGAATTTTCCGCTTTCTCTGCTAATTTCAAGAGCGTTTTTTTACTAATAACATATTATTATTCTTGTTATGTTACCTGTTATTCCTAAAATTTCGATCCATTTAGAAATTGTCAGCGATTAAGAATTTGTAGAGGATCTATTTTGGTGTTAATTATCATTATGTGTAAACAAATTGATATAAAATAATTTTGGATTTAAAAATATTGTTGAAAAAAAAAATCAAAAAACTGTGCGATGGCCGGGAATCGAACCCGGATCAACTGCTTGGAAGGCAACTATGCTGACCATTACACCACCATCGCAACTTGTTTATTGCTTCAAAATCTCAGTAGTCTAGTTGCTCTTAATATAATTTAATTAATTAATCCACTAATATAACGAACAATTTATCGAATAGTCATTAAAATAGTTCAATATTAACACAGACTGTATATTCAAAATAATCATAATTAGAAAATTTCCAATTTAGAATTTTAACAATCACGTCTAGTTAGGCAACATGTATTACACCTGGTATTAAAACTTCTTTTAAAAGCATGAAAAACCGCAATTTTCACTTACAGTTTTATATAAATTAATCACTCTGCTGCGTTGACTCATTTTTCATTTTCCAAAACACTTTTCCAAACTATTAAAATCAAAGTTCATTAAACAAATATAAACAAATCACATTCTTCTTTTTCTCCATCTTGACATTTGAGGCCTCGGCTACTTAAGCTATTCGAAAAATCACATTCTTCTTTTTCTCCATCTTGACATTTGAGGCCTCGGCTACTTAAGCTATTCGAAAATTTTGTCCAAAGAGAGAGAGAGAGAGATAGGTGCTAATTAACCGCATAGTAAAAGTCCAGCTGTTGACTCGCTGTCATTTGTCATATTGTAAAATTTAAGAATCGTAATCGTGTCAACCTATTAAATATTCCAAGAAAAATAAACTTTATATCGTATTTATCGGCTCACTATGGCGAGTACCAGCAGGTAACCGTAAACTACTTAATCCGTTCAACTTGAATTAGCCACAAACGACAACAATCCACCTCGATTATTCAATTAAAATGTCTCGATATAGTCTCGTTTATTTACACCGTCATTTATAAACAGATACGACGCCAACAAAGTGTGCTGCAGCTCCCATCCCGACGCCCCCTTGATCGAAGACTACAGGGCGGGCGATCAAATATGCTCCGAATGCGGTTTAGTCGTCGGAGACAGGTGAGCTAATAATCCTTCGCTAATATTCGAAAATTCTACTTCTCTATTTTCAGGGTAATAGACGTCGGCTCGGAATGGAGAACGTTCAGCAACGAGAAAAACACGACGGACCCATCGCGTGTGGGCGGCCCGGAGAATCCCCTGCTCGGTGGCTCCGATCTAACGACTATCATAGGACCCGGAAGAGGTTCGAATATATCATTAAATATCGCATATCCAACGATAATTGTTATGTTTTTGTTGTTGTAGGAGACGCTAGTTTCGATTCGTTCGGTGTGGCTCGATATCAGAATCGCAGGACAATGAACAGTGCCGATCGTGCGCTGATAAACGCCTTCAAAGAAATCAACGCGATGGCCGATCGAATTAATTTACCTCGAACGATCGTCGATAGGGCGAATAATCTGTTCAAACAAGTGCACGACGGAAGGAATCTCAAAGGTGTCTTGTTTCATTTGATACTGTTTTAATAACGATAGTGAATTTTTTAGCCCTGATTCGCTCCGATCTGCATTGTTTCCTCTTACTATCTTGAACCATTTAGAAATCTCTAGCACAGTTTATACCGATCCAGATTCATTTAGAACTGTTTAAAACCATTTAGAACGCTCCAGAAGCATTTTAAAACTGTCTATGATCATTTAGAACTGTCTCGAACTACAGATTTCGATTTGAGAAGAATAATTTAGTACTTTAAATTGTTTTGGTCCAGTTCTAATGCATCCCGAATGAATCTAAATTGTTCGAAATATTTTTAGTCCATCTTGAAGCACTCTAAATTGTTCTAATTAGTTCTAGTACATCCTGAGTCACTCTAAATTATCCTGAACCAGTTCTAATACACCCTGAAGCACTCTAGATTGTTCTAAATAGTTCTAGTACGTCCTAAGTCGCTCTAAATTGTCCTGAACTGGTTCTAATGACTACTGAAGGATTCTAAATTGTTCCAAATAGTTTTAGTACATCCTGAAGCACTCTAAATTGTCCTGAGCTAGTTCTAATGCATCCTGAAGTACTCTAAATTGTCCCGGACCAGTTCTAATGCATCCTGAAGCATCCTAGATTGTTCTAAATAGTTCTAGTACGTCCTGAAGCACTCTAAATTGTCCTGAGCTAGTTCTAATGCATCCTAAAGTACTCTAAATTGTCCTGAACTAGTTCTAATGACTCCTGAAGCATTTTAAATTGTTCTAGTACATCCTAAGTCACTCTAAATTGTCCCGGACCAGTTCTAATGCACCCTGAAGCACTCTATATTGTTCTAAATAGTTCTAGTACGTCCTAAGTCACTCTAAATTGTCCTGAACTGGTTCTAATGATTCCTGAAGCATTCTAAATTGTTCTAGTTCATCCTAAGTCACTCTAAATTGTCCTGAACTAGTTCTAATGCATCCTGAAGTACTCTAAATTGTCCCGGACCAGTTCTAATGCATCTTGATTGTTCTAAATAGTTCTAGTACGTCCAGAAGCACTCTAAATTGTCCTGAACTAGTTCCAATGACTCCTCAAGCATTCTAAATCGTTCTAAACCGGTTCTAGTACGCTAAATTCGATATAAACAAATCGTTTTAGGTCGATCGAACGACGCCATAGCATCGGCTTGTCTGTACATCGCCTGTCGCCAAGAAGGCGTGCCTCGAACGTTCAAAGAAATCTGCGCGGTGAGCAAAATCAGCAAACGTGAGATCGGTAGATGTTTCAAATTGATCCTCAAAGCGTTGGAAACGTCGGTGGATTTGATAACGACGGGCGATTTCATGTCGAGGTTCTGTTCGAACTTGTGTTTGCCGAATATGGTGCAAAGGGCGGCCACCCACATCGCCCGAAGGGCCGTCGAAATGGACATCGTGCCCGGCAGATCGCCCATATCGGTGGCGGCGGCGGCCATTTACATGGCTTCGCAGGTAAAAATTTGAACCTTTAAGTGGTTTATTACGATCGTATAATCGTTATGTTGTTCTATTCTGACAGGCTTCGGAGGATAAAAGGAGTCAAAAGGAGATCGGGGACATCGCAGGAGTCGCCGACGTTACCATAAGGCAATCGTATAAATTGATGTATCCGCACGCGGCGAATCTCTTTCCGCAAGACTTCAAATTCGCCACGCCGATCGAACAATTACCGCAAATGTGAAAGAATTTATTTATATATAAGTTTTCTTAAGTATTTGTCATACTTCATTCCGGCTATTTCTTTTTTTGTACGCGGGTTTGACTGCCAACTACGAGATAACTCGTAGTCTGTGTAGTCGGCAGTCGACGTGTTAAATGATTTAGTTAAGCGTCAGACCAAAATCGCTTTGTTGATTTTGTTTTATTTAAATGAAATAAGTTAATTATAGTGGTAGATTTTTAGTTTGTTTCTTGGTTATACGAGCCCGCTTATATTAACCCGTTAATTGACGAGTTAACTCGTAGTTTGCGTTATGTTGTCGACTACGAGTTATCTCGTAGGAGTCGACGGGTTAGGGTTTAATTTTTTGGACATTTTTTTTAATAGAGAATGTTATTAACTCGATTTTAAAGCTTTAACACAATGGCTCGTAAAAGTTAAAGGCTGTCTATAAGAATTAAAGGTTATTATGTTCGAGTCTTTAGTTTTGCAGTATTTTTTTTTTGGTTTTTTTAAGTAAAACATACAACCCGTCCGTATTATTTATATTTGGGACAGTAAATATTTTATGTTAAATAAAGGATTTGAATTTTCGAGAGACTATTTTCAAAGTAAATGTATTGTAATTGTCGCATTGTAAATACAGTAAATTTGCATAAGCAGGTAGTTATTTATGATTGTCCGTCTAATCGTTTTCGACCTCTAACACGTTGATATATGTTAACTCGTTCCAAAAATGATAATTTTTAAAAACATTTTTTACACATTTTTTAAAAACATTTTTACAAATTGCCTTGAAAAAGTTTTGCGTTTTTTTTTCAATAAATTCGAGAAAAGTTTTGCGTTTTTTTCTCAATAAATTTGACAAAAGTTTTGCGTTTTTTTTTCAATAAATTCGAGAAAAGTTTTGCGTTTTTTTTTCAATAAACTCAAGAAAAGTTTTGCGTTTTTTTTTTTAATAAATTCGACAAAAGTTTTGCGTTTTTTTTTCAATAAACTCGAGAAAAGTTTTGCGTTTTTTTCAATAAATTCGAGAAAAGTTTTGCGTTTTTTTCAATAAACTCGAGAAAAGTTTTGCGTTTTTTTTTCAATAAATTCTACAAAAGTTGCCAAAAAATTGTTGATTTATTTGACAAGAATCACTAACCTACAAAATTCTTCTTTTTTTTATTCATTAATAAAAGAAGAAACTCAATAGCTGTCAAATGTCAATTACGGTCTTATATAACCAAGGTCTGGAAACTTCTCTCCTGTCAACATAGTTTTTGAACCGTTTGTTCGACACATAAAAGGCCACATTATCAATCGTACCAACTATTAAACTACACAACATGTCAAATGTCAGCCATAAGTGTTGTCAAAAATTTGACGTTAAATTTAAATATATTTCAGATAATAAAGGAATTTGATGGTAAATTATAGTGAGCCCCTGAATACCTCCGCCCTTTAGAAATGTGAAAGAGGTACACCTAATTTTCATTTTGTCATTTATTTGTAACTAACTTCACATTGGTTTCAAGTAGATTCTAATAGGTAGGCAACCATTTTATCTATAAAGAGATAATAAATATCAGGTAAAGATGCTCCGGGTAAATGAAGAGAATGGCAGAAAAACCCCAAAAATATTATTAAAATCAATCCCAATTGATTTATTTCGCGTTTCTAATAATTAGTAAATAAAGAAGTTAAAGGAAAACCAGAAATTATAAAGTAAACCTTACAAATTTTACTTTTTATTTATTATAATTGAGTAACTAAATGAGCACATCTTTTTTTTGGTATTTCACCTTACTATTTATAAAAAAAGAAACAGTAAGAAATATTCAGTTATACAAGGTGTTCAAAATTAACCCGTTGACTGCCCGTTAATACGAGATAACTCGTAGTTCGGCGTCATAGCCCAGAATGTAGTTGGCAGTCAACAGATTGTTCTACGTCGATCCTCAACGAGACCACCCTGTATATAATCAATACAACTAAGTTTAGCATCCTTAAAGGACTCGTTTTAAGTAGATGTAGGTAAGAAATATTAAATGCTACCTAATTTAAATTAATCGATTCGTACAATTTTCGCGCATTTCATCGCGATTTACAATTATTTAAACAAATCCTACCGTTATTTAGGAAACGAGATTTATGTAAATGAAAGAATAAATTGGTATCGATTACACTAGTCTACAAATTTTACATTTTTTTACTGCACGACATAAATATTTCTAAAATATAGTTCTGGAGCGTGTTCTAAACAGTTCGAAATGGTTCTGAAAGCGTTTTAAATGGTCCTAGAGAGTTCTAAATTGTTCTGGAACATTCTAAATGGTTCTAGGCAATTCTAAATCGTGTGCTAGTAGTCTACTCTTGCACATTAATACGAAAAAACCGACCCAAAATCATAGGAAAAAGAAGAATTAATCTAATTTGTAACCGAAAGTCTTCCCATCACTCCCATTATCATAATGTTCTTTGCACAAAACATGTAAACTAGTGTTATCTATACAAAAATGTGATAAGGTGAGCAAATTCAAGCTCGCTGGAAGATAAAACGTTTATTTAATATTTTTTTTCCATTGTAGCACGAATACGCTAATAGAAGATGAAGTAAAAACGGTTATTTATAAATGTTTGTTTAAAATAGATTACATTTTCCTAAACTAGTAGCACTCCATAATCAGTAAGGTTTAAAACATTTTTTTTCTTTACAAAAACCTCAATAAAGGCTCGTAATTTCTAATAAAGTAACTTATAGTCAAAATAACGCTTTTGTTTGCCTCATTAAACAATAAAAAGTTTATACGAAAAATATGAAAGGATCTGTACACAAAAAAGTAAGCCTAAATTTAAAGTAAATTTCCGAACAAATCTCCAAAATAGTAATCGATAAATATTCATGCAAGACGATCTGACACAAATAAAATTACGTTTTTTAATACCACTTTAGTTGAAAACAAAAAAAAAATAATAATTATAGAAATTTGTACTGTAAAGTCTTAGGATTTAAGCTGGCAACTGAAGTTTCTTCCCCTTAAGAACTGCAAACAAACAAAAAAAAAAAACAGGAAATAAATTAATCAACTTCAACTCACGCTCGCGTATTTCAAAAGTTTCTCTATAATCTAACGATTTTGGACAATTCTAAATCCTTCTGAACTGTTTTGAATCGTTGTGAATTGTTCTGAAGTGTTCTAAATGGATTCTGGACAGCTGTAAATCGTTCTAAACTGTTTTTGAATCGTCCTAAAGCTTGGTCAATTATTCTGAAGTGATCGTGGACAGTTCTAAATAATTCTGAACTGTTCTATATCGTTCTGGACCGTTTTAAATCGTCCTGAAGCTTTATAAATTGTTCCATAACGTTCTAAACGTTTCTAAACAGTTCTAAATGATTCTGGACCCCTTTGTATAGTCCTGGTGCTTTATAAACTGCTCTGGATCGGTTACGAAACCGATCGATTATAAACAAACCTTCCGAAATACGAGAGGCGGTTAAATTTAAATCATATCGCTCACCTTTCGTGATATACAAGTAGAAGAAATCGCAATACAAAACCGTCTGTACGACGCCCGCCACGATAGCGATGAGATCGTAATAATTTTCCGTGGCATAACGATAGATCCAATTGAGAATGTAGAGACCTCTGTAGGAGCCTAAAGCGAACAGATAATGCGACGTGATGCTCTCCGCTTCGCCGGTTTTGCTCACCATAAACAACTGCGGTAAAATGGCGACCGATTCCAAGTATATACTGAACGTCCACAACACCTAAAACATATACGTTTAAAAATCGGTTATTCGAAGCTCGATCGGTACAACTACAAGATAACTCGTAGATGTGGAAATAGTCTGGATTGATATTTTTACGTACCTCCATAAAGGAGAAAGCGTGATTGATCAACATGGCGAGCCCGAACGATGGTAGAATCAAAAATTCGATCCGGAACGTGTCGTGATTGTGATCGTAGGTGGCCTTGAATTTGAGGTAAATCAGATAAATCGTGGCGTAGGATGTGGCCAAAAACACGAATTTCATCACCGTGTTGTACAGCGACACGTAAGAAGTCACCAAATCCAGATATCTCGTCGTGTAGACCAATGCGAACAGTATCTGACTTTTACCCGATATACCTGTGATAATAAAACGAAAATTATATGTATTATTAATTACAAATGGAGCGTTACTAATTGCTAATTACAATTATCGTTAACAGACTTTTTCGGCGTTATCTTTATTGGTTATTGAATTGTTTAAATTGCGATTTAGGTAGAGACATTTCATTGCTGGAGGTTTAAAAGTTGGGAGAACAGTAATTTGGTCTTCTTTTGGATCAAAAATGGCTCTGGACGATAAATTGATAAATCTACTTGAAATGTTTAAATTGAAATTACTTAAATTATGTTTTTTGTAAGTAAATTATACAGGAATAACGTGGAATTAGCATTAAAAATGAAAAATATGATTGCATCAACAGAAGAATAATTTGTTTATAAATATGTAAACCGATTCGGAGAATTGATAAGGCAGGTTACGGGTACAATCGAGTGAATTAATCTACCTAAAAGAATTGTTCGATTTATTACATTTTATATTAAACTCTGAGTAAAATAAATAGATAACAAACTAGCCTACATCTTTGTTGAAAAAAAAAACACACAAATTTAAACTATATAAATAACAAAATCGGTTCATTGTCGAATTGGAGGGTTAAAAGTTGGGAGAATGGTCAATTTTTTAGTCAGTTCTGACGTGGAAAGGTTATGTTCAAATAACTCTAAAAAAATGCAAAAATCACAACAAAATCGAACAAACTTTCATCGAGGAGTATTATTAGTACATCTCGAACATTAGGGCGTTATCAAATTCGCATAAAAAGTCCACATAATAGCTCGAAATAGATCCGAAACTATCGCAGTTCTGTGTACGTATCAGGACCGGTGTAAAAGGTATAAATTATTAATTAAACTCACCAGCACATGATCTGGTATGCCAGATTTTTTGCAGAAGTATTATTATGGCTACTAAATGAGATAAATCTCCTGTTAAACGGAAAATATTCATTTTGCACTATTACAATGTTTTAGAGCCCTAAATTATATTATTTTTTGAGTGACGTGGCGTTCTTCCCGAAACTGACACTAGATGGCGAATTATAAATCTTCTACTTCAAATATTAATATGGCCTTTTGCTTAACTTGCGTTAGGCTACTAACCGTTACTAACTTCATATTGGTCACTCTTCTTTTTTCTTCGTAAATTCTTGGCCTCAGCTGTCAGGGCTATTCGGCCAAAATTCTTCTTTCTACAGTTGACGTTGACATTGACAAGTAGCACGGAACACTCACCTCACGGAACGGAACTTCCTCACAATTGTAACCTGTTATTGATTCATATTTAATTACTTTAATTATTTATATTCAATATAAAATAATAGATAATTATAATTAAAAGTTGCATTATTACACTTCTATTTTAATAAAAAAGTAGCTGAATACCAACGAAGGCAAGCTCACCAATTTGACAGCTAATTAACATGGCGGCAAACCAGTTGTTTGAGGTTATGTTTTAGAAGATTTCAAATCGAATTAAGATTGAAAATGCCTTCAATAACAAACTCCGAAATGGAACGAGTCGATTTGAATTACAAAAACCTATCCGAAAAATTCGCCGACCATCCCAGCGACTACAACAGGCAATACTGCAGCATATACACGGCCCGTTTGAAGGAAATGGACCCTCTACTCAGGAACAGGATAAAACACAAATGGGGCGACCAGTACCCCGTAATAAAACTCCACAAACTCTCCGAAGAAGACGTCGAAACCTGCATCGTAATCGGCACGTTATTCAAAGACCAAAAATTGAAACCTTCCATTCTACGAGAGATCTCCGAAGCCAACCAATTGGTCTCCGAAGCGAATCCCATACTAAACAACTTCACCGACGACTCCGACAAGCTGTTCATCGAAGACGAAGCTCAACGCTACGAAATCGAAGGCAACATTTCCCTCAAACAAGTCGTAACGGGTATCACGATAGCTCTGTTAGGATCAGACGCAGGCAAGGGCAAGTTCGTGGCCTGCGAATACTTGTTCGTCGGTTACCCGGAACAAATCGAAAGGCCTCTATTCAACGACGACACCTTCGCGGTGTTCGTGAGCGGTCTGGATTTCGTACATTACGAAAAACACATCGTTAATTTACAGCTACTGATGTACTGGTTGACGGGCATGTGCGAGAACGTGCAGAAAGTGGCTAGAGTCATAATAGCAGGGAACAGCTTAAAGATCGAGGCCACTAAAAGGAAACCCACCATATCATTGATCAGCCGAGTGCCCGAATCCGCCGAAAGCATCGAATCTATCAAACTATTCGACGGTTTCTTATCGCAATTAAGCTCGATAGTAGAGGTGGACGTGATGCCCGGTGAACACGATCCATCCAATCAGATTCTACCGCAGAGGCCGATGCATCCTTGCATGTTTCCCCGATCGGCCTCGTACAAATCGTTGAATTTAGTCTCGAATCCCTATTCGTGTTCGTTGGACGGTTTCCGGGTGTGCGGAACGTCCGGAAGTCCCGTGCAGAATATCATGTGGTACTCGGACAACAAGACTCCCTTGGGAGCTTTGAGGAAATGCCTGGAATGGGGCCATTTGGCTCCCACCGCTCCCGATACTTTGGGCTGTTATCCTTATTACGATCGAGATCCTTTCGTTATGCAGGATTGTCCGCACGCGTTTTTCGCCGGAAATCAATCGGAGTTCGATACCGAGATAGTTACCGGTACAGTTGTTGTTATAAAATAGTTAATTAATTGTGTAATTAAACGTGTAATTTCAGGTGAACGAGGACAAACAGTGAGATTGATTAGCGTACCGAAATTCTGCACGACCCACGAAGTGGTACTGTTGAATTTGAAGACGTTAGATTGCGCTAAAATGGCCTTCGAAGAAATCTAATACGAATAGGAAAAGAACTCTGTTTTATTTACGTGGTAAAATTAATTAAATTCGAAGAAAACTTATTGGGTAAATATGCCGTTTCCTGCGTTGCAGTATTTCAACGGCTTCTTTCTATTCCTTCCGCTAAAAAAAAAAACGAATTGATATTATATTATACAAAATGATTATTGTATTGTACAGGGTGTACCAATGAAAAGTAGCCTACTACATTTTTGAACGCTCCAGAATCATTATAAACTGTTCAAAATCATTTAGAACGCTCACAGAATCATTTAGAACCATTTTGAAACGCTCCAGAACCGTTTAAACGCGCTACTTTTCATTGGTACACCCTGTATCGTATATAAAGCTTACCTCACGTTCCTGATAAATGTTACAGTTTGTGGAAAAACTTTGGAATCCGTCGTTTCCAGATAAACATCGAAATACGATTGCAATCGAGCGATTTGAATGGATAGCAAAGATGACGATTTATCGCCTATGTCGACATTTAACAGTCTTTCCATGTCCTGGAAATTAAAATATATTATTGCAACAATTTATTAATAAAACCATGTATTTTTGTAATATATTGCACAGCTTGAAAACGTCCTTACCCTTATCTCATCGTCATTGTCAGAATGATAAACGCCATTGTATTTTATACATAATGAAAACATAGGAACATCCTGCGGGTAATTATTCTTAATCACAATCAGCGCTTCGAGTACAGCTAAAAAAAAACAAACAATAAACTTAGTAGGCTACGAATGGTGTTCGATTAAGGTCCGGAAACTCGCCGAATTTTGCTGTAGTGGGGAGGTTGTAACTTTGGGTCGAGAGTTCATGAAGAATCCGCTAGGAACGCTAGCGTCGAGAAATTGGGAAGGCAAAATGGTTTAAATGAAAGAAAAGTGGCGTTGTTGTTGCACAAACAATACGATTAAACAACACTAGTTGATACAAGCGCCCTCTATCCGCAACACGGGAGTTTCCCGACCTGTTACCATACTACCAACCGTTTCCTCTGGTGATATTCAACGCGTAGAACGCATCAGATGGCGCCACCAGCTCGTCCTCGACCAACATCTTGGTGAATTCGCTCTGGCAGTACTTCTGGTACGTAACGGGACACCATTTGGTCAGAGAACAAACGAAATTCACGTGGTAATCGATGCAATCGGGCAGCTTCGGCAGCAAATTCTGCTCGAGCAGCTGCAACTGCTCGGCCAGCGCCCGCCGAGATTCCAGCCGTTCGAACAGGATTTTCAGGACTTTCTCGATGTTAGTGCCGCCCACTTCGTCCGAATTCATCTAGCGAATTGAATAATAAATAGTAAGAAGAATGAGTAAGATGAAAAGTAACGAACCTTTTTGTTGAGGAAATCCATTCCGCAGACTTTCTGCGCCCAGTTATAGGCGTAGCCGATTTGGGGTACGAGAGATCGAAACGAGGCGAAACCGACTTTTTTTATCTGGAATTTTGTGATCGGATTCGGACTCTCCAGGCCCGTATCGCCTTCGATTAGTTCGCTCAGAAGGTTCTCGCCGTTTAAAACGTCTTTGGCGCAATTTCCTGAAACAGAACACATTGTAAATAAACATATTACATTCATACAAATACAACATATCACAGGGACTTTAATATATCGTTTACAACATCGCCGCCTACCGGTCGTTTTAGGAACTACAACACACTTTCTCGTTTCAACTAACAGATCACCACAGATTCCAGACCTTATATGATAAACGACCGCTGTTCAGGCCTCCCCTATCGGACGCCATTTTGTATAAAATATATATACATTTACCGGTTACGTTCGATGGTAAAACGGTTTCGGAAGCGACCGTAATTATCTTCAGTCTCGTTTGGTACGAGTAGAAGACGACGAGCGAAAATCCGTCGGGTAGATTCGCCTGAATTCGGACTTTCAACGGATGCTGTTCGAGCAGTTTCTTTTTCTTCTCTTCCATCGGATCGACTTGCATGGATTTCCTGTGACGGCGTTTCTTAACTTCCACGATCTCCTGATTAATTGTAAATGCACTAATTAGCAACACAAAAAACGTTACAGTTTATATGTATATAGGCTCTTATTCAGCGCTCCTTTTATGTTGAGGATGCCTCTTGACAGTAACTAAGGAGATTCTTTTAAATTGACAGTTTTACATTGGTTGTTATGGAGTAACTAAAGACATGTTTCGAATGACAGTTTTACATTGTTGTTAACAAGTAACTACGGACTTTGTCTACATTAAAAGAGACCCTCTAAAGCAGCGTTTAAGGTTAAAATAAAGCGTTGAATACGGCCCAATTCTCTAATAAAATATACCTCGACTTCTTGTTCCTGTTCGTCGGATTCCTCCTCGAGGAAATTACCATTCTTTCCGCATTCCTTCCATTGAACGGCCTCGTCCTCTTCGCCGACGATTTCGACGGTAAGATCCAAACCTACAACGTTTAATACGTTTAATATTAACGAGTTATTAAAGTGTAATTATTTACCGTTTACGCTTTTATACGAGACCACGTTAACGTAGAAAATGTACAGAGGATCGGGTAATAAATAAGCCAATTTGTGATCCACTCGCATTTCCTTCAACGACATATCCAAATGCTCCTGGAGGGGTTTCGTCGAATCGATAATGTTCATTAGGAGAGGTCGTAGAGCGTTCAATTTCTCCTTTCTCTCGACCAGATCTAAAAAAAATAACGGATTAAATGCGAGTGAATTTCGAGAAAAATGCATTTTTATTCCTCCCCTACACTTTCCAATCACATTTTACTCTTCCCTATCCCTTTTCCGTTCATTTCAACCCCTCTCTGTCTCCATCCTACTCCTCCCTGCTCCCTTCTACCCTACTCTACACCTAACTATCTCATTTCTACCTTCTCCTACCCTCCTCAACCTCTCACTCACCCTATTTACCCTACTTATTAATGAAATTACATTAAAAATTAACCGATTTACCCTGTTCCAATTTCTTTTGCTCTTCGATGAGAGACTTGCAGAGCTGAGCGAGGTTTTTCCTTTGCATCAATTCCCATTCTAATCGGGCCAAACGTAGACTGTGCTTTTGATCCCTGTCGTTTTCGTCGTACTAAAATAATTCAAACGATTAGTAAATTAATACAATTTAAATTGAATATATTTCAATTGTTACATTCGAGAATTTCTTAGAGACGTCTTCGGGGGCTTCCTTCATGAATTCTTCGAACGGGACTAGCTCGATGTCTTCGTCTTTCGATCTGGAAAATTACAATGGATGTAATAATTCTATATCGTAACTTCTAGAACACATTTAGAACTGTCTAGGGTTTTTTAGAACGCTCCACAACCATTCAGAACTGTCTAGAACCATTTAGAATGCTCCATAATCATTTAGAATGTTCCAGAACCTCCAGAAACGCTCCAGAAACTTTTAGAACAGTCTAGAATGATTTAGAACGCTCCAGAACGGACATATTGAACAAATTAAAGAAACTAGACATGCTAAACTTTCTTTATCTTAAAAAAAACTAGCATAATTGAATATTCGAATATTATACTAACTTGAAAGCTAGACATTTGTTGGTTTCAGTCACCAGATGGTGCAGCTCGTAGACCAAATTCTGATAATTCAATTTGATGCTGTCGCATTTCTGTTTCTCCGTCGATAAGGTTTCCTTGCCGTAAACGTGCCTGATTTTGTCGATCCTGTTTAGTTTCTTGATCAGGCACATTTTGATGAAGATCTCGGTTTGTATGTCTTTGAGTTTTTTCGAATTCGGCTGAATATTAATGGGATAATTAGCGAGTGTTTTAATCGATCGAAAACACACATTAACTTACGTCGGATTGTTTTAAATTGAACACTTCTGTTAAAAGGTTTCTTATGTCGGTGCATAGATCGAAATAGAGTTCGGCGTCGACGGATCCTTGCCGGTTGAATGATTCTTTTTCTTCGAATTCGACTACTTTCTGAAAGGTTGTATGTTATTAATAAGAGGTTTGTTTGTGTGTTGTATAAATACTTTGTATATATCGCTTTCCGATTCGGTTTTCGGATTTGCTAGTTTGCGTTTCTTCTTTATGTTAGAGGAATTGTCTTCTTTAACCATTTTGCGAGTTATATTATCAGAAATCTTATAAATTACAAGCGAATAAACCAAACAAAATTTTTAGGTTAAGCGTGTCTTCTTTTTTTTTAAGTCACTTGTCATATGTCAAAATACAATTGGTGGCCTCATTTTAACAATTATTCAGCTACTTGGAATTCTTTCATTTGACAACATTCAACTATCAAACTTAAAATATTACTATAGTTTTATTTAAAGATCATTTTCCTTGATTTCGCTCTTTTCTTTTTAATTATATGATGATGCGTGTTTTGACATTTGTGAATCTTCTTTTTCCTCAATATTTTAAGAAAACACACTAGTGGCTAAAAACGTATAAGGTAAAAGGCCAACTGTCAAAATTTTTTAACGGAAAATTAAAGAATGAACTTTTCTGAACTTTAATAATTTCCTTAACATTATATTTAAATAATACGTAAATATTTTCATCGTGTCATCAATATCTATATCCTCCTGATCCGGATCTGTATTGCCCATTGTCGAACACCCCGCTGGCCTCCTCTCGACGATTCTGTTCCAAAGATCTAAATAAAATAAAGTTAAGTAATAAGAAAAAAATGAAACATTAAATATTCTAGTTAATTTTTTCACTTTTTCTTTCATTATATTTAGGCGTGAATGATTCTGCAGCGTTCTAAACAGTTCTAGTTGATCCTGCAGCGTTCTAAATGGTTCCAGACAGTTCCAACTAATTCTGCAGCGTTCTAAATGGTTCCAGACAGTTCTAAACGGTTTACCAACCTCAAAATAGCCTCGGGAATGGGCGGAGGCGTCGGCAAATGGGCCCCCACCGGTCTGAAACCGTTCTCGTCGGCGGTGTACCTCAAACTGATCCTCTGCCCGTCGGGGGCGGTGTAGGAGAACCCGCCCTCGGCGATTTGCGCCCCTTCGGGCCCCAACGGTTTCAAGAAGCCCCTTTCTTCGGCGACGATGCCGTTGCCCGTCTCGTAGAACCAGTTGTACGAACCGTCCCCTTTGTTCGGGTTGTTTTCGTACCTGGAATTCGATGTATATTACAAGGGTATGTTGATTAGTTCTTCTTATTAAGCCAAAATCTTTGATTCAAAGGCAGTTCTAAATGATTCTGGCACGTTCCAAATGGTTCTAGGCTATTCTAAACGATTCTGGAGCATTGTAGGTAGTTCTAGACAGTTCTAAACGACTCCTAAAGCGATCTAGATTGTTTGAGTCAGTTCTAAATGATTCTGGCACGTTCCAAATGGTTCTAGGCTATTCTAAACGATTCTGGAGCATTCTAGGTAGTCCTAGACAGTTCTAAATCTTCCTGGAGCGTTCTAAAACAGTTCTAATTGATTCTGGAGCGTTCTAAATGGTTGTAGATAGTTCTAAACAACTTTGAATTGATCTAAAGCATTATTCTAAATGGTTCTAGACAGTTCTGGATAGTGGTAATTGATTCTGGAGCGTTCTAAATGGTTGTAGATAGTTCCAAACAGTTCTAAATGTTCTAAACATATTTTTAAATTACCTTATAATTGGTATTTGAGGGCCGGACGAGTAGAAACCGCCCCCGAAAATCGATGCTCCTCCACCACCGGCTCCCAGGAATCCCGGAGTGGCCCCCGAGCCGCCCCCGATGGTACCCCCTAGGTTAGGGGGCAGGTACTCCAAACGGCCGGCCATTGTCGAAGCAATCAAACAGGTAATTATCACCTGAAATTACCAATTAAATAATTAAATACTATGCACTATAATATTCTTCTAATATAGGTACTATATAGTTGATGCACTTACCGAAATCATGTTGCTAATTGAATGTCGGTACTGTTTAACGAGTACCTTATATAATTTTATTACCTACCTTCTATTTTATATTGAAAGATGATTATAGATGATTAGGTCGGGTTGGTAAATAATTTCCTGCCCCCCTTTTTGACCCACCTGCAATTCCGTTTGACCCTTCGAATAGAGTTGGATGTTATTCGCTCGAATTATTCCACATTTAATTTATAAATAGCGTTCTAAATAGTTCTAAACGGTTCTAATTGATGTTATAGAGCGTTATAAATGAGTCTGGATGATTCTAAACAGTTCTAATTTATTCTGGTGCGTTCTAAATGTTTCTAGATGGTTTTAATTGATTCTGGAGCGATTTCGATTGTTCCAGACAGTTCTAAATGGTTCTGGAGGTTTCTAAATCGTTCTAAACAGTTCTAGAACTAATTGTAAACCTCCCGAAAGGGAAAATAAGAATTTTAGATGATCAGAGCGCCCTCAATGTATTTAATCGAGAAGAAAAGTTGTAAGAAATCCTTTCCATCTCTAATTTATTACCGAAGACGGTACTCTCGGAATGTATCCGATTTTTTAATCGACGATCTAGATACCCGCGTGTCGGCCTCCGGCCTTCAAGGTTGCTTCTTCTTCTTCTTCTTCTTCATCTAATTCTACGACATCTTCTTATTTTGAAATATATCGCTGGCGAATCGAAGACGCGGAAAAGACGCGGTTTTTCGAGGAGCGGACGGATTAGGCTCGAAATTGCGGATAATTACCTGTCTGATTAAGAAATAAAAGAAAGGCTCCCATCGCTCGAGAGCGATGTTCCAATAATTTACGAAGCATTTAGGTGAAACATCAATAGGTTCGCTTTGTAGCGTATAAACTAAACGATCTATGCTATAATAGAAGGAAATATTATGGTTAATGGGGATTTATGTAATCGAAAATTTGGTATTTACCCCTTTTGAATGAGTCGATGAATGAAAATGAAATTATAAACGCTATAAAATTGTCTATAATAGAGCTAGAGATGTAAAATTTTCACCAAAAATAGCCTTAAGGCTGCTCTTGAAGTCTACAAAGCAGAATCCTTCCTGCTCATCTCCAAGGGGTCGATATACCCCTTTGAATGAGTCGATGAAGGAAAAAGAAATTATAAACTCCATTGGATGATTGGAAATCCATATAAAAATGTCTATAATAGAGCTAGAGATGTAAAATTTTCACCAAACATAGCCTTAAGGCTACTCTTGAAGTCTACAAAGTAGAATCCTCCCTGCTCATCTCCAAGGGGTCGATCTTTCCCCTTGAATGAGTCGATGTCGATGAACAAAACAGAAAATTGAAAACCCCCTATTTTGGCCTTCACCTTTACTCTCAACCGGTCAAAATATAGAACGTATTCGATGCTGGTAAAATAAACTAAATAAAAAAAAAACCTCTCTCACAGGCTCGGTAAAGGACGATGCGATGATGAAGCGATTAATCGAAATCGTTTATTAACAGAGTTCTCGAGTTGGGAAATGGGACGGGTTCAGAAACGCGATGAGAATTTCTAAAGCGGTCTTCGCACTCGTCGAAATCGATGTCTAGCAAAAATCCGTTCCCATCGATAATACGTAATAGCGAATAATGCGAAATTACGTTAGGAAAAAAAATCGCTGCCATCAATCATTTAGAATTGTCTAGGTCTAGAACCATTTTAGTACGCTCCGGAATTATTTGGAACTATCGAGAACCATGTAGAATGCTCTAGAATTTTTTAGAACTGTCCAGAACCATTTAGAACGCTCCAGAATCATTAAGAACTATCGAGAACCATTTAGAATGCTCTAGAATTATTTAGAATTATCTAGAACCATTTAGAACTCTCCAGCACCGTTTATACCGATCCATATTCATTTAGAACTGTTTTTAAAACCATTTAGAACAATCCAGAAGCATTTCTAGTCCATCCTGAAGCACTCTAAATTGTTCTAAACTGTTTAGAATGCTCCAGAATCATTTAGAACTGTAATCGTTGATTTCTATAGATTTGTAAAGAAATCGAAAGGCTGTTACAACATTGGCAATTTTTTTTGTTAAAAAAAATTAGGTGTTTATTATCAATTTATTATCCATCTTCGAATCTATCTGACAATTATTATCCTCTTTCCGCCGGGCATATAATAATAACGAAATGATGAGCCGGTACTACGTGAGTGTAGAATTAAATTAGACGTACGATATTTTCGATTCTTTTCCACTCTATCGATTTTGATAGACCGTTTACAATCTATAATTTCGAGCTATTAAAAAAGTAAATACGGCCCACGTAGAAGTACTACATAAGGTAAAATATACGGGCGAATAAACGGCGTTTTAGCGAGAGATTTCGAGATACGAGTACCACACACGAAACTATTGCGAAACCGAGTACCTATAACCTCTCGGTACCATCGAAATTTCCAGTTTATATAGAGAAATATCTGCGTGTTAAACGAGCGATTATTTTACACTAAAACTTTTGTTGAAATGAGGTACTTGTAATTTGGGATTTTGGTAATGCAAGTACCGATTCGTAGCTAAAAACCTGATTTAATAAATCAACAATTTTTACACTATAAGTTTGATCAAATCGGGTAGTAGGTATTTAACTAAGTACTATTATAAAAACTACTAGTAGAAAAAAGGAACTAATTACAACAGTACCTTCGAAATTTGCAGTTTACAAATTTTCCAACTGTAAATCGCGGTCTTTCATTGTCAGGTCGAAAACTTTTCACCATATACCCTCTTGTAAAATATTAATATTTGAAGCTCCTTCAATGACTAAAATATCGATCATTCCTTATTTAAACACCCTGTATAAGGACACGAATCGATTTTTTTTTTGCTCGAGCAATCGAACGAGTAATCGAGACGGCCTCGTCGCGATTTTATTATGTTTATTAAATATTTAGTTAATTAGTTCGATCGGTGCTCTTATTAGGAATCCCGGCAAAAAAAAAATCGACATGCAATTAGATTATTTACTTGTAAATTATTTATCTATAATTTAATTGCACCGGTTCGTTTTGCGAAATCGTTTGCGAAATTACACATAAAAACGAATAGTTATTCCATTGCCGTTGAAAATCCGTTATTACTTTTACGCAGTTGGCCGTTAAATTGACAGCTATGACGTTTGACGTGTACGTCAAAATACGCTATATAGAGTTAGAGCGATTTTGAGCTGTCTCAAAGCGATTATTTTAAGCACAGCTTTAGAGTTGTTTTTTTTAAACCGATTTTGGAACAGATTTAAGCTACTTTTTTCATCTCCCACGTATATATACATTTAATTAACAAACACCCTGTATAATATGAATAGTAAATCATTCGGTTCTCGCGCTTTTATTGATATATTTCGAGCGATAAATCCTCTAACGAAACGAGAATAACCTTTTACCTTATATGTTGCATATATATCGAGGAAGACTCATCGCCTTATTAAAACTATTGTGCAACAGAAATGTAGTCCAAAAAATTTATATTTTGAAGCATAATTATTAAGGAATCCAACGGTTAGGTAATGAGTTTTGTAGTAATTACGAGTGGCGTACGATAAATAGTTACCTGTACTTGTAAATAACAAATTAATTTATTACCAATTTACGATCGCCCGGTATAATGAAGCATTTGATTAATTTCATTAATAAGATCATTTTGCGTTAGTCGCGAATAGTACAACGGTTTACGTAACGTTAACGTTATGAAAATCGCCGCAATTTACACAATACGTGTGAATGTTTTTTTTTTATTTATTATTTGTAACGCCTGCACTTGTTCACATGTGTTCAAACTTGCATTAAATTCCCATGTTAATTATGTTATTTTATTGCAATTACAAATTCCGATTGATTTTCGACATTACTTTATAATTATACCGAACGTAAAATCCCACAAAACAACCCCTCTAAAAGCATCTTTAATACGCTATTGTGACGTTTGTACGTTATTTTGACGTATATACGTCAAACGTCAATAACTTGTGACGTTTGTGCAGTTGCAACGCTATGTTGATTTGAATGGGATAAATTCTCTAAATCGAGAACGCTCGTAATATGTTCGCTCGGCGTTGCATAAATCAAAAATTTTTTTTCCTCTAAAATAATTACAAAAATGAGATACCGATCTGTTGCAAGGCTGAAATAATTAAGCGCTTCGAGATGTTAGATGTGTGTACGGTACACGTACGTGTACTTAACGTTACGTTACGTTATATTGCGTAAGTCGCTTATTGAACGTATGTGTGTAACATCTTCGAATTGTTTCAGTTAATGTACCTACTATACAGGGTGATTTATGATTATTTCTTGAGTTCCTCGTAATTAGAACGCCTCCGTAAACGTGTATAACGTTACGTTAAAATAACGTTAGTATTCGCAGGATGGTTAAAAGAAATGTATATAAAGATTTTTCTCTATTTTATTCCTGTACTTATTTATCTTTTTCGAGTGTAACGTTACGCTACAATAACGTTAGCGTACGAAATACGTTATATTATATTACCTAATAGACGCGAAATTATCGTGTTAAAAAAAATAACAGAAGGACAATTCAAAAGTTCAACTGGAAATTCCATTAAAACTAAAAATGGGGCGTCGATGAACATTGAAGAAGAATCTAAAATGCACAGCAAAGAACAATATAAAAAGAAATTGTTTTTGCTTCCGACCTTGCCCAACCTCCGTGTGATCTGATTCGCTATTTTATATACAGGATGTCTCACCATAAGAATAATAACAAAGAGCTTGATCCATCTTAAATTAACAGAAAGTTACTTCATTCCTGAGAAGTTACAGGCCTTTAAAATGAAGTTGAACTATTGCATTGAACTATTTAGAACGCTCCAGAATCAATTAGAGCTGTTTAGAATGCTCCAGAATTTTTAAGAACTATCTAGAACCATTTTAGAACGCTTCAGAATCAACTCTAAAAAATCCTCGATAATTAAAAAGTTGGCTGTAAACTTTTAGCCTGTATCGGGTACTTATTGGGGGGACACTCTGTATATTAACATTAACGCGAACAAAATGATGATTGGAATAAAAATTCGTACGCATCATCATCGGGAATTAATAAATGTTGGCCGATCCTTCGACAATTTCGGAAGATGATCAGGTTGTGGTTTTGTATAAAAGCTCGATGGTCATTTCTAATGGTTGTCATTCGATCGAAACAATTTAGTATCGAAACAAAGTACTATTCTAGTACTGTTTAGATAGATATACATTTTTTTTTTCTAATTATTTACTGCAGTGTTAAAAGGGTTGAAGAAAATTGTTAAAATGATGAAGGTGAGTTGTTGTTGTTGTTCCTTTTCTACCGTGGTAGTCAACGTGTTAAAGTGTTTTTAATTAGAGGTTTTTTTTTGTTTTCAGGTACTTCTTGCATTGGCTTTTATTAAATTAGTATCGTGTACAATTAGCCATAATTATTTGCCCCCTAATAGGGGCGGTTTTTCCGGCTCTTCGTTCGGTGGTAGTCATCAATCCAATGCTTTTTCAGGCTCTTTTTCAAGTAAGTATTCATCGTCCCTACTATTTTCTACTCTTTCCTACTCTTCTTTACTCTTCCCTACTCTTCCCTACTCTTCCCTATTCTTTACTACTTTTCCCTACACTGCCCTACTCTTCCCTACTCTTCCTTATTCTTCCCTACCCTTCCATAATCTTTTTTATCCTCCCCTAATCTTCCCTTTCCTACCTAAACCTACCAGTTACCTCACCAGTACTACCCTAAACATCCATCACACCCTCTTTCTACACCAGAACATATCCCTTCATCGCAAATAACCCCATAACAATCATCAGTAACCAAATGGTTCCTTTTGGACAGGTTCCGGTCGACAAGTACCGATCGTTCGGTACGACAACACCAACGAAGGCGACGGATCGTACCAATACACATTCGAAACGGGTAACGGGATATCGGTACAAGAACGAGGAGAAGCAGGCGGAGATGGTACCAGAGCCCATGGAGGGTACTCCTACACGTCGCCGGAGGGCCAGCTGATTCGCGTCACTTACACGGCCGATGAGAACGGGTACCGACCGGAAGGTAGGTGGAAAGATGGGTGAAAAATGGGGTGAAATGAAGGGGGAAAAGGGAGTGGAAAAGGGGGTGAAAATGGTAGAAAAAAAGGGTGAGAAATGGGTGAAGAAAGGTGGAGAAGGGTGAAAAAGGGGTTGAAATGAGGGGGGAAAAGGGTGGGGAAGAGTGGATAAGGGTGGAGAAGGCTAAAGAAGGGTTAAAAAATGGTGAGGCGAAAAGATTTTCAATTGAAAATTACATCATTCTTTTTGCTCAGTCAAAATTTTCAGTTCGAAAGAGTCTAAATTGATTCTGGGACGATTTAGATTTTTCTGGACAGTTACAAACTATTCGGGTGGGGTTCTAAACGATTCTAGACAGTTCTAAATGATTCTGGAGCATTCTAAATAGTTCTAATTGATTATGGAGCGTTGTAACAGGTTCGAAATAGTTCTAAATGATTTTAGAGCTTCCTAAATGTTTCTAGATACATTTAAACGGTTCTGAAGCGTTCCAAACAGTTCTCTACACAATCTAAAACTAATCACAAACGTCCCAAAGAAGAAACAACATATTTTCTGCTAATCTCTGCTCACTTTTCACTACCATCGTACACGAATTAACCCGATAAAAAAATCGAGTACCTACGTTTAGATTATATAGTACCTAATTTTGTTTGTATTTTTGGGTACCGCAGGTGCCCATTTGCCAACCCCACCGCCCATTCCGGAGGCCATATTGAAGTCGATCCAGCAGAATTTGGCAGAAGAAGCCAGAGGAGTGATCGATGACGGATCGTACAGGGAGAATAACCGAGGAGGTGGAGGCCATTTCGGCGGTTCTTCTTTCAGCGGTTCTTCCTTCGGTGGTTCCCATCACAATAACCGAGGCGGTTACGGTTATTAAATTTATACCGATAGGTTATAATAATAGCTATAATACAACGACAACACCAGTGATACTCTCGTTTTATATATTTCATCGGATTTATTTAATTGTATTTTTTTTATTATGTGTTTAATAAATTGCATTGATTTCATCGAATATAGTTATCGAACGATTATCGTAAATTAAATTCCGTTAGTTTAAATAAATAAAAAAAAAAAATGGAATCCTTGATATTTCGCAATTTTGGGTTCGACATTTCGAGAGCGTGAACACTTCAGAGTGGGATTTTTAAAAGGATTTCCAAAGGTGAAATTACGAGATATGAAAATCGTTTCATAATTTCGAATATATTTATTTTTTTCTTCTATTCCATCTTTACCGTGATATCGTGTCGTCCTATTGACAGGTTAATTCGAATCGTTCCGCCGGTAAAGCGTGAAAAAGTTTCACTACAAAAAAGATGTACAGGGTGTTAATTAATTGAGTGCAGATACTTTAGGATGAGAATATTTGGGTGATTTTAAGAAGAAAAGTTTATAACAATATATGTCCTAAACCTCTTAGTTTTCTAGCTATACAGGGTGTTAAAATTTTAGTAAAAAAACATTTTTATCATAATTTTCTCCATAATTTGGAACTGTCTCGAACCAAAAATATTGGCATAATAATATTGTAATTTATTACGATATTTCTACTTCTCATTGAGACACCCTGTATATAATTAGACGAATATCTACGTAAAAACTAAAAAAAAATCGGCGTTTCTCATCAAATATTTTAATTATCAGTTTTAATCGCGTAAATTTCATACAATATTAAATTTTGTATGTACAATATAAATTTTTTTTTAATCACGACTATAAAATTTACATAACCCGCCGGTTATAATGGAGTAATTATTCCCGAGCGAAAATTAAGTAATATATTTCGATTGAACAGAACATTAAGTACTCTCTCTCGAATAAATTTTTTTTTATCGTTTTTTGCCTAATAATTTAATCGTACTTTGCGATTTCCGAGGAATTTGAATTTTGAAAATGTAAAGTCGAAATTTCATGTTATTATAGAACAATTAACCGCTCTGGAAATTGGTTTATTGGAATTGTTTTCGCTCCGAATGCGAACGATTTCGATTACTATCTACTTATAATAGACTTTTAATTAATGATTTTTGAAAACATACGAGATTTCATTCAATCTAGAGGGAAATTTCAAAGTAAAAAATAGCCAAAATAATGTTTTTTTCCTCTACAAAATATCATGCAATTGGATATTTTTTTATGACCAAAACAATAGTGCATGGCCACCTTTATTTCGTGTTTCTAAGCATCTAAACATTCCTTTAATCTAGAGGGAAATTTCGAGTAAAAAAATAGCAAAGTTTTGCCAAATTTCAGTCTTTATGAAGACAACAATAGTACATGCATGGTCACCTTTATTTAATAATTTTCCAACCACCTGAAATATATTCCCAAACTAAAACAGTACCCGGCCACTTTTACACCATTTTAGACTTCCATATCTGTCCCAAATTACTTTCACACCACTTTAGGTCTCCATATTTGTCCCAAATCACCGACATTTTACTAGCTAAAGTCGACCATACACCCGATTTCACAACGACTTTTCCTCTCCTTCAAAAAAAAATACAACCGCCATAATCGCAGTCGGCGCGTTTCCTCTATCCCAGCGCCCTCTAATAATACCGAAAGAAACGGGCAATTAACCGCCCCCGCCCCCCCTCTCATATCTAAGTATACCCCCTTCGAAATTTCGCGTTTGTGCAACAAAAAAGTGCATCTTCCATTCGCGTTGCACCCGGTGGGAGACGTTTTATAAAAGCCCACGATCTACTTACACCGATTATTACACGATCCGAAGACGGTGCAAAATCTACCACGCGATTACAAATAAATCCATCATGAAGCGAGTAAGAAATTACAAATTTTTTTCTTTTGCTATGAATGATGTGTGTGTGTGTGTGTGTGTGTGTGTGGTCGCCTTTAACAGGGTGTATCTTTTTAATTCTATAAAGCAACTTTTTGAAGCGATTAAGAAATTACAAATTTTTTTTTTTGCTCTATGAATTACGCCGGTGTTTGTGTGTATGGTCGCCTTTAACAGGGTGTATCTTTTTAATTCTATAAAGCAACTTTATGAAACGAATAAGAAATTACAATTTTTTTCCTTTTGCTATGAATGGTGTGTGTGTGTGTGTGTGTGTGTGTGGTCGCCTTTAACAGGCCTTTATATGTAGATCTTTTAATTCTATTAAGCAACTTTTTTTTGAGTAAAATTTTTTGAATATTTTCACATAGGCGGTGTTAGTGCTGGTTCTAATCGGCGCCACGACCGGCGCTCGACTCGATTACCTGCCCCCGGGTCGAGGAGGCGGCGACGGAGGCGGCGGCGGCTACCCCGGAGCTACCGCCCCCGCAGGACCTGGAGGACAAAATAGATATCCTGGTGGAAGTGGAGGAGGTTACCAAGGTGGCGGTGGAAGTGGTGGAGGATATCAAGGAGGCGGTGGAAGTGGAGGAGGATATCAAGGAGGCGGTGGAAGTGGAGGAGGGTATCAAGGAGGCGGTGGAAGTGGAGGATATCAAGGGGGTGCTGGTGGAAGACCTGGTGGATTCGGTAAGATGATCAATTATGCATTATTTTTATGATCTATTATAATTTGTATAGAATATGAAAATTAATATATTACAAGGGTATGGTGAAAAGTTCCGGACCTGACAATGAAAGACCGCGATTTTCAGTTGAAAGATTATATTTTTCTTCAATTTTTTCGTTAAAAAATGGTTAGTTCGACGGTTCTAAATGATTCTGAACCGTTCTAAATGGTTCCAATCCATTCTAAATGGACCAATCAATTATTCTGGAGAGTTCTGAATGGTTCTAGACCTTTTTAAATGCTTTAAAACGATTTTAGACAGTTCTAGAAATAATTCTAAATGTCTCAAAGAGGAAACAACAATTTTTGTTGATAGGAGCAGTATCAAACAGATAATTTTTCACACTACCCTCGTAGTATTAATGCATTTTTTTTCAGGTAATAAAAAGTCGAATAAATCCTTTGCTAGTCTAACCAAACGACCTTGTTATATAGCGTAATAAATTAATTGAAGTTCTCTTCTAGTTTAGAGCGTTGTATTTCGTTATAATTTTTTTTTAATGGCAAAACAACATCCATTTTGTAGATGAGCGGCATATTCGTCATTAAAAGATTTCTTTCTTTCCTAATTTGAGGTCATTTCCCAAGGTTTTCTCGTATAGAAAAATACCAGCGATCGCATTTTCTCATGAATCTTACAAGATCTTTATGAAATTATATAGAATTTCGCAAGAAATCTATTACTTTTATGACATCAGAAAAGTCAAAATATCTCGGAAATTTCGACTATTTTCGAAACAATCAAATTGCAAAATCGTACAATAAACTTTTCGCTACAAATTGGTGAAATGTACTAATAGTATATTAATACGAGATAACTCGTAGTTCTAGCAGAACGCAATCTACTACGAGTTATCTCGTAGTTGTTCAACAAAACAGCGGTTAATTAAAAGATTACTTAGTGTATGGTACGCTTTATTTTCTAATGTTCGAAACGCTGTGCAAACTGCACCTATATAAGGATTAATTTTTAATCCGAGTAAATTTGTATACTTTATACTTATACTTTTCCTCGTTTTACAACATTTCGAATATGCTATTATATACCATTTAATAATAATTACATAACCCGTGTATATTTCTAATTAAACCAACCCATATTCGAGATAACCTCAGGTGACTCGGCCATTACTCATCATTTACCATCATCATTATTATTATTATTACGAGCACTTCAGTACATTCTGGCGCAATCCTTATGTAAAATTCCCTATTTTCTTGTGATCCATCATAGATAGAGCTCCTCTCTTTTTGTCCCATATAGAGCTCAGCTCTTTTCATAAAGCCCTCTCCATAGGGCTCCATAGAGCTTCTAACCTAACCTAACCTCTAACATTCAAACGTTCTTTCCACACCTATTTCAATCGATTAAACTCCACGATTTTAAGGCGGAGGCGGCGGCGGCGGAGGCGGCGGAGGCGGCAGACCCGGAGCCGGTTCAGAAATTCCGATCATCCGTTATGAAAACAACAACAACGGGGACGGTACCTACAATTATCTATACGAAACCGGGAACGGCATCAACGCCGATGAATCGGGCGATGCCCGCGGGGACGGCACCCAAGCTCAAGGTAAATCATCATCATCATCATCATCATCATCATCAACATTAAATGGCCTCCATTTAACCCCAGCAACGACTCAAGTTTGTCTTGTATACAACGCGGGTACTCGCGGTATTCTAAAGATAATACTGATAAGGGTACCATTTATGTGCAGGTTCCTTCAGCTAAAGATAATACTGATAAGGGTACCATTGATGCGCAGGTTCCTTCAGTTACACGTCGCCGGAGGGCCAGCAGATCTCCGTGACGTACACGGCCGATCAGAACGGGTTCCTGCCCCAAGGGGACCATCTGCCGACGCCGCCCCCCATCCCGCCGGAGATCCAGAGGGCCATCGAGCAGAACCTCGCCGACGAGGCTCGCGGTATCGTCGACGACGGGCAGTACAAGCCCGGTGTCGATGAGGGTCAAGGAGGCGGTTACGGAGGCGGTAGGGGAGGCCAAGGAGGGTACTCTGGAGGTGGACAAGGAGGGTATTCTGGAGGCGGTGGTGGACAAGGAGGATACTCCGGAGGTGGACAAGGAGGGTACTCAGGGGGTGGACAAAGTGGTGGACAAGGAGGGTACTCTGGAGGCGGTGGTGGACAAGGAGGATACTCTGGAGGTGGACAAGGAGGTGGTTATTCAGGTGGACGAGGTGTGTACCTAAATGAAAATCATTTTTAATGAAGTACCTATACTGGATTGAAGTGATCGGTACCTACTCGGTGAAGTACCGACTATGTTTTCTTCACTTCTTTCTACAATAAACAATAAACTACAATTCTACTTCTTAATACAATAAAGCCATTTCTAGTGGAAAAAAAATACTTTAGGTATGTCCAGAATCATTAAGTACTCTTTAGGTACTCATTAGATATCTTTGGATACTCTTTAGGTATCTTTGGGTAATCTTTAGGCATCTTTGGTTACTCTTTAGGTACTCTTTAGGTAAAAATTGCTATTTTTAATGATATTTATATATTTTTTTGTTGTATATAGGAAGTGGACAATCCGGCGGCGGTAGAGGTGGTACCCCTTCCGGTCTGTACGGTACTCCGGGTACCGGGGGCGGTAACAGAGGATCGGACGGTTACAGGTATTAAGGAGGAAAAAGAGAGAGGCTTGCCATAAATTAGTGTGTTTCATATAATGTATATTATCATCATTGTGTATATTATTTCTTGTACATAGAACGTTTTATCTTAGGTACAATAAAAAATAAAGTGTACGTTTTTAAAAAAAATTGGGTTTTATTTTATTTGTAGACGTTTAATACATACATAGATACATAAGTTCTTGGCCTGATAATGAAAGACCGCGATTTTCAATTAAAAAATGACATTATTCTTCTTATTAAGTTGAAATTTATAGTTCAAGACAGTTCTAAATGATTTTGGGACGTTCTAAATTGTTCTAGACAGTTCTAAAATGACTATGGAGCATTCTAAATGGTTCTAAACAGTTTTAAATGTTTCTGTGGAGTGTTCCAAAAGATTCTAGACCGGTTCTAATGCTCCTGGAGTCTTCTAAACAATTCTAATTGATCCTGGAGCGTTCTAAATGGTTCTGGGCAGGTCATTCGAGACAGTGTTATTGCTTTTGGGGCATTCTAAACAGTTCTAGTTGATTCAGAGGCGTTCTAAATGACCCTAGATACTTCTAGAATTAATTATAAATGTCCCAAAAAGGAATCAAGAATTTTTGCTGATTGGACCGCCCTCAGTGTATCAAGCTGAGAACTTTTCACCCTACCCTCGTACATTACGCAAATAGCATAGATTACAAAAAAGGCGAATAAAAAGATTACAAAAAGATTCGATTAGAGAATAAATTCATCAGCGTTAATACCGAAATGAAATGAAATAAAAAAAATGGTATTTTGCAATATGCTCGTTCCACCTTCATATCTAATTCTGCAATTATTAATCTCCAAATCGATCTATTACATTCTAAATAATCTCCGAATACATATCTCATCACACGAGCGCACTCGCGAATATTATTCCAATCACCTTAAAATCCAGGCTACATAAAAGTAGAAATAAATAAATAATATAAAATGTAATAATCATTAGAGGGGAATTAATTTAATCAGCGCTTTTCGTTAAAAAAAAGCAAAATAAGGCCAGTGGCGTAGCAAAGATCTTTGCAGGATTTACCCCCCTCATTTATACTCCTTGTATTCGCTTTAGAAACATATTTAAAACTGTCTATAATAATCTAGAACGCCCAGAATTATTTAGAACAGTCTCGAACTAAAGATTTCGACTTAACATAGTAGAATAATGCACATTTTCAACTTAATCGCGGTATTTCATTGTCAGGCCGAGAACTATTCATTTTACCATTATACACGAATTATTTATAAATAATTATCCCTAATCCCCGTCGCAATCGGCGCTCGTGCATGCTCGCCTTCGCGAGATGAATTTTCGACCGTAGTCCGTTTGTTTTAATGCGCAAATCGGCCCCCCGGCCATTTTTTTTCTACCATCCTCAGCCGAAAAACGGTAAAAAAGGGGGGCCCGAAGATAGCTATAAAAAGATCGCCTTCGATTTTTTTTGGGACAACAACAACCGCCTACTCGATCAGAACTATCACTAGCTACAGGATGAAACAAGTAAGTGCTTTATACTTCATTTTGTTGTTGTTGTAATCAAATGGTTTCGTAACCGACCGGTTATTTATTTACGAATTTTAAACGAGTTGAAAATGAGCTGATTCTGAACAGTTCTAAATGATTCTGGACAATGTAGAATTGTTGTGAACTGTTTTGAATCGTCCTGAAGAGTTGTGAATCGTTTCGAAATGTTCTAAAACAGTTCTAAATGATTCTGGACAATGTAGAATTGTTGTAAACTGTTTTGAATCGTCCAGAAGAGTTGTGAATCGTTTCTAAATGGTTTCGAACACTTCAAAATGATTCTGTACAATGCAGAATTGTTGTGAACTGTTTTGAATCGTTTTGAAGCGTTCTAAACGATTCCGAACAGTTCTAAACGATAAATTCAATCCTTCTACAGATCACCATCTTGCTCACCATCTTGGGGACCTGCTACTGCGGTCGGCTCGACAGCCAATACCTGCCCCCCAGTCAGGGATACAACAACAACAACAACAACAACAACAACAACTACCAGCCCCAACCTCAGGCCTCGTTCAACCATCACCAGGCGCAGGCGCAGAGCTCCTTCAACAAAGGCCCCGATGGGCCCATCAATAAGGCAGCCAACGACGTGCCCATCCTAAGATTGGACAACGAAAACGACGGGGAGACCTACAATTACGCCGTGGAAACCGGCGATGGTGTACAAGTACAAGAACACGGTAATTGGACTTTGGAGTAATTGAATTGGGTCGGGTAAAGACCTAGAAGAAGTACTGCATATTTTATATACAGACATTTTATGGATCACCACACCTTAGGGTTAGATTGTTAAGACCATGCAAGTACTTAGAACATGAGTTGTACTTAGATTGTAGCATCCCAGAGTACTGGTAGAATCTTATCTTCTGTAGTTCCCCTATAGAACTATTTAGTTCTTCCTGGTGCAGGAGATTTCCTGTAGATTAAACATCACCAAACCCTTTTAGACACTATTTTACCTCTCATACTCTACAGAACCTCTCATAATCCCTTACAACAGAGATTGTAGGTCTTCTACAAACCTGTACATCTAGAACCTGTAGAGCCTAGTGCCCCGTAGACCCTTTGTAGACCTTTTTATAAACATTAACCAAGAATTATTCGAATTCGAAGGTGACGCCCGAGGAGACGGTACGAACGCCGAAGGCGGTTTCTCCTACACCGCCCCCGACGGGCAACAGATCCAAATCCACTACCAGGCCGGTCCCAACGGTTTCCAGCCCCAGGGCGCCCACCTCCCGACGCCGCCCCCCGTCCCCGCCGACATCCAGAAGGCGGTCGAACAGAATTTGGCCGACGAGGCGAACGGAGTGTTCGACGACGGGCAGTACAAGCACCAGGAGGAGGAGAACCGCCCCCAAAGCGGTTACCAGAAACACAGGGAGGCGGGCCAGGCGAGCGCCAGCGCCACCTCTTTTCAGCCGCAGAAACAGTACGTTCCGGCCGGCGCCAATTCCGCCGGTTACAAGTATTGATGATGATGATGATGATGAAGTGTTGCTGTGATGATTTCGATTATAGTGAGGAATGTAACTATATTTGTATAAATGTATGATAATAAAAATGATATACTGATTTAAATACATTTTGTGTTTCATTCGAAAGAAAGATTATTAAAATGACAGTTGTCAAAATGAAAAGTTCCAATGACATAATACGATTCGTTCTTTTTCCTTTATTTAAACTTATTAAAACTATTTATTCTATGTAAAATGTATAAAATAATTGTAAAATGAGTTGCCTACTTCATACTATATATTTCAACGAAAAACAACGTTTACACAGTAATGCATAAACCAAGGATTAACTAATTAAGTATATAATTTGATGATTCTTTAGAATACTTTACTATACAGGGTGTTTTTTACTAACATACTAATATTGAATAGGGTGTTTCTTGAACCCATTTTAAGAAGGAAAAAACACAACTTCAACGAGAAACGACGTTTACACAGCAATCAGAAAACTAGCACACAGTTTTAAAAACCTCTTGTAAACGTTGTGTAGACAAGTTAAATTCGAACAAAAACCGTTTTGTTTATAACGAGTCCAGTTCAAGTTCAACGTTCACTTTCAATGTGTTTCACTCGACTCGACTTCGTTGCATAATCGAGCGCATAATCCGAGAAAGAGAAGGCATCATTTATAAATTCGTGATCTTTGCGCTATCTCATATTATCTCATATATCGAATAGAGAGATTCCTCCTCCTTCTCTATCTTAGTACTTCTATAGCCCAACAAATTCCGTTTCGGGTCGGTAAGTTACCCAAAAGTAGGCCGAATTCGCTTAAATACACTTACATATGTTAAATGATCTGTCTTATTGCTATATGTGGTATATACAGGGTGTCCCAAAATGGTGCGCTAAAGCTCATTTACACATTTACTCAGTTATTATGGTATTTACCCTTGTAAATTACATTAGGTAATTATATACCCGTTTAATTTATAAATGATAGGTCAGAAATTACCTTCTGCGATTGACAGAAATATAATCATTTATGACCTAATACGGTTATAAAGCTTACGAAATCGACCAAAAAAAAAAATGCCATCCGAATTAGCGAAATTGGCAAATAAACTAACCAATCGATAATTACGCTCGAAAATTACTAATATACTAAAAACTAATTTACATCGACCTTAAAGTAAAACGAAGATGTTCCTATTCGTGATTACTTTAATTAATTATTTATATACGAAACACCGAAATTAAACGCATTTATCGCAGTGGGCTTTCAAAGGTTGTTTTCGAACGCACCTCGTATATTGTATACATACAAGGGTAAGATGATAAGTTCTCAACCTGAAAATGAATTATCGCGATTTTCTGTTTAAAACAAAAAAACATTTGTATCATTAATTACGAAATTACAAAACCAAAACAAACTCTAATGAATCTAATTGTAAAGGTATTTTCATAAATAAACCCGGATTTCATGTATCCATTATGTTCTGTAAATACCCGCTAATGCATCGTTTGTTTAGAGACGGAAATCAATCAAATCCCGGTGAATACATCACCGAATAAATAACAAAATCAATCGATCTATCGAAATATCAATCAATAATCCATCTCCATCGATAATGAAACACCGTACGAATTATACTTTTACTTTATTTATAACATGGTCGTAGAAACATTTATGTATAAAGTAATCTAGTAGGTATATTATTTCATTGACAAATGGCATTTGATTGTAGACAAATGACATTTGCTAGGAATGATCGTCGCGGCAACCTTGATGTGCGTAATTATTCGAGTTTGTTTTTTTTATCTATTTAGGACAAACTGAAACGTTCTAATTTTTTTTATTGTTAGATATTCATCTGCAAAACGACGAGATTCTTATCGAAGAGGATTAGAAGTTCTCGAATAGGACGGATTTACATTTGAAAAACGACCGCGATTTGTCATCTATTGCACAATTAATGCACGTTTTGTTTAGTTTTGATGGATTATAACTAGTTACAAAAATTGCAAAAATCGCTTGAAAAATAACTGAAATTTCTATAATTATTTCTTATTCTTAAAAAAATTAAATATTTAAATAGTAAATGAAGGAATAAATGTTTAATTTTGAAAATTGACCAAAAAAAAATGTACAAAAATTGCAAAAATCAATCTTCACTTGTAAAAAACAATGATTAATAAAAAAAAATAACACCCCGCCACTGTATAATTTTTTTTTTCAATAACCAAAACGCTTCCTAAAATGTCCGAATAATAATCGAAAGACCCCGTATCATCCTCATTAAACCAATTTTTACCTTGGCAAACAAAATGTAATGGACGATGATCCATCGATTTCTCGAATTCAAGAGCGCATAAGAAGAACAGTTTGAAGGGGGGGGCTCATTTTCGGGGGTCCCACACACTCCTATATAAAAACGAAATTCCAAAAAAATAATTCAAGTAGTTAGATACCTTTTAACATATACTCTGGAACTGGTGCTGGAATCATGAATAAGCAAGTAAGAATATTTCTTTAATCTATTTACCTAGTATATTGCATGTACAAGCAGTACTACCTATAGTACTAAGGAAAATTACTGCGTTCACTTTGGGACATTTATATAGAATTCTAGAACTGTTTTGGAACGCTCCAGGATAATTTAACTCTGTCTAGAAGTACCTAGTGTTCCTATACTACCTATACTAGTACCTATCGTGATACATCTAGTACATAGTACATAGATTGTTAGAAAGATGGATGGAATCAGTAGACAAAATATTGTATCAAACTCATACTCTTTACTCACCAATTTTTTTAATTTTTATTCCAGTTACTAGTACTTTCCGCCTTTGTACTGGTCGTGTCATGTGACCGGTTGGACAACAGGTACCTTCCACCGGGTCCCAAGAACGATAATGTAGACTTTATTCAACCACCGGTTGATACCGGGTCCCATTTTAACCAGCCAAAGGAACAAATTAGCCAGACTTCTAACCAGTTTGATAGATTTGCCCAGAAAGTAGACCCGAGTAGACAATATCTGTCTCCTTTTAACCAGCCAAAAGAACAGGATAGACAGACATCTAACCAGTTTGATAGATTTGCTCAGCAGCCAAAAGTAGAGCCGAGTAGACAATATCTGTCTCCTTTTAACCAGCCAAAAGAACAGGATAGACAGACATCTAACCAGTTTGATAGATTTACCCAGCAACCGAAAGTAGACCCCAGCAGACAATATCTGGCTCCTTTTAACCAGCCAAAAGAACAAGTTAGCCAAACTTCTAACCAGTTTGATAGATTTTCCCAGAAGCAGGTAGACCCCAGCAGACAATATTTGGCTCCTTTTAAACAACAAGAACAAACCGAACAACCGTCGAACCGATTCGGGCAAGTCTACCAACCCGACAGGCAGTACTTGTCACCTTCTAGCGTACCAAAAGAACCAATTAGCCAGACCTCTAACCAATTCGACAGATTTAGGCAGCCAAAACCGGAGCCTACCAGGCAATATTTGGCTCCTTTCAAGCAACAAGAACCAACCGAACAACCGTCGAACCGATTCGGGCAAGTCTACCAACCCGACAGCCGGTACCAGAACGAGCAAATCGGCCAAACGTCCAACCAATTCGACAGGTTCTCCCAATCGGGCGAGAAACCGAACACCGATCGGATTATCCAGAAGGAATTGAATCCAGACAGCGGCGACGGTCATTACAATTACTCGTTCGAAACCGAGAACGGGATCAAAGCCCAAGAGGAGGGTTCCTTGACCGAGCACGGACCTTCAGCCCAGGGCAGGTACTCCTACACTTCTCCAGAAGGTGAGGAAATCACGGTGGAATACACGGCCGATGCCAACGGGTTCCTGCCCAAAGGAACCCATCTGCCCAACATGGAGGCCATTTTGAAGTCCATCGAATTGAACAAGGCGGCCTTGGCTCGCGGTGAGTACAACGAGGGTTCCTACGTGGACGAGGACCATTCCAAATGGCAGAAACCGTTGCCTTCTCGTGAGCAATCTCCATCCGCTTCGGAAGGTGTCAAGCAGGTGTTCCAGAACAATGGGTACCAGTACCCTTCGGCTAAAGAACCTAGCGCTTTTCCAACGGTAAATAACAAGCAAGTGGCTCCTTTGGGACCTAATGGAGGTTCTTCTGGGTACCAGTACCCTTCGGCTAGGGAACCGAGCGCTTTTCCAACGGTAAATAACAAACAGGTGACCTCTTTCAAACCGGCTGAATCCGTCCGAACGAACGGGTACCAAAAACCCTCCGGGTACCAGTATTCGAAGCCCAGCGGTGGTGTAGAAGGACAACAGGAAACCTCCTCGTCCAATAACAACCAGCAGAGATTCGGAACCTTGCAAGACGATCAAGGCGGTTACAAATACTAGCCTGATCTAACACCGTTGGATTTATGAACACGAAAAAAAAGGATATCTATTTATGTGTATTATACTACTTGAATTTTTTTATCAATAAATAATATTTTATAAATAGATAGTTTTAAATAATTCCAGAGGGGGGCGTTATCTATTTTTTTGTATTTATTTGTAAAAGTTGGTCACAATGCTTGGCAAGTATGACGACAGTAGTGACGTGGGGATTGATATTTGTTTTGCACCGACTGTATAAGCACTACTTGAAGTTTTTAAAGTAGACACCCTGTATATTAGATATTTTTCGACTACCTTTTACGAATAAGGACGCGAAGAAATCGATATAACCGTCAATTATCGATGAATTATTATCGATGGAAGGATTGACGTGAAAATCGTGCTCGAATATGACAAGTTCGTTCGATCCTCTCCGGTTATTTATGGGAAATTGGGTCTCGCTTAATAACGTAAAAAGATTTGTTATTTAATAGGCGGTTCGAATTGGATTGATTAATTGCTCTGAATACCTTTTGACGGACGAGACCTCATTTTTGAACGTGACAAGAAGATAATTCTGCTGTGATTTTAAGAGAGATATTCAGTTTTGGTAGCCCAAATTCGGTTCTATATCTAAAAACCGTTTTAAAATCGTTGTAATGTGAAAAAATAAACTATTCAACGTAAAAGGTGTTGCCTAACTTTAAGTTCTTCTTTTTTTTTTCTTCCAAAAGATCATTTGACATTTGTGTTATGTAGTAACTAGAAACTTTGTTTATAGCTTATGTTAAAAAGACTCTAAATGCTTGTTTATGGTTAAAAAGTGCCCCTAAATACGAGCTATTACATCCAATCAATAACAAATCTATTTTTCTTCTTGTTCCTTTAAGCCCTCATCCACTCGGTTATTCGGCCACACAGTACAAATAGTTCAAACAGCCCCTCGTCCTGTCAAAGTTGTCAATAATGTGAGGTTACAAAAATGATAAATAAATAAACTGTCACATACTCCTCTCTAGTCAATAATTTTTAAGTTATTAACAATGGACCCACTGCCAGCTTTGGGTAACATATTCAGCGCGATAAGGAGTCTACCGCAGGGCCACGACAAACCGGTAAAACAAGCGGTCTACAACGCTGTGGCGCTTTTCCTGCTATTCGTTTGCTGCGCCGCCGCCTACGCGGTCTACATGATATTGGAGCCCTTCGTGAAGCCTCTAATGTGGGCGGCGCTCGTCGGATCAGCTCTACATCCCTTAAAGAGATCCCTAAGGGACAGATTCAACGCTTGGTTCAAAACGTTAGAAGTGACCAGCACTCCGGTGGTGTTCGGGATATTTCTTATACCGGTGAACATAGTGAATGACATTTCGGAGTTCGTCGGCAGGAATATATGGAAACGGGTGAAATTAATCGTTATATTCGGTGTAACAGTACCAGCGATAGTGGTGATATACAATTACACTCCAAAGATATTGGTGAAGGTGTCGTGGAGATTGGTATCGTACGGGTTCGGTTCGTTGGGGTTCTTTTTGGACGTCTCGTCTTTTTGGTTAGTGAGCTTGATTCTAGTGGGTTACGTTTCGATGGTGTTTCTACTGTGGAAGCCCGAAAACAACGCCAAATTCCATTACGCTTCGATAGTCGTGTGGCTGTTGTGCTCGAGTTGCGTGGCCAAACAGTTCGGGTTCTTTCGAGTACCCGTGTTCGTCGTATCCCAAATAATATTCTTCGGCGGGTTTCTATCGGAGATATACGAATTCTACAATAGCATGAAGAACTCGGACAATCCTATAACTTTAGTGGAATCGGTGTCTCTTATGTTCCACCAACATCACAATAAATTAATCGAAGATGATACGAGTGTTGGAAATACCTCCGAACGAACCATCGGAGATTCAGCCATTAACGAAGAAGCCACCCAAACCGTCGAAAAAGATCCATTCTCTTTGGATCTATTCGATAAGAAACCTTCCACGAACGATCAGCAATCGAAGAAACCTTCGATGACTACGATCTACCAAAGAAAACCGCCCCTAAAGCGATCCCTATCGCAACCCCATTTCACAGCCAAGTTTCTCAAAGACTCCTCCAGCTTTCGCATAGGCAACGTAAACCTGAGCTATTCGAATTCTAGTTTAGTAGACGCCGCCAACTACGAGAGCAACTTTTTCCTCTACTCCGTCATGTGGGCCTGCGTCGTGATGATATTCTGGAAGAACCCCATGCTGTTGCTTCTTCTACCCGTGCCCATTTTGTACTTCCTTTCGAAGCACTTGGGTTACTACATCGGCCTGTGGGGTTACCTGCACGAAAAGGGCCGCGCAGCCTTCGAGAATCTCTCCCAATGGTGCTACGAAAGACACGATGCTCTGGTACCGGTACCGGTACGAGGACTCTACCACATCGTACACAAACTCAACGTTATTCTAAAATCCTGCGTACAAGATTCGATCGATACAGTGGCCTCTTGCATGGTGATATTCGGTTTGATTATATTCCTTTTGTGCGCTTCGGTGTTTATAGCGTTCCAAATCTACGCCGAAGGTATTATGTTAGTTCAAATGACAGGATCGTTGATCAATCAAACGGTGGTGCAGAATCCGGAATTGAAGCAAATTTTACCGCCCGCTTGGGACGATACCTTCGATTCTATATTGGATAACGCCTATCAATACGGCAGAGAAGGCATCCAGAAAACGGTCAGAGGTATGATGTCCGATGTGGATCCGGCCAAATCGGAGAAACTCGAAAGCCAAGTGTTGGAATTGTGGGACAGAGTGTACCAAAATTGGATGTCAGCCAACGATAGTAGAGGTCCAACGGTGACAGATGACGCCGTTAGAGCCACATGGGACAATTTCGTGGCGGATATACAAAAGAGTCCGGAAATGTTCAATTTGAGCGGATTGTTGGAGTTCGGCAGGCAGAACATCGGCACGCTCATATCGTTGTTGGAATCCGTTTGGGGTATACTCAAAGGTAATATTAGTTTGATCCTGGGATCGTTTAGTACATTCGTATCGGTATTGTTGGGAGGCGGTACGGCAGTTTTGAATTTTTTATTGAACGTTGTGGTGTTTCTAACGACGTTGTTCTATCTGTTGAACTCCAGCGGGGATCTCTACAAACCCGTGGAGTTGCTGACGAATTTCTCGCCGAGCGGTAAGAGATTCGGACAGGCCTTGGAAGGGGCCATCATCGGTGTGTTTTCGGCTTCGTTCAAAATGGCCGCTTTCTATGGCATGTGGACGTGGTTCATTCATAATTTATTCGGCGCGAGAATCGTCTATTTACCATCGGCTTTCGCTACTATATTGGGAGCGGTGCCTTTTTTGGGTACCTATTGGGCCTGCGTACCGGCTCTGTTCGATCTGTGGTTGGCGCAAGATAGAGGCGTTGCCGCTCTAATATTTGCCGGTGCTCAATTCCTGCCCACTTCGATCGTCGATACGATTATTTATAAGGAGATCAAAGGCGGCGGGCATCCATATTTGACCGGTTTGGCCATCGCCGGTGGGATATTTTGCTTGGGAATGGAAGGAGCTATAATTGGTAATTATAACGTTCCAAAGGATTAATAAATATTATTACTATTATTATTAATTATTATTAGGTCCTTTGCTGTTGTGCGGGCTCTACGTGGCTGTGGATTTGTCTTCAAATTTGTTCAAGGAAACCCCATCGGATGAACCGTTGAATTTGAGATTGAGGCAATTGCAAAATTCATAATCGTGCTTGCTTATTATTTAAGTATTAACTTGTTGCACGATGAGAGTAGTAAGTAGATTTTAATGTTGTCTATTTTGAATTTTTTAAAAAGCGTTGAATTATTAAAAATGTTTATTAAACATAGGGTGCTACTAATTGAAGGTACTTATTTACGTAATTGTGATTTTATGTAAACTTGTGTTGTGTTTTAGAATTAAAATTGATTAAAAAGTAATTAAGCAACGTCCTCTATAATAACATGACAAATATTCTATTTCGAATAAACTATTTGCATAATTTTATTGTATTTATTCATAGTTTTTTGTACAATTATATAGTATTTAAAAAAAAAAAACTTGTTGTTCGCTTCCAGCTTTGTTATAATAAAATGATAATAAATCCGAATGGTTTTTTTCCATTAAAATTTATAATAAGAATAAATCCTGTAGAATGAAATACATTTTCTTACATTAATTTAAACCCGAAAGGATATGTGATAGTGATAATATTGGCGTATAAATAAACCTTATCAATTAATTACGATTTTTAAAAATGATAATTGTTCCAATATACAGTGCTTTTCAAGGAAACCTACTAGCTATTTTTATATTCAATGAACTGGTAATCAATCCCTTAAGAGTTCCTTTTTCTCTCTATACAATTTCTCGTTAGCTGGACTACATCTAGCTACCCTTTACACTTAAATATACCTCCAACCAAGCATCAATTTCTCCCTCAAAGTCCTCACAATTTCTCCCATCGCTTCCCTATCGACTATATTATCGTTTTCCTGGATATCTATCAGATGATCGTACAATTCCCTTCCGAACGTGACGTTCCAGTCGGGTCGAAACGATTTAGTAGAGAATTCCACCCATTCGGTGTATCTGTACCGTTTAGTTCTTATTGAATACCCCATTATTTCAATCTCCTTCGATTTGGGTTGATCGCTGTCTGGATGCCTGCTAGGTACGAGGCCGGGTCTCGGGTATTGCGAAAACGCCGAACTCGATGCGATTTTCTATCGAAGAAAATTTGTACCGTTAGATAAGCACGATTTTGAGCGGTTTATTTTACCGTATTCCTCAGGATTTTCACCATAGACTGTACCAAACTGCGACCTTCGGTGCATAAAACTGCACCGTCGCCGGCGCATTTCTTTAGCGGTTGAGATATTTGCGTTAAATCGACGAGAGTGGGGAATATGTCTACTAATTCCACAGGATTGTTGAAGATGATTTCGGTATTCGATAGACGAGGCACGTGGATTAGTAGAGGGACCTTCGTTGCTATATCGAAATTGCTGTATTTCGCGAATTCCCCGTGCTCTCCTATGGACCAGCCTGAAAAAATACAAGAGCTATAAACGTGAAATTTTCACAAAATAGAGCCTAAAGGTTCTTCTTGATGTCTACCAAGTAGCATCCTCACAACCCATCTCTAAGCGGTCGATCTAACCCTTTGAATGAGTCGATGAACAAAAAAAGTAACTATAAACTCTATCGAATGATTGGAAAGCTATAAACTAGTCTATAATAGAGTTAAAAAGGTGAAATTTTCACCAAACACTCACCGTGATCTCCCGTTAAAACTACTACAGTTTCTTCATCGACGTGCTTCAATATACGTCCTATCATATCATCGATATAACTCACTGATGCATAATAGGCCCTTTTGATTTCTCTCATCGTTTCATCGGCCATCGGTCCATATGGATAAGGGATCTTCAATTTATCGATATCGTCGCGTTTCCTCACGTCGTTCCAGGGATTCCAGGCCACTTCTGGCATACCGGCCGGACGCCATCGGTTCGTTGGAAGACTAACATTTTCTAACGGATGGAAATCTAGCAGGAAAAATTCAAGATTTATTAGTATTATTAGTAAATTCGGAATTAATAACACTAGTTTATAAGCGTTTAGAACGTTTAGGAACCATTTAAAAGCAGTATTATCAACTCCTGAACAAAGTTTCGTACTCCTAGCCACAATCGAGTAAAAGTTGCAAGTATTTACCGAGATATTCTACAGGAAATTTAAAAGGTACGTGGGGTTTGTGAAACCCAACAGCGAGGAAAAACGGCCTGCCGTCTGTAATCCCTCGCCAGTTCCGCAGGAACCGCTCGGCCTCCTGCGAGGACTCCAAATCGGGCAGGGTTCCCGATGGTTGGTACTCCGGTACGACCGGACAAATCAAATTCCTGGCCAAACCTCCCTTCTTGTCCGAGCAAACTTTAGCGTTAGAATACTTCTCGGTTGGCGGATGAAAGGCCTCGACGCTCCAGCTGTAAGGATAGTCATCGGTGTGATTGGATAACCGTCCCGGATGGAAGACCTTTCCGATCGAGTAGGCGTAGTATCCGTTCCGTTTGAAGTGTTGCGGTAACGTGACGAAGTTACCAAGCGAGGCTCTCCAGTAGTTGCCCCAATTGTCGTAGGTCCTTAGAGAATCCGGCCTTCTGCTGGTCAGGAAAGAGGTTCTGCTCGGGCCGCAAAGGGCTTGCTAAAAAGCGGTGTAATTAACCTTAATAACTTTGATGTATTTTTGGGATAAAGTTACCTGGGCGAAGGCGTTTTTGAAGAGGAAACTTTTGGTCGCTAAGGAGTCTATATTGGGAGTGTGGGCCTCTTTGGAACCGTAACATCCTAGACTCGGTCTCAAATCGTCCGCTATTATAAATAGAACGTTAGGATGTTTGGAAATTGTTGTTTGAAAACATATCAAACAGATCAATAATGTTTCTGATACTTTCATTTATGAGTTTCCTATTATTTCCTTTTATTTATGTCCAAATTTTCAAATATGTACGATCTTCTGACACTGTTGACACTTTTGACGTTTACCTCGAATGTATCCAGCCACACAAAACACTTTGGGCCGAATAGCCACAGTAGCTCAGGCCTATGTCCGAAGAAGAAGAAGAATACACAACATAACCTAAAATATACATTCTAAATTATACAAATCCCTCGATTGGGTTGCAAATTTGCACATTTTCGATTCTTTAAACAAATATAATAGCTCTTTTATCGTGTACATCGATAATCGATAATTTTTGACACTGTTGACACTATTGACGTATACGTCAAATCAAGCAATCAACACAAAACATAACCTAAAATTTCCATTCAAAATTATACAATTCACTCGATTTGGTTGCAAATTTGCACAATTTTAATTAATTTAAACGAATACAATGGCTCTTGTACCTACTGCATCAGATTCGAAATCCGTTCTGTCGGACCAAGAAAACCGCTCTCAGCCGAGACAGCCCACCAATTTACAAGGCCTGCTGAGATTTTCCATGGACGTTTGCAAATCCGAAGAAGCCCCGCACGAATTTCTCTACAATATGGACGAGGAAGTAAGCTTTTAATTCATCTAAATTTACCCGTTAGAAAGCTCCAAAATTACCCGTTTTTTTTCTTTCTTGTTTGTGTCTTAGAAAAAGAAATTCCTCGAAGGCGCCTTGAGCTCGATGACATTGAACGTGGTCGAAGTGTTGCAGAAACAAATCAAATTGCTGAGGGGCATCGAAAGGATGAAGGATGACGATTTGAGCGGTTATTTGAACGCTCTGGATATCATTTTGGATTATGTGGATAATCTGGATACGGCCAACGGTAGGTTTTAAAATTCGTTGGACACAAAAAAAATCAATCAATAATCCTTTTTACTTCATTGAAATTCCTGTTTCGTATGCAGATTTCCACAAAATCGGCGGTTTTCTGATCCTGAATCCCTGCCTGAGATGCCGGGACGGGAAGATCAGAGCGACCACGTGCGAATTAATCGGCGTTCTGAGCCAAAACAATCCCTATTGTCAGAACGTGATGATTCAGAACGGATTCGTGACAACATTGCTCGGCATAATCGAAAAGGATTTGGACGTACAGGTCATAGTAAAGGCCATTTTGGCATTAGGAGGTACAAATCTCAATTGAAATACTCATTTAATTCAAATACTAATTTGTTATTTATTCAAGGAATAATCAGAGAAAACAAAGAAGGAATTTCCGATTTTCTCCAACACGAGGGACTCAGAACGTTGCACGAAAGTTTGAGGGTGAAGAACGACAATGTGATTATTAAAATTTGCTTTTTGTTATCGTCTTTATGTCGGAGTCGAGCCCAATTGAAAGGTAAATGAAACGTTTAGAACTGTCTGGAACTTGTCTACAACTGTTTAGAACTGTCTAGAACTTGTCTAAAACCGGCTAGAACTTGTTTAGAACTGTCTAGAACTTGTCTAAAACCGACTAGAACTTGTTTAGAACTGTCTAGAACCATTTAGAACGCTTCAAAAAAACCGTTTAATGTTTATATTTTCTGCTTATAGGTGATATGGTAAAATTAGGATACGTCGATCAATTGCTGAAACTTTTGGTCACAGAACGATGTTCTTATCACGAACACGTTCTGTCACTGTTGGTGACTCTGTTGGAAAATAACAAGGAGGCCGTGAAAGAGTGCGAAAAATTCAATTATAATGTTAAAGATGTTTTGCAAAGATACATGCAGGGTATACGGAATAAGGATTGCTTGGTGTGTGGACAATATTTTATTTTATACGGATTAAATAATGTCAAGTTTCGTAAAAACTGGGCAAAATTGCGCTAAACTTTTTTTTTTTTTTTTTTAGAAATTTATTGATTTTCTTTTTCTGTTTGCAGGATGAAGAGGAATATTGCAGACAGATTTTGCACATGATCAATGCAGAACGATGAATAATTTACATTTTTTTTATCTTAATTTAATTTTTGTTTAAAAGGTTGTTAATAAAATTTGTGTACCATAATGTGTTATTTTTTTCAAACGTATATTTTACCACATTTACCTGCCCACTTTAATAGAGAGCAAGGAATTGTTAAATAGAAAAGTGTTGAAAGTGAGCAGGGGTGGATAACATGCCGTTATTTTAGCCGTTAAAAATTATAACAACAATCACGGTGACTCCTGGGGTATTTTTTTTTTGTTCTTTTCTTTTAAAGGAAGAACCGACATTATTATTTTTAAGATTGTTAATTTCATTAATGGTACGCGTTTTTAATTTAATTGACGACGTTCAGATGGAAAAATTTGGATGTTGTTGTAGTAGCCCGATTTGTTGTTTTTCTATTTATTTAGAATTTTTCCATCTGACCGTTAGTGTTTATCAATACTTATCAAATTATGTTGTTGTTGAGCCCTTACAGTTACACTACATTTATAAGTTCTTCAATTTTAGTTTCGTCTGGTTTAAGTTTAAGGAATATTTTTTTTTGTATGTTTATATTGATCGAAAACTGTACTATTTATAATTTCTTTCGGGTACTGTAGTGATGTAAGTTTATGTTAATATTAAATTATCTGTTGTATATTATATTATCAGTTAATAATAAAAAATTTATGGGAAATTATTATTTGTGGGAATTTATTATTAAAACGCCGGTTCGAATAAATGAATATAATTATAATTATATATATATAATATAATATAAATATAATAATAAATACAATAATAAATATAATAATAAATAATAATAATAAATATAATAGTAAATATAATAATAAATATAATAATAAATATAATAGTAAGTATAATAATAAATATAATAATAAATATAATAATAAATAATAATAATAAATATAATAGTAAGTATAATAATAAATAATAATAATAAATATAATAGTAAGTATAATAATAAATATAATAATAAATATAATAATAAATAATAATAATAAATATAATAGTAAGTATAATAATAAATAATAATAATAAATATAATAATAAATAATAATAATAAATATAATAGTAAGTATAATAATAAATAATAATAATAAATATAATAGTAAGTATAATAATAAATATAATATAAACAAACGAACAACGATATTAAAAACTTGATGTGATGCTAGTGTAACTTGAAGGGCTCAAGACTAGCATAATTTCAAAAGTTTTGTTTAACACCCCGGCATCGAACACTACCTAAAAACAACAACAACAAACAAAACATTTATACAAAACATTTAAAAAAAAATTATCAATTTTACCTCGATAAACGGATGGACGGTTTCCATTCTTTTTGATTCGAAATATCTATTGACCTTGTAATTTAACTTGTACCTTCCCGTCGTAAAATCGTTTCTTTGTATAAATTCATTGAATTTCCCCGACGAGTTCGTCGTACCCTCGTTGACGAATATCCATCTGTTTTCTATGAATTTAAATAAACGAACTTTCAGTCCACATATCGGTTGGCTATTAATCATATTAGTCACATGTGTCGAAATCGGAGGCCTATCGGCGCCCCCATTTTGTTGAACGTTCTACGAAATAAATAAATAAATACAATAAACGGATTTCGTAATATATATATTTACTTGATCGGACGTTTGTTCTTCGCGTTCTTCCTCTTCCGATTCCTCTTCCGATTCCTCTTCGTTAAGCATTTCTTCATCGTTGTCTCGTCTTTCGGGATTTTTGTGGGATTTATCCCTCTCGGCATTCTTATGGCTAGTCGTTTGGCAGTGTTTCAACAGGCTCAATCGATGAGCGATTAACGTTTTACTGCATAATTTGCAAAAGGCTTTTCTAGGCTCTCCTTCGACCCTCCGAAGCCAATCTACGATTAATCGTATTTATGTATCGATATATGTATTATTAGATTAACAAAGTAATTGGGCGTAGATTTAAACGACTTACCCCTAAAAATTGGCATCTCTTCCCAAGCCGGGCGATACTTTTGTTTGTAATTTTTACTTCGGGAACTCATGTCTATCGAGACGTTCGACTACGATTGAATTAACTGGACATGAATCGAGCGAAAGAGTGCCTAAGTACTTTTTTAATAACCAGAATCTAGTAATATATCACCAGAATTTAGTAATATATAACCAGAATCTAGTAATATATAACCAGAATCTAGTAATATATCACCAGAATTTAGTAATATATCACCAGAATTTAATAATATATCACCAGAATTTAGTAATATATCACCAGAATCTAGTTATATATCACCAGAATTTAGTAATATATCACCAGAATCTAGTTATATATCACCAGTCTAAATCTAACTAATATACGATATTTCTCCTTTTTTATTGAATTATACTCGTTAGTTTGTCGGGAACTTGGCATGTTATTATCAACTTTGTTGTAATTTCTTTTCCAAATTTGTTGTCGAAATTACTTTATTGTAAAACTATTTTTTATATTTGTTGTTTATGTTTATAAACTATATTTTTTGGTATAAAATTTATATATTTTCGAACCGGTGTTTTAATAATAAATTCCCAATCGTATAACGCGAATAAAGTTCCTAATGAGAGAAATTCACAAACGTTTTATTTATTCATTGAATAATTTTAATATTAACTAATAATACAATATATACAAGCGGCTCGGTAGGCGAGTTGGTAAGGCATCCTTACTGCTCGTTTGTTCCGACCGTGGACGTGGGTTCGACTCCCACCGAAGTCAAGTGGTAAAGAAGTCCATCCATCCATCTATCTTCGATGAATTTATATAAACCAACTTTCAGTCCCCTTATCGGTTGACCATTGATCATATTTGTAGTCGTTGTAGAAATGGGAGGCCTATCGGCGCCCCCATTTTGTTGAACGTTCTACGAAATAAATAAATAAATACAATAAACGGATTTCTTAATATATATATTTACTTGATCGGACGTTTGTTCTTTGCGTTCTTCGTCTTCCGATTCCTCTTCGTTATACATTTCTTGATCTCGTTGTCTTTCGGGATTTTCATGGGATTTATCCATCTCGGCATTTTTGTGGCTAGTCGTGCGGCTGTGTCTCAATAGGCTTAATCGATGAGCCATTAATATCTTACGACAAATTAAACAGAAGGCTCTTTTTTAGGCCTTTTTTTCTTCGACCCTCCGAAGCCAATCTACGATTAATCGTATTTATGTATCGATATATGTATTATTAGATTAACAAAGTAATTGGGCGTAGATTTAAACGACTTACCCCTAAAAATGGGCATCTCTTCCCAAGCCGGGCGAAAGTTTTGTTAGTAATTTTTACTTGGTGGACTCATTTCTACCGAGACGTTCGACTACGATTGAATTAACTGGACATGAATCGAGCGAAAGAATGCCCAAGTACTTTTTTAATACATTTACGCCTAAAGATAGGCAACACTTTTTACACAAAACATTGCAAAAATTGAAACTATAACAAACTTACAATTACACGAAAAAAAAAAAGAATAATTTATTTATTTATTAATTTATTTATTTATTTATCAATTTGTAGCAATTTAGTACATAGATAAATAAAGAAAATATTCTAACACGTAAGTGACAATAAAAATTTCAGCTCCAACTAAAATTATCTATAAACTATTATTTACTACTTAGTGCACTATGGCATTTAAAATGCTGTATGTGCACCCTTATACATTAAAATAAATTTTTGTTTCTGTCACGACATGTATAATAATTAGAATTACAAACGAAAATAAGATATAATACTAAAACTGAAAAATATTTATCTATCTCATATTTAAAAAATATAATTGAAAATATAATAGAATTTATGTAATTGATGAGAATACATTATAATAAAAGAGAAACGAAACATATTTATGTCATATAACTAATTGCAAAATTTGTTTGTTTTAGCCATTGTGTAATTTGTTTTTTGCATTTATTATATGGTAATACTCGGAATTCATTTGGCAAAACATTATAAACCTTTGGACACAGACAGTAAATGTGATTTTGACATTATAATGATAATTACTTTATATGATAGCCAGTAAATAACCAACATTAACATCAAATCCATTTATTTAATAATCAAAGTTATTATTCAAAAAAAATCTAGCTATATATCACCAGAATCTAGTAATATATCACCAGAATCTAGTAATATATCACCAGAATCTAGTAATATATCACCAGAATCTAGTAATATATCACCAGAATCTAGTAATATATCACCAAAATATAGTAATATATCACCAAAATCTAGTAATATATCACCAGAATCTAGTGATATATCACCAGAATTTAGTAAAAAAATCACCAGAATCTAGTGATATATCTCCAGAAATTAGTAACAAATCACCAGAATCTAGTGATATATCACCAGAATCTAGTAATATATCACCAGAATTTAGTAATATATCACCAGGATCTAGTGATATATCACCAGAATCTAGTAATAAATCACCAGAATCTTGTGATAAATCACCAGAATCTAGTGATAAATCACCAGAATCTTGTGATATATCACCAGAATCTAGTAATATATCACCAGAATCTAGTAATAAATCACCAGAATTTAGTAATTTATCACCAGAATCTAGTGATATATCACCAGAATCTAGTAATATATCACCAGAATCTAGTAATAAATCACCAGAATTTAGTAATATATCACCAGAATCTAGTGATATATCACCAGAATTTAGTAAAAAAATCACCAGAATCTAGTGATATATCTCCAGAAATTAGTAACAAATCACCAGAATCTAGTGATATATCACCAGAATCTAGTGATAAATCACCAGAATCTTGTGATAAATCACCAGAATCTAGTGATATATCACCAGAATCTAGTGATATATCACCAGAATCTAGTAATATATCACCAGAATTTAGTAAAAAAATCACCAGAATCTAGTGATATATCTCCAGAAATTAGTAACAAATCACCAGAATCTAGTGATATATCACCAGAATTTAGTAAAAAAATCACCAGAATCTAGTGATATATCTCCAGAAATTAGTAACAAATCACCAGAATCTAGTGATATATCACCAGAATCTAGTAATAAATCACCAGAATTTAGTAATGAATCATCAGAATCTAGTGATAAATCACCAGAATCTAGTGATATATCGCCAGAATCTAGTGATATATCACCAGAATCTAGTGATATATCACCAGAATCTAGTGATATATCACCAGAAATTAGTAACAAATCACCAGAATCTAGTGATATATCACCAGAATCTAGTAATAAATCACCAGAATTTAGTAATGAATCATCAGAATCTAGTGATAAATCACCAGAATCTAGTGATATATCACCAGAATCTAGTGATATATCACCAGAATCTAGTGATATATCACCAGAATCTAGTGATATATCACCAGAATCTAGTGATATATCACCAGAATCTAGTAATATATCACCAGAATCTAGTAATAAATCACCAGAATCTAGTAATATATTACCAGAATCTAGTGATAAATCACCAGAATCTAGTAATAAATCACCAGAATCTAGTGATATATCACCAGAATCTAGTAATATATCACCAGAATCTAGTAATAAATCACCAGAATTTAGTAATATATCACCAGAATCTAGTGATATATCACCAGAATTTAGTAAAAAAATCACCAGAATCTAGTGATATATCACCAGAATTTAGTAATTTATCACCAGAATCTAGTGATAAATCACCAGAATCTAGTAATAAATCACCAGAATCTAGTGATATATCACCAGAATCTAGTAATATATCACCAGAATCTAGTAATAAATCACCAGAATTTAGTAATTTATCACCAGAATCTAGTGATATATCACCAGAATCTAGTAATAAATCACCAGAATCTAGTGATATATCACCAGAATCTAGGGATAAATCACCAGAATCTAGTAATATATCACCAGAATCTAGGGATAAATCACCAGAATTTAGTAATTTATCACCAGAATCTAGTGATATATCACCAGAATCTAGTAATAAATCACCAGAATCTAGTGATATATCACCATAATCTAGTAATATATCACCAGAATCTAGTAATAAATCACCAGAATTTAGTAATATATCACCAGGATCTAGTGATATATCACCAGAATCTAGTGATATATCACCAGAATCTAGTGATATATCACCAGAATCTAGTAATATATCACCAGAATCTAGTAATAAATCACCAGAATCTAGTAATATATTACCAGAATCTAGTGATAAATCACCAGAATCTAGTAATAAATCACCAGAATCTAGTGATATATCACCAGAATCTAGTAATATATCACCAGAATCTAGTAATAAATCACCAGAATTTAGTAATATATCACCAGAATCTAGTGATATATCACCAGAATTTAGTAAAAAAATCACCAGAATCTAGTGATATATCTCCAGAAATTAGTAACAAATCACCAGAATCTAGTGATATATCACCAGAATTTAGTAAAAAAATCACCAGAATCTAGTGATATATCTCCAGAAATTAGTAACAAATCACCAGAATCTAGTGATATATCACCAGAATTTAGTAAAAAAATCACCAGAATCTAGTGATATATCTCCAGAAATTAGTAACAAATCACCAGAATCTAGTGATATATCACCAGAATCTAGTGATAAATCACCAGAATCTTGTGATAAATCACCAGAATCTAGTGATATATCACCAGAATCTAGTGATATATCACCAGAATCTAGTGATATATCACCAGAATCTAGTAATATATCACCAGAATTTAGTAAAAAAATCACCAGAATCTAGTGATATATCTCCAGAAATTAGTAACAAATCACCAGAATCTAGTGATATATCACCAGAATTTAGTAAAAAAATCACCAGAATCTAGTGATATATCTCCAGAAATTAGTAACAAATCACCAGAATCTAGTGATATATCACCAGAATCTAGTAATAAATCACCAGAATTTAGTAATGAATCATCAGAATCTAGTGATAAATCACCAGAATCTAGTGATATATCACCAGAATGTAGTGATATATCACCAGAATCTAGTGATATATCACCAGAATCTAGTAATATATCACCAGAATCTAGTAATAAATCACCAGAATTTAGTAATTTATCACCAGACTCTAGTGATATATCACCAGAATCTAGTAATAAATCACCAGAATCTAGTGATATATCACCAGAATCTAGGGATAAATCACCAGAATCTAGTAATATATTACCAGAATCTAGTGATAAATCACCAGAATCTAGTGATAAATCACCAGAATCTAGGGATAAATCACCAGAATCTAGTGATAAATCACCAGAATCTAGGGATAAATCACCAGAATCTAGTAATATATTACCAGAATCTAGTGATAAATCACCAGAATCTAGTGATAAATCACCAGAATCTAGTGATAAATCACCAGAATCTAGTGATAAATCACCAGAATCTAGTGATAAATCACCAGAATCTAGTGATAAATCACCAGAATCTAGTGATAAATTACCAGAATCTAGTGATCACCAGAATCTAGTGATAAATCACCAGAATCTAGTGATAAATCACCAGAATCTAGTGATAAATTACCAGAACCTAGTGATATATCACCAGAATCTAGTGATAAATCACCAGAATCTAGTGATAAATTACCAGAATCTAGTGATAAATCACCAGAATCTAGTGATAAATCACCAGAATCTAGTGATCACCAGAATCTAGTGATAAATCACCAGAATCTATTGATAAATCACCAGAATCTAGTGATAAATTACCAGAACCTAGTGATATATCACCAGAATCTAGTGATCACCAGAATCTAGTGATATATCACCAAAATCTAGTGATATATCACCAGAATCTAGTGATAAATAACCAGAATTTAGTAATAAATTACTAGAATCTAGTGATAAATTACCAGAATTTAGTAATAAATCACCAGAATCTAGTGATAAATCACCAGAATTTAGTAATAAATCACCAGAATCTAGTGATCACCAGAATCTAGTGATATATCACCAGAATCTAGTGATATATCACCAGAATCTAGTGATATATCACCAGAATTTAGTAGTATATCACCAGAATTTAGTGATATATCACCAGAATCTAGTGATCACCAGAATCTAGTGATATATCACCAGAATCTAGTAATATATTACCAGAATCTAGTAATATATTACCAGAATCTAGTAATATGTCACCAGAATTTAGTAATATATCACCAGAATTTAGTAATAGTAGTAGTAGTTTAGTAATAGAGCGATGTGACGTCACACGCGCTGGTACGGCGGCCGGCCGGGACTTTTCTTTTTTTTTGCTATAACTTTTGAACGGGTTAAGATATCGTTATCGGGTTTGTTTTGTTAGTTAAATGAAACTTGAATTAATAATTTTGAAAGAATAATTTTTTTTCGAAAACCCTATAGTTACCGAGTAAACGGAATGTATTTATTTAAAATTTTAATTCCGGTAAAATTTCATTTCCCTATAACTTGGTGAAATGACGTTTTGAAGAAATGCGATTTGCGTGCAAAAATGGCAAAAAAATTAAAGAATTTGTGGTAAAAGTTTGAAAAAAATCGTTGGCGTAGTTTCGGAGATATCTACCGAAAATTCCAAAAAAGGCATAATTTTCACAAAAATCCGGCTCGATATTTCGATAGATCTCGTCGAGTTACGTAGGATAGAATTTTTTTCCGATTTTTTCGTACGCTAATAAAGCCGTACAAAAAACATTTAGGGCAACAAAGCCCATTAGGGATGGGAAAAACCCATTATGAGTGGATGCATCTATCTGGATTCCCTGGGAATGAACGACAAACAGTCATTAAATAGTCATTAGGCATCCAATCAATCACCAAATCGTAAACAATCTATTGTTTGCAACAACATAAAAACCGACGCTCGAGCCACTGGGAATTCATTTATCTCTGAGCCTCCGACTCGACCACATCTAACTTACTCGTTGTTATTTATTTATTTTTTTTTTTCAGTGTTCCATCGACGATACCATCGGCAGTGTTCCGCCCACCGAGGAGTCAACCCCTAGGAAGCATGGCACCCAACTTGTCTTGGAAGACATCAAGGAGAGCCCAAAGTCCTCACTCACAACTGTTCCTGAGGGTACAAACTCCACAACATCAAACCGGACGAGCCCAATACCGATTAATTCGTCGGCAACATCAACCATCCCGGAAACTAACATCCGCTCCATGTAGACGATGCCATTGATTTTACTACGACTGGAAAATGCCATCCCATCGAAGAATAATCCAACACTTCGTCCGCCGACATTTTCGGGAACGGATACCTAATTCTATACCTAAGAATACTGACTTCTTAGGTACCTTCTTAGGTATTGTATACACCAATATGTTTACCGGTAGGGTAGGGTGTTCTCCCGCGTGACGTCGAGCGTCGGCATACGGTTTTCTACAGTATACGGCAAAACTAAAGATATATTTTGGGGACCCGTTGAATATCGAAGATTGTAAACAACGATTTTTCCCCGGTAAAACCCATTAGGGATGGGAAAAACCCATTATGAGTGGATTAATCTACCTGGATTAACTAAGAACGAACGACAAACAGTCATTAAATAGTCATTAGGCATCCAATCAATCACCAAATCGTAAACAATCTATTGTTTGCAACAACATAAAAACCGACGTTCGAGCCACTGGGAATTCATTCTTCTCTGAGCTTCCGACTCGACCACATCTAATTTACTTGTTATTTATTTATTTATTTTTTTTTCAGTGTTCCATCGGAGATACCATCGGCAGTGTTCCGCCCACCGAGGAGTCAACCCCTAGGAAGCATGGCACCCAACATATCTTGGAAGACATCAAGGAGAGCCCGAAGTCCTTACCCACAACTGTTCCTTAGGGTACGAACTCCACGACATACCGACACCACAAACGAGATCCATCAACAACAACACAAACCAACGAAGGCAACAAGGAAGCGAAACGTGGGGGCGACAACGGTCGACAACGATAAGGGAAAACATCGACATGGACGGCACGGATACATCCATGTGAGAAGTAACTAGAGGTATACCATTTACCCCTTTACACATCTACTCCTCTATTCCTCTACTCCTACGTTCCTCTGCTCCTCTATTCCTCTGCTCCTCTATTCCTCTGCTCCTCTATTCCTCTGCTCCTCTATTCCTCTGCTCCTCTGCTCCTCTATTCCTCTGCTCCTCTATTCCTCTGCTCCTCTATTCCTCTGCTCCTCTATTCCTCTATTCCTCTGCTCCTCTATTCCTCTGCTCCTCTATTCCTCTGCTCCTCTATTCAAGTTGAGTAGAGTTGAGTAGAGTTGAGTAGAGTTGAGTAGAGTTGAGTAGAGTTGAGTAGAGTTGAGTTGAGTCCCCTCTACTTCTTTACTCCTCTACTCCCCTACCCTCTCTACTCCCCTACCCTCTCTACTCCCCTACCCTCTCTACTCCCCTACCCTCTCTACTCCCCTACCCTCTCTACTCCCCTACCCTCTCTACTCCCCTACCCTCTCTACTCCCCTACCCTCTCTACTCCCCTACCCTCTCTACTCCCCTACCCCCTCTACTCCCCTACCCTCTCTACTCCCCTACCCTCTCTACTCCCCTACCCTCTCTACTCCCCTACCCTCTCTACTCCCCTACCCTCTCTACTCCCCTACCCTCTCTACTCCCCTACCCTCTCTACTCCCCTACCCTCTCTACTCCCCTACCCTCTCTACTCCCCTACCCTCTCTACTCCCCTACCCTCTCTACTCCCCTACCCTCTCTACTCCCCTACCCTCTCTACTCCCCTACCCTCTCTACTCCCCGACCCTCGGTAGGGTAGGGTAGGGTAGGGTAGGGTAGGGTAGGGTAGGGTAGGGTAGGGTAGGGTAGGGTAGGGTAGGGTAGGGTAGGGTAGGGTAGGGTAGGGTAGGGTAGGGTAGGGTAGTGTAGGGTAGGGTAGGGTAGGGTAGGGTAGGGTAGGGTAGGGTAGGGTAGGGTAGGGTAGGGTAGGGTAGGGTAGGGTAGGGTAGGGTAGGGTAGGGTAGGGTAGGGTAGGGTAGGGTAGGGTAGGGTAGGGTAGGGTAGGGTAGGGTAGGGTAGGGTAGGGTAGGGTAGGGTAGGGTAGGGTAGGGTAGGGTAGGGTAGGGTAGGGTAGGGTAGGGTAGGGTAGGGTAGGGTAGGGTAGGGTAGGGTAGGGTAGGGTAGGGTAGGGTAGGGTAGGGTAGGGTAGGGTAGGGTAGGGTAGGGTAGGGTAGGGTAGGGTAGGGTAGGGTAGGGTAGGGTAGGGTAGGGTAGGGTAGGGTAGGGTAGGGTAGGGTAGGGTAGGGTAGGGTAGGGTAGGGTAGGGTAGGGTAGGGTAGGGTAGGGTAGGGTAGGGTAGGGTAGGGTAGGGTAGGGTAGGGTAGGGTAGGGTAGGGTAGGGTAGGGTAGGGTAGGGTAGGGTAGGGTAGGGTAGGGTAGGGTAGGGTAGGGTAGGGTAGGGTAGGGTAGGGTAGGGTAGGGTAGGGTAGGGTAGGGTAGGGTAGGGTAGGGTAGGGTAGGGTAGGGTAGGGTAGGGTAGGGTAGGGTAGGGTAGGGTAGGGTAGGGTAGGGTAGGGTAGGGTAGGGTAGGGTAGGGTAGGGTAGGGTAGGGTAGGGTAGGGTAGGGTAGGGTAGGGTAGGGTAGGGTAGGGTAGGGTAGGGTAGGGTAGGGTAGGGTAGGGTAGGGTAGGGTAGGGTAGGGTAGGGTAGGGTAGGGTAGGGTAGGGTAGGGTAGGGTAGGGTAGGGTAGGGTAGGGTAGGGTAGGGTAGGGTAGGGTAGGGTAGGGTAGGGTAGGGTAGGGTAGGGTAGGGTAGGGTAGGGTAGGGTAGGGTAGGGTAGGGTAGGGTAGGGTAGGGTAGGGTAGGGTAGGGTAGGGTAGGGTAGGGTAGGGTAGGGTAGGGTAGGGTAGGGTAGGGTAGGGTAGGGTAGGGTAGGGTAGGGTAGGGTAGGGTAGGGTAGGGTAGGGTAGGGTAGGGTAGGGTAGGGTAGGGTAGGGTAGGGTAGGGTAGGGTAGGGTAGGGTAGGGTAGGGTAGGGTAGGGTAGGGTAGGGTAGGGTAGGGTAGGGTAGGGTAGGGTAGGGTAGGGTAGGGTAGGGTAGGGTAGGGTAGGGTAGGGTAGGGTAGGGTAGGGTAGGGTAGGGTAGGGTAGGGTAGGGTAGGGTAGGGTAGGGTAGGGTAGGGTAGGGTAGGGTAGGGTAGGGTAGGGTAGGGTAGGGTAGGGTAGGGTAGGGTAGGGTAGGGTAGGGTAGGGTAGGGTAGGGTAGGGTAGGGTAGGGTAGGGTAGGGTAGGGTAGGGTAGGGTAGGGTAGGGTAGGGTAGGGTAGGGTAGGGTAGGGTAGGGTAGGGTAGGGTAGGGTAGGGTAGGGTAGGGTAGGGTAGGGTAGGGTAGGGTAGGGTAGGGTAGGGTAGGGTAGGGTAGGGTAGGGTAGGGTAGGGTAGGGTAGGGTAGGGTAGGGTAGGGTAGGGTAGGGTAGGGTAGGGTAGGGTAGGGTAGGGTAGGGTAGGGTAGGGTAGGGTAGGGTAGGGTAGGGTAGGGTAGGGTAGGGTAGGGTAGGGTAGGGTAGGGTAGGGTAGGGTAGGGTAGGGTAGGGTAGGGTAGGGTAGGGTAGGGTAGGGTAGGGTAGGGTAGGGTAGGGTAGGGTAGGGTAGGGTAGGGTAGGGTAGGGTAGGGTAGGGTAGGGTAGGGTAGGGTAGGGTAGGGTAGGG